AGATGGATAGCTGGATCCATTCCTAACCCCAGGATGCCCGCTGACTCCTCTATAGTCGCGCCCCCGATGATAATCTCGTGTCCTTCTACCTGCATGGCGAAGGAGGCTTCGTGACCAGGAAATCAGTGCGTGTAGTGTCGGGTGAGTGAAGTTGCACATACTCGGGTGTAATGGCTTAACAGACTCGTGTCAGAGTCAATTGAACAGAGCGTAATAAGGCTCTGTAAACTTCCTCAAGGCGAAAATGAGGGAGGGCGGGTTGGATGGCGCGGCATTATATATTGTAGGTCACTGGCGCTTGTCGCGCTTCGCCGTGGGCGGGTCAGATGGCTTGTACTCTGATACAGAGACGGCGCATCAGACTTCGTAAAGCCCCCGGTACACGAAACGTTCATTTCCTCCTGACGGCAGCGTGCAGGCAGTCCGATTTAGAGAAGCGTCGTTGTCTAGGCATCACGGCCACACGTTCTTGTTCATAAGGATGTCGAGAATAATGCAGTGTTATCGGATGGATCATGACAATTCGAAGCCCTTTCAGCTTACATTGTCGTTTGTTATCTTTGCTGACATTGCTATTTCAGGGAACAATGCGAAAATGGACCAAGTTTATTCCCAGTGCAGAGACGCCCAGCAGGTGCCAATGTCGCTTGCCCACCGCTTCTCTGTATGCTTTTCTTCCTGAAATCTACCTCGTCGGGCCACTCGTTCATTTTGTTTCTACAGGGCGAACTACGCGATAAGTATTGTAGGCCGTGGGAGGAATGGAGTGGCGATTCTACCGCTGAGCACAAGCAGCACTTTGTCACGCAGTGGTTTCCAGAAATGGATATCCCCTTTCACCCAGATTTGGACCACTGGTGCGTTCCCGCGAAGTCAGAGCCACTCCTCCATGTTTCTGAACCTTCTCTGCGAGCTAGGTCTTCGCTCTAAGGTGCACACTTTGTCGCGCATCGTTCCTACTGCTGTGCCGTGTGTCTGGCACGCCAGCACAGCGTGTTTACATCTACATACCGCGAGATGTCTCGCGCGGGAACAGCGTTTTGGACCACTCGGTCTCAATAGTTGTACGCTACTTGGACGGGCGCCTTGTGCCTTTTCGTCGCAAGTAAACGGATATACTTCCGCCCCGTCGCAAGCGTACGACATACGAAGACCATTTGCTTGATCGACATCTTGGAAATGACACAGCTACGCTCACTCCCTCTCGTTATGGTTGCTTCTGGCGCGCGATGAGCTGACATTGTCTCTAAAGCATGTTTGTACAATCCTTTCGTTCTAGTATCAGACACACTGACCGTTCAACAGCCGCATTCATTCCGCATAATACACAACACCCTTTCAGACTTGCTTTTCAGTCCTCAGGGATGCAATCCACCTGTGCCTTTTCAAGCGCCACATCGCATCGTCAGGCTTCACCTCTAGCAATGTTAGCATCGGTGCATAAGGGAAAATGCACTCGCTGTGCCGTTTGTCGCCGCGTGAGCGTGCTGGCTTAGCGCACTGGACCCCTGTCTAGTATTTCCAGCTCTTATCAGTTCGGTACATGCTGATGCGGAACGAAGCGTCTTGGCAGCGGTCCCAGGGCCTCCCTTTTCTTTCCGCGAGTATATGGTCGCCTAAGCTTCTCGCTTCACCTCGAAGACGTAACCACGTTGCCAGAACGATGGCAAGGAGAAGATCGGAAGAATGAATCACGCTGCGACCTGTCTAAAAACCACTGTCCCCTATTCTTCGTCGTACCTAAGATACCACTCTCAGGTCAATACATCATATGCGAGCGTTCCCTACTCCCAGCTCCCTACTTCCAGTTCCTTCATTTACACGGTTAGGCGTGTGACGTTGCAGCAATTTAAAGGCCCTCCATCGTGCTTAGGGAATGGTTCAGGTGCTTCTACAGCTCAGTTGAGGAGCTAGAGATAGTATCTGGATATATGTATGCTCAAAATCCAGAACCTGGAGCAATTTGGGTGACGTTTAGAGCCATCTATGCTGATGAAACTGAGGTCACCCACCCGGACTGTGTAATGATAGGATTCCTCTCGCCCGTGCGTGTGTTGAAGGGCCGTCTTGCGATACCACGTAAAGACATCAAGATGGTGGCGGAATGAAGACTGTGCAGTAAGGAGAGGGCAGCGTACGTGGACTATCATCTCATTCATGGCCACATTCGTTCATCGTCAAGTGGCAATTACAATATCGTGCAAACTCCCAGACAGAGAAATGGTCCAGTCCAAGGTGTCAGCGCTTTATGAAGCGCGCTCGTCAGGTTGGCAGCTGGATACGACAGACAACGTTGAAGGAGACCGGTTGAAGTCGTACAGTAATGACCTATCGCATGTTCAATAAAGCATTCCTCAATGACAATGAGCGCATCAGCAATCCATTAACCAGGCTGCAGCAAGTCCAAACTGTGTGAAGCGATAGATAGCCTTGTGGCGGTGGCAGATGCGATCGATCGATGTTTCCCCTACTTCCTCTTCTCCGTCATGCTCCATTTGATCACACTGCTTGATTATGTCTCTTGAGGTCGCCGAGGAGACTCACACTGGGGGCAATCCAAGATTTCTGCTCTCCAAATATTGTCCAGAAATCCAACGAAGTGTAGGAAATAAAAATTGGATACCTGACTTCCGAATATCGAAAGAAAGCCATAAATAAGTGCGGCATATTCGGAGCTCCAAATATGGCAGCGAGTATATTACATAATCGTTTCTCGAATATGAGCCACGATATTCGTTGAATATTCTGCATCAACACATTGTACTAGTAAATATGATAAACAGGGAGTATTCGTGGACAGGTTACATTGTGAAAAATTGTCAACACCTACAGCACGGATAGTCCCCAGATATGTAACCAACAATTGAAGCTTCGGATGGTGTAAGGCATAAAAACCATATTCCGTGCCGATCTGCCAACCAGAAATGGCATACACTGGGTGATTAATCTATTTCAGCCAATATATAAGGGATATCTGTGCTCTGAGTATTAGCAATAACCCACGCTGTATTTGGTCCATGAATGTCCCCTGTTTATCATATTTACTAGTACAATGTGTTGATGCAGAATATTCAACGAATATCGTGGCTCATATTCGAGAAACGATTATGTAATATATTCGCTGCCATATTCGGAGCTCCGAATATGCCGCACTTATTTATGGCTTTCTTTCGATATTCGGAAGTCAGGTGTCCAATTTTTATTTCCTACACTTCGTTGGATTTCTGGACAGTATTCGGAGAGCAGAAATCTTGAATTGCCCCCAGTGTCACGCTCATTCTGTATGGCAACAGATATCGATTGGTCAAGAGAGATCAGACGGCGAAGACGACAGCAAGATAAGATGGCTGTGACAAGAAGACTAGAGACTGAAGAACTGTAAGGCGGCAGAAACAGTCGAGTGGGGAGTACGAGCGGAATAGGGAGAATACTGCGACGACTCCCAGATGTTAGGCATGACCGCCCTTTCCTCCACCACGACCGCCCCTTCTTCCACCGCGACCGCCCTTTCCATTTCCCCCACCACGACCGCCCTTATCTCCACCCTTGCGCTTGTCGTCGTTCCCGTCACTCGACGCTCCGGACTTCTTCAACTCTCCAGGTGGCTGTTTATAGGCAGGACACGCACCGTCATCGATGTGCCGCTTGACTGCATCACCCCTGGAGAACTGCTTATTGCAGTGGGTGCAGCCGGGTTTCACGAGGTCGCCTGGCTTTCCCTTTGGACAGCTGGATCTGAGATGGCGATTTCTGTCGGTCATGCGTTCAAACGACTTTGTGCAGCCAGGCTTCAGGCACGGGAACTGCCCTCCACTGTCTCTGATCTTAATCTTCGTGTTGCCCGCTTTCGCCTTCGCCTTACACTTCGCCTTGCCTTTTGCCTTCGCATTGCCCTTTGGCTTCGCCGTACCCTTCGCTTTTGCCTTGGTATTCTCCTTCGTCTGAGCAGTGTTCTTTGCCTTACCCCTCCGGGCCTTCTTCACCGCCTTCTTGTTGGCAGCGTCCTCCTCGCTGTCATCATCAGCCCTGCGCTTTTGCCCACGCAAGGCATCTTGCATTTTCAAACCGCTGTTTCCATAGGACGCGCGAGTGTGGGAGTGCGTTATGGGTCTGTCGAGGGGAGGGGCGACCAGTGGTGAGTCGGCAGTCACTTCAAGATTGATGTCGCCATCGAGAACTGCAACCTCGTTGTCCTCGTCATCGGTGTCGAGAATGAAAGCATCATCCTCGTTGTCATTTGCTCCATCATTGTAGGCGTCGAGGTCATCTTCACCCTCATCTTTGTCGATGGAAACTTCGTATTCTTCTGTTGTTGCACCCTGCTCTGCGTACAGCAGACCAGGGGCGATCGCGAGGGATACGGGATCCCCACGCGATGTTTGAGTGTGGGAGAGATCGGCTCTCTCCCCATGCCAGCCGGTCGAGTCGCCGAGTGCACCCGGGAATCGCGATGGCCCTGCAATGGGCGCGCCATGTTCCTCGGGCATCATCGCCCCGGATGGCCACCACACGTCCATGTCCGGCGGGATGTACTGATCAGATCTTAGTATCTCAGCACATCAAGAGATGGATGGATACCATACCATGTTCCCGCCATATACCTCCGCAGTGCCCTCCTCCATGGAAAGGCCTATGGTAAGTTCAACGTCCATGTTGATGGACGCAGTGTATTCGTCAATTGACGACTCGACCCATCTCTCTTCCTCAGGATGAGACGATGGCGATGGCAGTTCGTGGACGGAGGGGTCCTTGAAGAGGGAAGGGCATCAGCTTACGCAGTCCGTAGTAGGGGTGATCCACTTACCACGCCGAATCCGAGCTCCCATCTGTAGTAGTCCTCTATGGAGATACCCGCTGCTACTTGCATATCGTGGTCTTCGACAGGATAGCTGAGCAACGGCAATCCTGTATGCTCGTTGGCGTTGATGGCTGTCGTTTGAGGTGCTCCAAGAGTCTCTACGATATTGTTGGGGATTTCCCCATCAAAGTCATCTGCTGCCTGCATGCAGACGACAGACTGACAGATGAGTAGTCAGTATCTACAACTGCAGGCGAGTGAAATACTATATACTTGCTAGATTAGGCTGATTTTGTGCTATTGGTGAGGTAGCTGAGAAGTGTATGACTTCGGTAAGCTATGAGGAGGGAACGAATACGGGGGACGGGGTCAGACAACGTTGCAATTGATATATTATAGTTCCTCAGCGCCTGTCATGCTTCGCTGTCTCCGGACAAGAAGGCTAGACGTTGGGCAACTCCGCTACAGAAAGCACCGAAGGCCTTCATCATACTTCCTAAATCTTCCGCTGCACGAGTCGGTCATTTCCTGTTGATGGCGGCGTACAGCCGGAACAATTTCAGCAGGAATTGCTGTCTGAGCATAGCGGTCGCGAGGGCTGATTAATAAGGACGTCCATAATAATGCAATGATATCGGGCTGATTACACAGCTCGCGACGTTAGACGAAGACGGAGTGCCATCAGATCGTTCTCCTTATGCCGTTTTCGTTTTGAGGAACAATGTAAGATATATTATGTTGAGCAGGTAACTAGTATCCTTCCGATGACTCGCAGATTCATCCCCCACTTTTGATGTCAATCAACGCTGTCACATGTCTTACTTATTCTTACTGTATTGTCCACAGGACGTTCATCGACGCAAAGTCGGATAATCCATCTGCGTTATGCACCATCGTCGAACTTTTGCTGACTGCCCACCGATCATCCGCAGAACCAGCGACCATGCTCTCCTGAAGCTGACATCCATTTCAGGCCATGTTCCGTCTCACGGTGCACACTCGCGGCTCTTGAAATCACCGCCTCGTTGTCCCTGGGCGTTTTCTGCGGGCTGACCTCTCACACCAAGTCTGTTCCCCGTCTGGGGATCATTTCCACTCTGCGGCGTTGTGCATTGTGCGCTGGCAACACAATTAGAGAATTGAATGAACGGCAGTTGGCACACCTCCTTTGCCTGCGAGCGACACCGTCAGCCTCATTCTCCAGTGGAGCGTTGCATGCGATCGGGAAAAGGAGATAGATTTTCTGGCTCGAGCTAAGGCATGTGCCTTCACTCCTCTCTCGGACGTCTAATAACGCTGTAGTACGATGAGGGTTTATTGGTGTATCGCGGACGATTACGTGATCTCTCAAGACTGCAGAACTCGCTCAATAATAATCGCTTGCCTTCTGTGTCTAGTCTGAATGCGCGAGCAGGAGAATAAGTTGGCATCTACAAGGAACACTCTCAAGAGTCAAGGCGGCTGTTCACAGGCCGGCCTGATGAAATTCACAAAGCACACAGGAGACCGCTTCTGCAGGTGTGTAATCTGCCCGCCAGCTCACCATGCTTGGCAGCACCACTCACCTCCTGTTTTGCCTCAGGCGGCTCGTCATAGAAGATTGTTGACGCATTCTGTCCACCGTTCGTGATGTCTGATATCCGTCCGTCGCAAACATTCCATCGTTTTGAAGCCCGCACACCGCCATACCATCACCTCCGTCTACTCCATTTGCCACACTCTGCGTGAGTTCCACCTTCTTTACTCATCACGGGCACACTGCATGTGCTCCAAACCGTGGTCCATCCAAAATCCCTCAGCTCGGCTTAACATTCTAGATTTCAAGCCGTCCGTGCTCTACAAGTCTTACCTGTCGACGCGGAACCACTCGATGACAAATTCATCGACACACCCACCCGTACAGCGACTATCAGCTAGTGCTTACATGCGGCATCATCCGTCCAACGCTGCCGTTCTCAAAACATCGGTGCGCCTACACCTTATTTTATCACCACTTGTTGTCCTCGGCTGCTCACGCCATTCATTCTAAATGCTTTGCGTGACGACAAGGCTGGATAACCGTTATCAACATGGACGAGAACCTCACTCGGTTTAGATATTACGAGCGCGTATTCGGTTCACTCTCAGCATAAGAACATATGATCGCCTCGCCACTATGTCTGCGCACACTATCTATTAGTGGCTTTTACTTCAATAGCCGGGTGTTCTCTCATTACGTCTACAGACGCTCTACGAGACATTGGAGACGACATAGCAGGGGCTAAAACAACATAAAGTTTCACCCTGATGGAACGGCGCGCCGTCGCGGAGGTCACAGTCACTTACCCTATTTCCGAACCTTCTCTACGGGCCTTCCCCGAGTCTCCACTCCAAAGTGCACACCCCGACTGGGCGACACACCGTCCATCGCATCTGTGGACGGTTGGCGAACTCACGTTTTGTGCTAGACGACAATATGTATGGCTCCCACAGATCGATATAAAGCATGGCACATGGAGGAACTCAAATCAGTCCTTGAGATCGTGCAGGTATTGTAGAATGCGTTACAATGTGGTTATGAAGCCCCTTCAATGGTCTGGGATCACGAACACTACATTATAGAAGCACAGATCTAGTGGTTGTGCTTCTGGACGTCATCGCATTGCAAGTGCTCATAGATGTGACGCTCTGCGAGATCATATCGGCGGAACTGTGATCATTTCAGTATGTAATTACGCATTTCGGGTGCTGTGGAAGATGAAACTCATGGTTCAATACAATTAGTGGCGCAGAAGGTGGCGCACTGTATGGACGACCAATCGCATCGGAGATACCGCGACTTTCCTCCTACAATCACACACATACCTTCAGGCGCGGAAACACTTCAGCGTATGCATCACACTACTGATGTTTGCCAACAGTGGTAACATGCGAAAACGCCTTGCAAACACGCGCATGTCCGACTGAAAGAGATTTGCTTGCCAATCTCGACAAAGATTCAATGTTTGTGGATATGGATGCCTGGTGATAGGTATGAACTACGACGCGATCGAGGGAGCGATCAAGGATACGCAGATGACCGAGCACGAAGCTCCAGGTGAATCGGTCTCTGCGGGTGGTTTGAACGGAAATCGATACCGCTGCATGTGAAATGGGCCTCGCGGCTCATACGAGATATCGCGGAGGCACAGAGCGGCTGTTGAGATCTCTTCGCTCAAGGACTCAAGTGATGGCTATGCAAGACGCAAGAAGGATTAATCCCACCATTTGTTTTCTTCCCAAGACCAGATTGGATCATCTCTACGGGCAGACGTGTAAACTGTACGACTGGCGACCAATCCGTGCACGATGCACCGGCAGACATGATTCGCATACTTGCGCCTTGGAGGAATGATTCATAACGTCCATTAGAAATCAGGCAGTAGTTATAGGCTCCGCGACGGTGCATCGTGAAGATTGTCTAATTGGGCCACTGTGCTGCTTGTGAGCGGTGAAGACTCAGTCAAGGCTCCACGCGAGCGGCAGAGCGATTGCCGTTAATCTGCTAGCCGGCTAATAGACAGCAGCTGGCCCGGCATGAGCGCGGAGTTGGGCTTCATAATAGGCGGGTATAAATTGTCAATGAAATGATGCAGTGATGTTCGCACTAATTCCCTGAATACGAAGGGCCTCGTCAGTTGTTCCATTCTTTATAGCGCATAACTGGTGGATTTCATGAAGAACTTCGTGAGATGCAGCAGGAGCTTCAGTCAATGCGGCATAGCGCCATCATGCGGTGACCACGCGGGAGACGCAAAGCACGTCTCCGGCCTCTGATAGACGTCACTGCAGTAGGCGGCGAGGGTACGGGGGATACAAACACGGAGTGTTGAGGCTTTCTCATGCGACAATATCCGAAAGGACCTGAAAATATCGCATAAACCTGGTTTAACGATAACTTAGACTTAGCGATTGCGCGTACCAGCGTGACGAAAGCGTTGGAACAACCTGAATCTCTGAGAAAACCAACTACTGTCTCCGAGTGAGCGTCGGCCAACGAGAGTTGATGGCTGGGTAGTAATTTCACGAGGACGGAGAGCGTTGTAGCATGTGGAATTGTCGCTACAGCTAGGCGGTGAGAAAATCTAAGACTAGATCAAGAAAGATGTCCTTATTACGTTAGGAAGAGCATACATGCGTGTGAGATACTGTGCCAGAATCTAGGTGCGGGAACTCACTCTTCATCGCCGTGCATACTGCACTGATCCAAGGCGCAGTATCAGCGATAGCGTATTCAACAAAAGAGATGTTTTACTAGCCTTCAGTGAACAAGGCGGGGTCAAAATCGGGTGCATTAATTTTTGCCCTTACTTGCTCTGCATGGTGCAGACAAATGCGCTCTACAGTTCGTTCTTTATCCGGGTGCACAATTTTCCATGAGCCACCGCTAGGTTTGGATCGCCCGCATATAAAATCTATAGACACATATCGGAGGGAATGTATATGTTCGATGAGCACGTGCACCAGCTGCTCTAGATTGGCCAGCGTCGGCCCGGTCATTGAGAGACGGCCATCACGAGCTACGTGTATCTGCTCGAGGAGATATGTCAGCCTGATGTGAATTAGGTGGCCCAAATGATTCAGTACACCAAAACGTATGCCCTTCCAGGTGTTTTTCGACAGTCAATGTTCGTGATGATATCCTCAGGTTACTTCGGCACTCACCAATTGTTGAGCCATCTTGAACACCAGGTCCGTCTCACTCCAGAACACCCATGTCATGATCTCCAGACTGCGTACTTGAGGCGCGATTTCTGCCAGACTCGCCCAGAAGGTATCATCCTGCATTGGTGGAACTGTGAACTCTAGCACTCTCGGCGACATCTGTCGTATCGCATGTAACACAGTAACGTCATCGGCGGTCGCAAGGTGGAGAATCGACGTCACCGACAGATGGTGCATACGACAATCGAATGACCATGTCCCGAAGAGCGCTTTAGGTCCCTCGACGTAGTCCAAATGTGGCCAACATACGCTGCTCGTTGAGGACGAGCCAGACAGATAGTCCGCGCGTAGTTCTCGCACATTGGGGAAAGCTCGGGCTACATCGGACATCGAGAGCCGACAACGACCCAGCGTCAGGCTCGATACAGCGGGCCAGGACAATGAGAGTTGTGACCTTTCGGCATGGCTTGGATGCTCTTCGTTATCTGAATGAAGCTGCGAGAGGGTGAGACGTCTGATGGTCTGCATATGTTGGATGCTAGAGAGGTCACTAGACGGGATAGAAAGTGATAGCTCTATCAGTCTGCTGCGCATCTCCCTCAGCATCTGCCTCTGTATTGCGAGTGATTCTGTCTTGCTCTTGTCCCCGGGGTTCAGGTTTAGAGACAAAAGCGGTGAGGGGAGACTCAGAATCCGTAAATGGCGCAATGCTGAGAGGGCAGGTCCAATGCGGGGCTGCTTTAACAGCAACGTGTCGAACGAGTATAGAAACCAGAGCGATCTGAGATGGATGGCATTCTCGAAGAGAGATACCAGCAAGCGCGCTGTGGTGTTGCCTAAATGAAGGTGGTCCTGTGAAGGATAGGCTGATGTGTCGGTCATGTCATCGAACCCAACTTCAAGTTCGCGGATCCAGTGTAGGCGACCAGGAATGTCCTCGAGCATATAAGTGCAAACTCGCATAATTGTCGCGTTGTGTCGCATTGTCACGATAGAAAGAGCGTGCCGCTTTGCGATAGGATGGATGTCGTGAGACGTGAGGGACATGCTGAGAGCATCGCGTGTTGAGAGCCAGGACACAATGAGAGCCAGGACATCATCGTTTAAGCGGGGTATTCTTCCTAGAGAGAATGCTCCGGGTTTCTAGCAATGAACCTCACGGAGAGCTCGATGAGTGGTAAATCATATGACAGACCTTCGACCCGTGAGCAGATAACAAATTCGTTTGTTGAGTTTGAATCATGATGAAGCTGCTGAAGCAAAAACAACCAACGTGAACTTATCACGCCGTCATTCAACAGAAAAGTATTTTACGACGAACCTGATTGTAGGCCTCGATGAGTAGGAGCAAGATTGCGCTTCGGACGTATCCGTAGGCGAAGTAAACCTTATTTAGAGTCCGTAGGGCAACTACGACTGCGGCATCTGCTGCGAGTCCGAACTTAATCTTCATGGAACGGTAGATAGCCTCGGGGCGGCGGCAAATTGTCTCCAGTGAGCAGAACGTAATACATTTCCTTCAACCTATGCAGGCTCCGGATATCCATGTATAACGTCTACTAACTATTGTGCCCCTCTTCAATCTTGTCGTTAGGTCGGTCATCGATGGTCGATTGCCAATTCTCAGCCACGATCATGTGCATGTGCAAATAGACCCAAGCATCGCGCGCCGCGATTCGGCGCTAATTAGGCTCAGCATGAATGCTTCAAGAAGTTCTACATTCCTGCTTTCGCTAGATTGCTCTGCCCGCCTCGCTTTTGTCATGTATATATTCTCTAGTAGTTAAACCTTATATGCCTTCAATTCCTCCATCCGTTGACCAGCCGTGTCAGCTGCAACATGACTGACGGAGCACCTCACTTCTCCTCCTTCGTCGTGGTCCATTCAATCACGCTGCTCAACCATGTCTCTTGGATTCTCTGGGATCTGGGGAGATTCAAGCTCGTTCTGTATGGCGACTATATACCGAAAGGTTAGACGTCGAAGACGACGGCAAGAGGCGTACTTATAGATCGTCATGACAATGTCGAGAAGCCTAGAGCCCAAGGGATTGTAACGCGGCAGAAACAGCCGGCTGATGAGTACGAGAGGAAGAGGATACGGTGATGACTCCCCGACATCAAGAACGACCGCTCATTCCTCCATCGCGACCACCCTTGTCTCCACCCTCGTGCTTGCCGCCGTTCCCGTCACTCGACGGTCCAGACTCCTTCGACTCGCTATTGACATTTTCAAAAAGTGGAACGCGCACCACTTCCAATATAGCGGTTGACAGAATTGCCTCTGGACAGTTGTCGAGTGGCAAGTCAGTGGCTGGTACATTGTTGGCGTCAACATCAAGAATCGCAGACTCGACCTCGTTGGACGCAAGAGGTGCATTGTCCTCTTCATCTATGTGGTGAATGGAGCTGTCGGCTTCGCCGTAGTCCGCTCCGTCACCACCCAGGCATCGAGGTCTGCCTCTCCACCCTCATCGTCGTCGAAGAAAACTGCATATTGTCTTATGTTCGCACCCTGCTCTGCGTATGGCAGACCAGCGACACTCGCGAGGGACACGGTATTCCCACGTGATGATTGAATGTGTGAGTGAGTAGTATTCTCTCTAATCCAGCTAATCGAATAGCTGAGTGCACCCGAGAACCGTAACGGCCCTGCAACGGACGTGCCATCTTCCTGGGGCCTTGATACAACAGACGATCCCGTTATGTGAGCGTCCGACAGGACGTACTAAGCAGACATCAGACTGTCAGCATTTCGAAGACACAAATGCCTAACGTACCATGTCTCTGTCATATGCCCTTGTGGTGCCCTTCTCCATAGAGAGACGTACGGTGAGTTTGACGCCTTTAACAGGGGTGTTGTGTTCATTGACTGGCGACTGATTTGACTCGTCATCCTCGAAGGTGGATTACTCCGGTGTGTGCCCGTCATCATAGCAATTCTAACGAGCGGAGAGTCTGTGTCACACTATGCAGTCCATGATGAAGGGTATCCCTATAGAAGCATCTATCGCTACCTGCTCGTCGTGGTCTTGTGGCGAGTATGTAGCTTCACGTACTGAGTAACTGTAGTTGGAATCTCCGAGTCTATAAGGTAGACAAATCAGATGTAGGACGTCATGGTAAGCTACTGTGCGCGCACCAATATGAAAGAATATGCGGAGATAATAATTGTCTGTGTATCCGCAGGTTATCAACGTCTGTCGTGCTTCGCTGTCTTCGGACAAACGGGATAGACAACATGCAACTCCGCTGCACGATGATTCAGATGCATTCATCATACTTTTCAAATCTCCCGCTGCACGAGATCGCCATTTCCATCTGGTCACAACGCGCAGTCGGCACATCAAGGTTCATAATGGTGTACAGATTCGTCGAAACGTGTGACTACCTTCTGAGGCACCCGTATGAGGATGAGTCAAAACGAGGCTTTCAGAAGGTATTGCTGTGTCCATGACCGCCGCAGGGGCTATGTATAGGAAGACCATAATGATGCAATGATGTCGGACCGATCACACGGCCCACAAAGTCGGACGGGAAAGAGATGCTATCGGATTGTGCTGCGAACAGAGCTTTCTGCAAATAACAATGTAACGTAGATTATGTTGTTTTTCCGCGTGATTGCATGTGCATATATATGTGGCGTCCGTTCGCTACCTCACAAGATCATTGGCACGATATTATCATGCTAATCAACGCTGTCATATACTCCACTCTCTGCATTACCAACAGGACGCCACTCGGCGGTATCACAGGGCTCCAAAACCGGATATGCCATCTGTGCTGTGCACCACAAAAAGTCAGGTCTGTGATTTGTGCGGATAGAACCTGAGGGGAATCGCCCTCGAGGGCCATCAGTGCTGCATACCTCAATGGTGGTGTTCTGTGGGCGAGAGGACGAGATTTTCTGACAGTTAGACGACTGTAAATTCATGGTCGGCGGTTCGATTCTTACTGAGCCGGCCGTGCCGCACATCTACGAGTAATATTCACCCTCAATGAGCTCGTGAACAAGGACGTCAGATCCAAAAAAGGTGTCTAGGAGATCCAAATCTCATAGACACAACTGATGAGTCTTAAATGGCTTTGCAAAAACTCAGTTAACAGTGATGCATCGAGAGGCTGATCCTTACCGTCGCACTTCTTCCTTAATACATGTTGATAATCGCTCCGGGATCTACATGATAATGCTGCGACCGGCGATTGGACCGTGGACCATTCCTCAGCTTCAAATTTACGGAGGGATACTTAATTAGGCCTGCATTGGACCTTGTAAAATGACGGACGGGATGGAATTGTAAAATCCTAGAAGAAGTCAAAGCCAGGGTACTCGTCCTATAACGAGAGTGAAAGGAGTTGGTTCGTTGGGTAGGAGTGATTGTATTCAATTTATGGCGGGAGCGCTGATCCATTGGAGATTTCGCGCGGAATACCAGCGGGATCCAGTGATAGTAGAAGTCAGGCTTGTTATGAAAATTCATACCTCATTGTCTGTGAGAATAATGTTTGCATACAGCGCTGAGTTCACTTATGACCGCGGTACTATAGTGTAAAGAAATCAATGAGCGCTAAAAGGGCTAAATACGCGGTAGCGGGATTGCCGGGCCGGATACCGTTATGTCATGCAGCTGCTGCATCCCAGCGGTCACTTCGACCTACCTTAGGCCTTCACCATCGGGAAGCTACCGTGAGTGCATTGTTTTCATGTTGACGGCCTATGGTATGATCTTGAGCGCACCTGAAGTCAGCAGGTCAATAGCCTACTATGCGCATCATCGTAACGGGCAAGTTCCCTTCAAACATCACAGAGGGGTCGCCTCGCTCACCCGCCACATTCAGGCGCATCGGGTGTCCTTGGGTCTGCCATCTATGCGGCATACAAGTCTGCCGGCCACACAGTGCTCGGACTTGCACATTTGCGGCCAACGGATGAGCTGAGGCAGCTCGACCTCCTCGACTCGGCGGAGGTGGAAAGGGTGTTCTCAGAATTCAAGCCAGATTGTGAGCCTATACACGCATTCTTCTGTTGACTTTGATGCGAGATTGATTGAGCACAGGGGTGATTCATTGTGCTGCTGAGAGGAGGCCAGATGTGGCAGAGAAGGTACACACAAGAAAAGCATTGTGACTTGCGTGTCTGACGTCCTCTACAGGACCCGGAAGGGGCTCGTCGAGTGAGTGTGGACATTCACAGAATGAGACATGCTTTCATTCAAATTATGCAACTGCAGCTCAATGCAGTCCTGCCTGCGCATCTGGCCCAAATCTCGAAGGCGTTGAAGTTCACCCTCGTATACATCTCAACAGGTACGATTCCTTTATTCTCCTCATATTGATTGCTAAGAGCCTGCTTAGACTACGTCTTTGACGGAACCTCACCGCCTTACACCCCTTCTGCTCTCACGAATCCTGTCAATCTCTACGGGCGGACGAAGCGGGATGGGGAGTTGGCCGTGCTCGGTGTAGTGGGCAGCAAGACCGTCATCCTGCGCGTGCCAGTACTATATGGGCCCGCGCCGAAAAACTCCGATTCTGCAGTGAACATCCTACTTGACGTCGTGACAGACCAATCCGGCAAGGAGTACAAGATGGATCACTACGCGACGCGGTATCCGACGAATGTCTTGGACATCGCCGACTTCTTGGTACGACTGTCTGGTGGGTACTTGATGTCCGCCTGACGTACCAGTCGTATGTGCTAAGGCTGGTGTAGCATTGCCGTCATCGCGCCCAATCCCTCCGATTTTACATTACTCCGGGGGCGAGCCTTTCACGAAGTACGAGATGTGCCTCGTGTTTGCGCGCATCCTTGGTCTGCCGCACAAACACATTGTTGCAGATGCAGAACCGCCCAAGGTACACCTTCCGTTCTTCAACGTCGCCTTGTCGCAGGGCATGTAGCCATCCTTGCTGACCATTGATGCAGGGAGACGCAGCCACGACCCGACCTCGGGACTGCCAGCTATACACGCGTGAGACGGAAGATCTCATGGAGGGATACGGCAGCCTCGGATGGACACCATTTGAGGAGTGGTGGGAGAGCTATCTCAAGACGAAACAATGAAGGCGGAGGGGAGGGTAAGCATGAAGAATGGAAGAAGTGAATTGACCTTGTCATGTACGTGTATCGGACTGAATTGACTTCAGGCGTTATTATTGTAAAGCCCGAATGTTATCACATGCTCACACCTACAGAATATTTCCTGTTTTCGCGCAGGGTGCCGCTGGAAAAGTGACATTTGCTGCTCGTTTTCCCATTTATACCGCCTAAACGCGTGTTATATGCGACGTGCTAGTATGCTTGCATACTGCCCAACTTGAGCCACGCCCCCGTAGAACTCGACTCGACGTTGTCGGTGCGCGTCATGCACGTGACCGCGACTCATTACAGCGCGCGGCGTAAATGCCAACGACGTCATCCCCGTTCACCGGCGCCAGTGGATGCCGTTCTGGGAGCGGCCGACTGCGTTCATATATAAACCCACTCGCCGGCTCATGTGCTCCCGCTCTCAACACGCTTTCCCCTCATCTTCCTTGATATCAGAGTACTTCACAATGTCATCGCATGCAGGACAATCATTTGGAACAAATTCACCTCCACTCGATGCAACCGGCCAGGATAAGCCAATGGGCGTGTCGAGTATCAATGGGGACAAGCCTGCCTCACCGGTGCCTGATGTCGAGCAACGACAAGGTATGATTCGCATTTTCACCCCAAGCATACCCATTGTGTAATCTCTCGCCCTCTAGGATACTTTAAGGGCGTAGAGACAGGGAAAGAGAACGGCGACCAGGTTGGGGCAGGCGCACCTTCGGTAAGTTGGGTTCCTCGTGCCACTTGCCTGCTGCAGATGGCCTGACGAAACGACTGCAGCAGAAGGCTAAGCAGTGATTGAACATGCCCCCTTCGCTGTACAATCGTATTCCGACTCAGACACACAAACTTGTCACAGCATTGTAGAACGATATGTCCGCGGAGTGTATATTATGCATGTGTCGAGCACATTACGACTTGTCCAAACAATAGACATCTTGTTATGTACACGATAGGTTTAGCCGGTTTATGCGAGGTTGGCAAACCCGAGCTCTGTTGACGCATCAGTAATCGCATTTCAATCATCGATCGCGAAATACACATACTGCGGCTTTCGACTGAGGAGTTGGTTGACAAGAGTCTCGTGAGCGAAAATGTGAGCTTCTCGAGTATTGCATACGTACAATCATATACGGTGTAGGCATTCTCCAGGAACTTCTGACCGAATGCGAACGAGCCAATGCCATTCGGACCCAACCAAGTGTGTATTGCATCGTCGGTGATGTTTAGGGCGCTGTATAGGTTCCTCGGCACCGCGTATCTAAATAATGGTGAGCTCCGTGGTATCGAATTACATCCATGAAAATGAAGTACTTCGACGCTGGGAACGTGAAATTCAAACTAGCGACGCCGATAATGAGGTCTGGAAGGGAGTCAAGGGTCAGGTTATTCGGGAGGACCAGCGAGCCTTCGAGAGCAGAATAGCTGTCGATAGTGGCTCCGGGTATGCTATCGTATATGCTGAAGAACGCGTAACTTAGAGGTAGGGTAATCAGCACGCTGTGGGTGGGAGCATCTTACGAAGCTCACGTAGGGAGTTCCAAAAACAGTACACCGACATCTGTTTGGGCATACAGAGGACCGGGGGCGAGGAGCTCGTTGTTCCAGTAAAGACTGGATGCCTGAAGAACACATTGAGTTTTCTGCGCCGCGGGTTGTGTTGGAAACGAAACCCTACGTTGCAGTTATAATACTTCGTGTCGTCGGGGACGTTGTCTAGCCAAACAACCTCGCCTGTTAATTCGGTGAGCAACGACTACTAATCAACAAAAGGGCTCGCTGCCGCGTCAGCGCACGCACCAGTGATACGACTCTCGTCCACTCCGCCAAATGTTATCTCGCCCGAACCCTCCGCCACGCCGTCTTCGCCAAGCGGGGCCACGTACATGCCCCAGATGGGATTATCGATGACGCCCTCAGAGTACAGGTTCTCCACAAACGTGGGCGTTGTGTTATAACCTATCACTTCGCCCTTGTTCGAGCCGGGAGGGGAGAGCCCCACTGCACCGGGTTAGTGTACCATAAGAAGCAATGGTAGACACAAGCGCACAGATGCCGTTGATGGGCTCGATAAGTGTGAAGCCCTCTGTGAAGTTAGCGGCACCGATGATCTGGGACGAGACGGTCGCTCCGCCAACCGTGACGCGATCGAGGTATGCGGTACCGGAGGCACCGCCTGTACCATATCTATATCTCCATTACGTAAGCGGGATAACAGCACTTTATCCAAAACTTACCCGATGCTGAAAGAGGTGTTCAGGCTGTTTGCATGTGGTACATCAGCCCCCTGCGACAGTACAGTACAGCAGTCACGTACGGGCGAGTATACGGTCCTGGGGTGTAAGATTCGGACGCCTGCCCTCCGACCCAAAGAATACCACTTCCGGTGTCAATCAAAACATCGGAGAATGTTTGATCGTCACCGGCGTGGACTTACATGACAGGATAGTTAGTCGAGGCTAGGAGGAGAAACAAAGTGATCGCTTGAATTACCAGAAGTGACAACCTTTAGACCAGGATTCTGAGTCGAGGTAGATGGATCTGCTCATGAGCAAGCGCATCAGAGACGTGTCTATTTGCTAATACGGATGTCTCTCACCGTCCGAGCCTAACTTTGAGGGACTGGAGGCAATGAACATAAGTCCGGAAACAGACGGTGGTACCCAAGGCTTACACTATGCTTGACTTGAAAGGCACCTTGAATGTTCCCACCGCGGCAGCCTGCTCAGCACCCAGAAGTCCCAGAAGGATGCATGGTAAGCTATGTTTGAACCTGAGCTGGAGCAACATAGTGGTTTAGATCCAAAGTTAGCGAGGCGTGCAGCGCAGGTTGCTGCTTGCTCAGTGAATGCCTGGCTTCTTATGTATCCCTCACAAGACGGTCACCAGAGGCCGTGGCGGGATGTTGCTCGCTTCTAAGACCATTACACGCAGCGTCGGGCCCGTCGGAGAGGAACATATCACAAATAGCCGCAAAGATGCTGCCATCAACTCCGTGGTTGCCGACCCACAAATATAATTGCTTACCAGTTAATTTCAGACCAATGAACCTCCCCGAGGACATTTGGGCACAAGCGGAGCTTGTGTGGAATCGGGAATCAAAAGTCGCGACCATGGTCCCGACCTTGCTGGACCCGGCAAAGTATCGTGACAGCCACAATTTACCGAAGTAGGCCGTTGTTTCCAGGGCCCGCCAATTCCCACGCGAAGACCGCTTGCGCATGCATTGAGTTCAACAGGTCTAACGATATAGAATCAGCTGTCACAACATCAAGCAAGACAAACCACGGAATGACATCCCAAAACTGTTTTTTCTCGAAAGATGGATCGCTCGCGCATCATTACTCCATGCACCCGGTGTATAGAAGCCCTTAATACAATACGTACTAGCATGTATCATCCGGCATAGGGCATCGCCCTCCGGCGGATATCAATATTGATTAGAGATAAATAAAAACAGAAGAACAATTCTTTCCTCCACTGCGTACGGCGAAATCCACAAATATCGAACGTACTATGAATGCATACCGCGGCGGTGGAAGATGCTCATAACGCCAATCTGTCCTGAGTCGAATCAGGTGCCTGGGACTTGCTGATGAATGCAACCTACGGACAATAGACTTACAAGTGCGCGATGAATACTATCAAGCGTGAAATCCGACGATGCGGTTGAGTAAATGTAACACAGACGTCAGGACTAGAGTTCGGCCGACCGGTGGCCGGATTACTCACCGTTCGTGAACAAGTCTAACAATATACAGTGTGCTGGCTACATATATACGTGTGCCAATGGCATTGCCCATGAGGTTTGTACTCTGGTAGAGCACGAGCGCGATTTGCCATATATCGCCCGGAAAAAGCTGCACTAACGTCACAGTTCCATATTCCTTGATTAGTCGTTCACTGTCACGGCGTCCATGTTCAACTAGACGTAGGATGGGGCGAGATGATACTTCTAGTTGACAAAGCCGAAAACAGCGTATAACAAGGATCGCAGTGTCCACGGGCGCGACGAATGTAGTGGCCATGGAGTCTGGCTGTGCTGCACAGCCGAATGGGCGTCTATTATGACTTTGGCGCCCAGTATATAGAGCACAGCTTGTGTCGCCGCTTGTTCTCCAGCTCCTCAATTTCGTTCGAGCTCTACCTACAGGTGCTGGCTAGTGAGTACTATCTATCAAACGCAAATGAGTAGACTGGCTCATACGTTTGTTCTCGAACAGCCTGACTTGTTTCGTCCTCTTCGCATTTCGTTACGATATTTGCTCTCGAACAATACGCCATATTCGGACCGTTTGTCTTCGCTGATCTATTCTTTCAACTGCACCATGCGCTCCTCTGTCATTGCCGCTATCGTGCTCGCTGCTGCTTCTCCCGCGCTCGCGCTTCCCATGTATGTGCTCAAGCTTTAAGCTGTGCAACCCTCATACAGAGCTCACCGTGACCCCGATCTGACCAGGGACCACTTCGATATTCTCGCGCGTGCATTGCAGTATGTCTCCTATGTATCTTATTTTGGAATTCGCTGACTTATTACGATAGGTCCGGGAACAAGTTGCTGCGCCCATCTCCCGTATGGGAGGACGCTCCGCTTGAGACTAGTCACCTCAAGCGTACCACCGCCCGCAGTCTCCCCTGGTTCGACAAACACCAGACCATAGGCCTTGTCAAGACCGTGCCGAAGCCTGTGCGGCGTTCTGTCAAGTTCTCGCTCCTGCGCAGGTCCGGGCTTGACGAGTGAGCACTCTTAGTATACCGGCTGGGCGTCTTCTGCTAATTGGATGGGTACCAGCATTGTCTTCCCTGCCCGATCGACATTGGACCAGCTTGATTGATCACTGAGCAGTTCGATATCTTGTGACGTATTTACGACCTAATGACGAAATGCAAACAATTTTGAGGAGCTCAAACAATCGCCTGCCGTATTCGCCTTTATGACGCCGAATACGTCATTCTTTGTGTTCTCGACAGAGCACGACCACATCAGTTCTCAAGACAATTGTTCACTGCTACGTAGCTTTTACGATCCGTAGCTTTTACGATCTTCTCCCCTCTGCTCCCAGTCTGCACACGGCAACCAACACCTGACCCGATAAAAGTGGGTTGGAGCGGCCTGGCACGGCGTGCGGGAGCACTGTCGATGATGCAGCACAGTCCGCGGATCCCACATTGATGCGACGTCGACGGTTCGTCCAGGCTGGGACAGCTAGTTGTCGGAATGGCTATGCTTCAATAGCGGATCGGGGGCAGAGGCTCGGCACGTATTGTAGACAAGTCGACGCTTTGATCGAGCGCGTCATCCAGTTCGGCGATGAGCACACTGCAGGCTACAGTTAGGTACAGATGAGCGCAGAAGCAACACAACACGCACATTTGGTCTCCCTTAACAAGATAGAGCCCAAGCGGTATCTCCTCGACGCCTTCTTCCATGCTGTACACACGCTCCTTTGTATCAGAGAGAACAACGTTGGACTTTTGATCATATCCAGCCATTACGCCCTTGTTGCGCAGAGTGGTTGTGGCGGCAGTAACGGTGAGACAAGTGGCGGCAGTAACGGTGAGACAAGCAAGAGTCAGCATTGACGTCATTTGAACAACACGAAGGCCTCGTACCACTATGGCACGTCCATCCTGGAGAATGAGGAGAACGCGATCTGGGGAGTAGAGAAAGTGAACGAGACCGGAGTTCCTTTAGCAACTTGAAAGCTGAAGATCAAGGAGAAAGAACGGGACTTAAGAAAGCACTCACGGTCGACATAGCCCTGCAGGCTAGCCATCGTCAACTGCGTATGCAAAACTTGCGCAGGACGTTAAGTTCGGTGCTCGCGGAGGACTGGCAGTGTGCGCCAGACTAAGCGCACATGTATCGTGATCACCATCCTCTGACCACGTGATTCCGACGCGCTGAGACGACTTGAATTCGGACTCCATTATTCTCCTACACATTCCATATGGAATATCTGATCAGCTTTTTCTTCACGCGTCTCAATTCAACACTCCCTCTCCTCTGTGACATGTGAAACCTCATGAAATACATTTCAAGCACATCCATGAGCTCAAAACCTTCTTACGAACATAGTTCGACAAATTTAGAACGTTGTACTACCATGTTTCAAGAGAAGATGAGGAACGTGGTCGGAGGTAAAGAGTATGGACGTGACTCCCTTTAGAATAGTAGTATGTGGTTGTGGTATATGCACAGGTAACTCCGTTGTTGTGGCATTGCGTGCTTGCAAGGAAGCTACGGTCGGTGAAGCTAAAGGCTGACCGGGGCTATGCTTTCGCTAAAAGCCCCATACCGCCTAATCTTTGCAAAAAAAAAGCGACGAACCACAATGTTCGAAACGAGATAGCTCATCATAATGCGTCACGTTGACTTAAAGAACAGCATATTGATGTCAACCTACTCTTCAATTCAGCTCGTGTTCATCATACCGAAGACCGTGCGAAGCATACCTTTGCAGTCGCCTCCTCAACCATGCGACCATACGTGGCGTGCGTTGACAAAACGTGTGTCAGCTTGGATTGGCAGTTGAAGCAGGAACCCATATCCTGTAACAACTCCCCGAACATCGTTTCATTGTTGAATACGGATGCAGAGGGTCGTATTGCCAGAGACCTCGAAATTCGTTGTACATGCAAGGCCTTCCAGTTCGCGCCGCAATTGCAGGTCCATGTATCGAGGAGTTGAGGGTTTACCTTCGCAGCTGCATCTCCGCACGCCTTGTGGAATAGCAGGAGGCGGTAGTACGGACCCGTCGGTGTTGTCTCAAGCTCGGGAACGTACGTATCCCGTATATGAGAGAACTTCTGGGACAACAAGGCCCTAGCTGTGGCACATGCCTCCTCTTTCCAGCCGCTGGACGCGGCAAGAAGGTACGCGCGTAATGGTTCCATTGTAGCTAATGTTTTCCACTGCTGTTGCAGGATCCACATTGCTCTCTCCATCTTATATTTCCGCGCGACCATGAAAATACGTGGAATCCACCTCACGCTGATTGACATGGGGACGCCCGCAGGCCAACAAATGTGTATGAGCCCTTCCATAGTCTTGCTATCCTCTGGGACGCGGAAAATTGACTGGTTCTGCTTTTTCACAGATTCAGAATCGGGGTTGAGCTGAGGACTGCCCGCGTCCCGCAACGCATGCTCTATGATAGAGGAGGCTACTGTCATAATGATCTTTGATGTGCGTAGGTGTATCCCATCCGAAGTCACTATGGTGAGGTCCCCAGTGCCATGCTGATCCGATAGCGTATTGCTCATCTTATTTTGCGAGGGGAGGCTTTCGTCACGTCCTATCGGCTGATCTGCACGTTTTAGGACGAAGGGTCCACGGAGAATATGGTGGAGAAAGGGGAATCCTGCCTTCTTCAAGTATTGGAGCAGTCTATGATAGCATCCCGCGGGAAGCTCCCCAAACACATCCGCGAAAGGAGGTAGATCATTGGGCCCGGTGACCCTCTCCAACTCAGCGGCCGCAGCAGTCGCAATACTTTCATCTTCCAGACGACATGCAACCACAAATACGCGTAGAGGATGGGAAGAAATGTAATGCCGAAGGTCCTCTTTCAGTGAAGCCTTGACGATGCACATGTCATACTTGTTTGCAGCTTCCAGTGCGGAGCTGACTAGGCCGAGAGTCATGGCCGGACGTGCCACAGGATAGCACATACGTAGAAGCACGTCAAGCGTATAGCTGTTCTCCGTCACATCGACGACCGGAATATCGTCTCGGGCGTCAGGAGGCTGCGGTAGGCTGAACATGCTGTCGAAGAATGGGGAGGCGATCATCAAGATAGCGCGATGGACTCGGAAGTGGACCCTGTCTGAGGAGCTGAGGATGACATCTGCGTCCTTGCGGTCAAACGGTGCGGCGGCGCTGATCGGCTGGCGAGGAGGATCCTCTGGCATGGCAAGCTTTGCGGAAGTACCCTCTGTTTTGGGGACCAGTCCGTGTTATGCGACTATATTGAGATAATGAGCACTGATCGGCCGTTACGCAGAAAGTTCATTCACCTGAGGCTACGAAGGTGAACGGCAGTAGGCACAAAAACGCTGCTATGTCTTGTTCCAAAGCACAGGTGAGTTTCAACGCTATACATGTGCTACGACTATACCAAAGCCTCGAAGCTGGCCCGTGGCAACCACGCGATAGCAGGTTCGACATGATAGAGTTTAAAGTTCAGGTCAAATGAGGTCGGAGACATGACAAGCTAAATCATCGAGTTTATATACGATTGTCCTTCCTTCGTCTGCCTATCATTTTGACAGTATAGCTTCACAAATATACACCGGCGCAGGTCAGTAAAAACATCTTGACATCTTCAAATCTTGGGCTTCGTAAGCAACACCTCAGTGTCGACCTAGGATTGGAGGGTCATTCTGGGTAATCAACCGGTACGTTGTCCTCTCACCTTTGCGATAGTGTCCTCCACCAAGCGACCAAAGTCTGTATGGAAGGATAGAACTGCTCCGAGTTTCCCTCTGCAGATGCTGCAGTGCCCGAACTCACCCACTAGTTCGGTGAGAATCTCCGTCTCGCTGAGTGTAGCAGCGGAAGGTCGTATACGTAAGCGGTGTGTTATCCGTTCTGAATGATGAGGTTTCCAGCGATCCGTGACGTTACACTTGTTGACGTTACAATAGGCTATCCTCTTCCACGAAACAACATCGTCGGGGTTTAGCTCGGCAGCCAGTTCGCCGCATTTCTTGTGATATCGTATAAGACGATAATACGGACCTGCTGGTGTCGTCTCGAACTCAGGAGTGTACGCGTCTTCTAGCTCTTGGTAAGTCCAGGACAGTAATGCTCTGGCTGCTGTGCAAGCTTCTGTCTTCCAATCGAGGGTGGTGGCTAGGAGGAATGCGCGCAATGGCTCTGTGCTCAAGAGCTGGTTCCACTGATGATGCAGGTGCCACATTGCCCTCTCCATCTCGTACTTCTTGGCGGCCAAGAACACCTGTGGAATGAGCTTCGTGCTGATGTTGTCGGGCGCGGCAGTGGGATAACAGAACTGTATAAGAGGTTTCATTGTGAGGCCGTCTTCATCAACGTGGATTGTTGGGATGTCGGTGCATGGCGCACCCGAATCATGGTCCACATTGTCGCCTATAGCCTGTGGTCTCTGCAGCATCTCATTCAAGACAGGAGAAGCCAATGTGACAATGGCCTTGCATACTGGAATGCTCATCCGATCCGAAGTAATGATTACGAGGTCTGCATTTTGATCGGTGAGGCAGGATGCGGGCGGGTCGTCTACTGTGCCATCGGTGAGGCAGGATGCGGGCGGGTCGTCTACTGTGCCATCGGTGAGGCAGGATGTGGGCGGGTCGTCTACTGTGCGTCTCGGAGACACGTGGGCCGAAGGGGTTGGTGATGTATATATGAATCCCTGCTTGCGGCCTGTTCGAAGGTACTGTAGAAGTCTGTAGTAACACCCTGCAGGTATCTCCTCAAACTCCAAAACATATTGTGCCAAAATAGGTTCTAGATTGAATTTGACGCTACCGCGTTTGTGATTGCTCAAGCCATTCGGCCACCTCAGGCTCTCCGCGGCGAAATCTGCCATTTCGTCATCTTCGAAGGTGCAAGCCACGGCATAAAGTCGCAGAGGCTGCGAGGCTGCGAAACCGCGCAGACCCGTTTTGCATAAGTTGATTGCTAGGTCCATCTCGTATTTCAGAGCGGCCCTCAAGGATGACCGCCCAATCTCGAGTGTTGGGATGGGTCGATCCACAACTGGGTAGCACATCCGCAGGACACAGTTCAACGCATCACTGTCCTCGGCAACATCGACTATCTCGATCTGGATATCCTCGCGACTGGCAGGTTCCTGCGGAAGAGTGAACATGGTGCGAAAGAATTGAGAGGCTATCCTCAGAATGACACGGTGGACACGAAAATCGACGTAGTCAGATGAACGAAGGATTAGATCGGCATCTCTCTCGTTGAATGGCGCATTGGCGACGTTCCTGATAGGCAAGGTTGTCAAAATTGAGGAGAAATGGTGAACGAATGAACATACGGGATTAATATCATGTCTCTCTGCGATGACTCTGAAACTAACTGAGTGACAGTGCAGACAGATAACATGCAGCGTTGGTAGGTGTTGGCGGCGATTGAAGAATGGGCGCTGATCGGTGTCCGATTATACTATCGGAAAGAGAGCGGCGACGGGCGTTAAAGCCATAAATATCGGCTTCAGAGACATCGCCAAACAACGCCTGTAGATGACATCATCGGATTATAATCAGGCAGAGCAAGATGTGAACTCCTTTATCCTTGCACATATTATGTCTGCACAAGGAATCTCTGCAACAGAGTTGCTGACGGCGCATTTACTCGCGTCGTCGACACCGCGCCCCTACTCGGCGGCGACGGAACACCCCTTCCTCACCGCCGCCGGCCTCGGGACACTCCCACCTGCTCTCCTCGCCCTTTACCTCGCCCAGGACCGCTTGTACGCCGCACACTGCATGCAGTATTCAATTTTCTAGTACATGAAATCAAATAAAAATTGAAAGAAAAGTTAATTTACCTAATCAGTACTCTAGCGCCTAATATGGAAGTGAAATCGAAGGAAAATCGATTATGTAATCCATCTTCCATTGTCTCTTTCAATTTTCCTTTGATTTTTCTTCAATTTCCATTCAATTTCTACATCAGTAAGATTCAATAGGTGCTATTTGCTTTTAATTGAATTACGATTTGATATTTTGTGCAGGAAGATTGATTTCTGCATGCAGTGGCACACACCTACCCTGCCTTCATTGGTCGCCTCCTCTCCGCTGTCCCCTTCTCCTCGCTGGATGCGGCAGACTCAGCCCACGAGTGCACAAACCAGCGCATTGTGCATGCCCTGAGTGACATGCTCCAGAAGGTCGTGTGCGAGGTCAATGTGTCGCGACTTGAGGTCAAGCAACAGGGGAAAACCAAACAAGGGATGCTGAGGGTGTTGGACTGGGTCTCACTGAAGCGATGGTGAGCAGTGCTCAAACCTAAGGCTAGGGACAAGTGAATATATTAGTTGAAGGTAAGAAAAGAATACAAGGGGAAGCTTACTGACCTAGGGACAAGAGGTCGAAACTGAGGTCCCTAGGGCAGCAGAGGCCAGCTTATATACAGAGGGAGATAAGGGCAGGCTGTGCGCATTGGTCCGTGCGCAGCTGGTCCATGCGCAGCATGCTGACATAGCCCCGGGGGCCGGTGAGTCAGAGCGGCTGTGTCAGTGGGGCCCGAGCTGTGCCGCGCACTGCCGCCCATCTAATCTAATCGTACAGTAGATAGTGATGTGTCCATATCAGGCATGTAGTACAGAGGTCGCGGGTTCGAGCCCATGAAAAGGAAAAAAATTTAAAAACGGCTAGCCACCATACCAACTCATGACACATGACCTCATGCGAGGCGCCCTTGCCCATCTCCCACCTGGAGCGGCAGCGTGCTTCAGTCAGCGGCAAAGGCATTGGCTGAAAGTTGAGACCACCAAAGGTAGCGGCATTGAGGCGGCAAGGGGCATTGGGGTTCTTCTGGTGGAAGTCAGCTATGAGGGCTGGTGTGTTTGTAACATTGCACGCTGGTTCCCATGACATATGTGAGTCATCATAACCCTTCCACTTGATGAGGTACTGCAGCTGATGCCGGAAGATCCTCAAGTCCTTGTTCCGCTCAACCTCATACTCCTCATCGCCTTCCACCTCAATGGCAGGCAGCTCCTCCGGCTCCTGGCCCGGGATGTCACTATACTTACTTGCTAAGCAAGGAGACATGTAACACCGGGTGCACAGGCACCGACTTTGGCAAAACCAATTTGTAATCCAAGTCTCCGAGCTTTTGCCGCATGGCGTATGGTCTGAGGCACTTGGGACTGAGCTTCTTGCTCCGCTGTTTCAGCTTAAGGTTCTGAGCATCAAGCCAGACCTTGTCCCCTGGCGCAAAAACTGGTGCCTCCTGCACGTGCTTATCATAATACACCTTCATCTGCTCAGCTGATAGTTCTAGCACGGAGTGCATATCATCACAGATCTCCTTCAGGATCTTAAGCCGATCTGCGGCTGCGGGCATTGTGGACATCAGATTGATCTGCACTTGGATCTCAGGGTGATAAGCCTGATTCAGGAAGAAAGGGGAGTGCCCGGTTGCTAAGTGAACTCTATTGTTCAACACAAACTCGGCAAGCGGCAGCTGCTTCGTCCAATCATCCTGCCTGTGGCTTGTGAAAGCACGCAGGTATTGCTCAATCTCCTGATTCCAGTGCTCAGTCTGTCCATCCGTCTGAGGGTGGAATGCTGTGGACAGTGCCGGCTCGATCCCTAGTCCCTTGTACACCACATGGAGATACTTCGACGTGAACTGGGGACCTCAGTCTGATATGACCTTGGCTGGAGCCCCATGATGCTTGAATATGTCGTGGATGTACAGGTCTGCCGCACCTTCTGCCATCAGGGTCTCATGACAGGCCGAGAAGTGGACCTACTTGGTAAAGCGGTCGGCGGTAACTAGGATCAAGTCGAATCCATCAGACTTTGGCAAGCTGATGATCATATCGGTGGTGATGATCTGCCATGGGTGCTTGGGGATCTCGTTTGGCTTCAGCGGGCCCTGGGGTTTGGCTGGGAATGTCTTGGTACGGTTGCACACATTGCAGTTGCTTACATACTCATTGACAAATTTAGACATTCCTGGCCACCAGTAGTTCTGTGACACGAGCTCGAGGGTTTTGGCACAACCGCCATGACTGGCAATCAGTGAGTCATGGTGGATCTTGACAATATCCCGCCGGAGCTCTGCGTTCTTTGGAACATATACACATCCGCGGAACAACAGAAGCCCTTGTTCGGCATTCCACTCCTCAAAGCCTTTCTGCAGCTGAGGTGGCCCGAGGTTCTGCACCTTCTCAAGTGCCTCGGCCACTGTCCGATCCCTCTCTGAACATTCCCTGATGTGCCTCAGAAGCGACTGATTGGCTATCACTGAGGCGTGCCCACGCTGTGTGGCAGCGATGCAGAAGCACTCCTGTTTGAGGACAATCTGATCGGTGTTGTCATCCTCATCGCCAACCTGATGGTCCGATCAGTGTGATAGGGCATCAGCCTTTCCATTTGATGTTCTGGCTTTATGCATGATGCGAAAGTCGAAGCGGGTGAGGAACAGCGACCATTGCGCTTGACGACACGTGAGGTGCGCGCCAGTACTCGAGGTTCTTATGATCAGTCACGATCTCGAACTGTGTGGGCAATCCCTCGAAATAGTGGTGCCACTCGTATAGTGCTTTGATGATCGCAAGCATCTCCTTATCGTAGATCTCGTAATTACGCTGGGCAGGGTCCATAGCGTGAGATCGGAAGGCAACTGGATGCCATTTGCTGTCATTGTAAGGATTTACATGCATGCACCGGTCTCACATCATAACCTCTGCACCAAAAGGGCGCAATGTCAAGCTTGGCTTGACATCTGACCAGAGGTATATATGCTGATCATATGCCAACTCATGACAGTCATCCTGCTTCTGCATCAACACACCACCAGTGGCATACCCTGAGGCATCAACCTCAATGCGCGTTTCCCGATTGGGGTCATACAATGCCAGAACAGGGGTCGTGCCAAAGAGCCTTTTGAGCTTATCAAAGGCATGCTGCTCCTCATTGCCCCAGTGCCAGGGGTTGTTCCCTGTGAGCCGGTCGAGTGGTCGCGAGATCTTAGCAAAGTCCTTAATGAAGCAGCGGTAAAAGTTGGAAAACCCCCGGAACTTTTGAACATCTTTTTTGTTCAGGGGTACCGGCCACTCATTAATTCCTTTCAGCTTTGCAGGATCCATTACTACCTCATCGCCACCGAACACATAGCCGATGTAGTCAACCTTGGGAACATCCCATTCGCACTTCTCAGGCTTCAGGAACAAATTGTTCTCCTGAAGGCGATGAAGAACCTCGCGTGTGACCCTGTCGTGCTCCTCTTTGTTGGTGGAAAAGACAAGGATGTCATCTAGGTACATGAGGACCTTGCCACCGACAATGAGATCGTGGAAGATCTCATTCATCATTGCCTGGAAGGTCACAGGGGAATTGGTGAGGCCGAAGAACATCACCAGGGGTTCGTATAATCCCCGGTTAGTTACGAAGGCAGCCTTCCACTCATCACCAGCTTTGATCCGGACATTGTTGTATCCCCATCTGACGTCGAACTTCGTGAAGAGCATAGTGCCGCGGAGCTTGTCTACCATATCGGCGATCAGCGACAGTGGATAGTGATTTTTGACTGTGATTGCATTTAGTCGGTGATAGTCCTGTACAGGCCGAAGTGTCCCTTCCTTCTTTTTGATGAAGAAGAAGGGGGATGAAATGGGTGACTTCGATTCCTGTATATAGCCTTTTGCCAACTGCTCCTTTAGGAACTTATCCAATTCCTCCTGCTCGTTGTTCGACAAGGGGTACACCTTCGAATGGAATGTCGAGTAGCCAGGTATGAGTTTGATTGCGTGATCATATGGCTTGCTTTCAGGTAGTTATTCTGATGCTTCCTTGGAGAAGACATTCAGGAACTCATGGTACCACTTTGGTACTGACTCCTCGGTGGTTTTAACAACCTTCTTCTTGATTTCTTCCTCAGCAAACAGCTGGGAGTATGTATGTCCTGCTGCGATGAATAGCTGAGGAGCACTGGGAAGTGTGATGCCTTGCTCCCAGGCCTCGATCAAGTCGGCTTCCGTCCACTTGATCTTTCTGGATCATTTTTGGGTTTGAAGTCCGGGAGTACCTTACTCTGACATGTGCCTATGACCGGCTGTTTGGACTTTGGCAAACATCTGCACGCCATGGGCTGGACCCCCATATCACGCGCAGTCACTGCTTGCTCCATCCGGTCAGTCTTCCTGGCATTGCATGTTTCAGGGCATCGTGATAGCTTGAGGGAGCCTTTCTCCCAATCTATTTCAGGGTTGTGCTCTCATAGCCAATCCAACCCGACGATCACATCCTCTGGACCTATGTCCATGACCGTGAATACTGTTTTCTTGACGTGTCCTCCTATCTGCATCTGTAGCATGGCTACTTCCGAGATGCTTCCATCTTTGTTGAGTGTTCCATTGATATTATATAGTGGAATTGGTTCCTTCAATTTCCATGTTTGTACTCGATTCTCCTGGCTAAAACACTTGTTGATAAACTTTGTGGTGGCTCTGCTGTCCACCATTGCAACTATGTCCTTGTGCCATCTTTCTCCTTTGAGGTGCACTGGGATGTGGAAATGCTGGGACCCATGGTCCAACTCATACACATTTGCAATTGCCAATACATTGTACAGATTGTTATTATGGGGTCCGATGCGTGCAGCATGAAGCGTGGACCGGATCAAAAACCCTCCTCTTTCATCGCCCAATAGTGCTCAAGCTCTTCGCGCATCGACTTCACCTGTGCCATCAAGGCCGCCAGTGTCTCAGATTTCTCTGGACTCGCTGAAGCAGCACTTGTACTTGCCAATGGTGATGTCGTGACGGGGGCACTTGTCGCAGCCTGGGTGGAACCCGAGGCAACCATAGCCCGTGCATCAGCACATTTGGTGTAAGGCTTATCCTTACAATTGGGGCACTTGAAGTGACAGTACCCTTGCTTCCCGCAGCCAAAGCAACTGCCAGGGTGTCATGAGTTGGCATGTGATCAGCATATATACCTCTGGTCAGATGTCAAGCCAAGCTTGACATTGCACCCTTTTGGTGCAGAGGTTATGATGTGAGACTGGCGCATGCATGTAAATCCTTACACAGGAAAGTCTCCTTTTCCAACGGCCACGTTGATGCTGGCCGAAGCTCTGTGTGACCGGGGTGCACCACTGTGCACTCCACCTCGTCCACCTCCTCAAGCCGAGAAGAAAGTGTTCAACTCAGGCCGATGGGCCCGGCTGATGTCGAGTATTTGCTCGACTTCCGTGGCGCACTTGTCAGTGTTTTCCCATGTAGTGAACATTTCGAGCTCGATTTTGCGGTAGACGCAGGAGGGGATGCCGCTCAGGTACTTGTCATGGAGTTTCAGGTCACCATACCCGGAACGGTCTGCTGGACCCTTGAATAATGCGGAGAATTCTGCAGTGGTGCGTGTTTCGCGTACTGATTTGTCAGTGCAGAGTTTTGCCAGTTCTACCTGAGCTGCAGCCTCATTGTCAAGGTTGCTGAAGCGGGCCTTGAGCACGGCAGCAAAGGCCACCTCATTTGCGAAGGGGGTCATGATTCCTTGGACACCTAGCTGTACTTGTACAAGCTGGGCAAAGAATGGAGTGGCCCAGGTACGGGCGTCACCATCAAGGAGGCTCAGAGCAACCTGCACCTTAAGCTCGGTGGTTGTCAATGTGTCACAGTTTCCCTAATTTTACCTAATTCTTTCGCTATTTCTGCGGACATATTGAAGGGTCTAGGGACTTATCCATACTTATCTGTCCGCATATGGGTACATCTGCATATCTAAGGGGTTATCCGCTTAAATAAGCGACATATGATCTTGTTCTGGACACATCAGGCTGGACTCTGATGCCGGACCTTTTCTAGATAGAAACCAGACTCTGTCTGGACTATGACATCATTCTGACATCATAGGTAGGAGCTAGGCTCAGGCACTAGGCCATAGGCCGGTCTTTTCTGGACCCTAGGCCCAGGGCAGGGCAGGGCCAGACTATGACATCATTGATAACATCATATCGCACCATAGGGCACATGATACTTAGTAATCCTTACCAAGCTAGGTACCAGGGGTCCATTACCGGTCCCTGGGGGGTTTTCCCTCATGTATATAAGGCAGCATCCTGGGGCACCCTGTCCCCCAGTTCTATTCACTTTGTTGTTGCGCTTAACAGCATTATCTCCCCATACTTAAGTGCTATCATCTCCCCCCCAATATATCAAGCTATAAGGTGGGTTTGTAGGTTTTGTGATACAATGCCATGTTGACCAGCCAGTAGATGTGTAATTGGGAAAGGAACCGGTCGCACTCAATGATAGTTTTTCATCATATTGTAAGGGGAGTAGGAGCTTCAGTGTCTCCTTGTTGGGAGGGGACACTGGGGATGACATTACCAGTGACGAGGGGGACAGAGGACCGCCCGCGGGTGAAGGCGGCTGCTGTGACTGTCCGCCAGGTGAACTTCGAGAGGAGCGAGTGCTCGAGCGGCCTCATGGCAGTGACGGCGGTGGAGGTGACGGAGGAAGTCTGGTGGCAGGGTGACGTATGACAGGGACTGGAATCGAGGAGGAGACCGCTAATGATGAGCTGGCCCAAGTAACCATTAGACTGTCACAAGGCTCAGACTTCGGGATCCTTTTCAACTGCGGCCCCAAGGAGGACTGGGGGATCACTTGAGGGGTCGCTGTAGACTGTGCGACTGCCTCAATTCTTCAAGGGAGATCAGGATCTCCTCGCACTTGACCTGTACTGGTGACAGGTTAGGGAATGTAGGTGCCTGGGGATGCGGGTCGGGATGGGACGGGAGTGACGTGGCGAGAGGTAGATCTCGATGTGCCAGCATACTGAAGTGTGGGGCCACTGGGGTGCTGGACTCGTCTGATTGGTATGTAGCATCCTTTGTCAGTAGTGATGGACCGTGGAGTGCGACTAGGGCACGGTTGTTGGTCACAACAGAAGAACTGTAAGGATTTACATGCATGCGCCGGTCTCACATCATAACCTCTGCACCAAAAGGGCGCTGATCATATGCCAACTCATGACAAGAACAGAGATTTGGACCCGTCGCTTTCTGGGTCATCGTGGGAGATGTCGACCTGCTCTTGTGTGTCGAACACATGCTCAAGTCGAGAGCAGTTGAAGAATTTGTCAGCCACAGTGATGGAGGGAGGAAGGGGAGGTGCGCGTGCTATGAAAGGCTGTACCAGCTAGCTTACACCTATGGTGCCCGAGATGACACTGAGGTTTACAGTTCATGGGGGGCCCAGTACTGCTTTTGGCTAGTATGCAGCAGGAACCTAGTCCATGTGTCCATGAGGACAAGTATTGCCCACTGAAGTGCAGATACTGAAGAGTTCGTTCCTTAAGTGGTGGTGATGTATCATAGGCTATCTAAGTATGGTAAGGGTGCACACCACCCAACCTATAGGAAGTGTGAAGTGAGTGGGAGTTTGGGTGAACACTGGCAGCAGTGAGGAGTTTTGACCTAATGTTACAACTTGGGGTCAAGTGATGGGGGAAAACCAAACAAAGGGATGCTGAGGGTGTTTGACTGATTCTCACTGAAGCAATGGTGAGCAATGCTCAAACCTAAGGCTAGGGACAAGATAATATATTAGTTAGTGAAGTCAAGAAAGGATACAAAGGAAGGCTTACTGACCTAGGGACAAGAGGTCAAAACTGAGGTCCCTAGGACAGCAGAGGCCAGCTTATATACAGGGGAAGATAAGGGCAGGCTATGTGCACTGGTCCGTGCACAGCTGGTCCGTGCACAGCTGGTCCGTGCACAGCTGGTCCGTGCACAGCATGCTGATGCAGCCCTGGGGGCCAGTGAGTCAGAGTGGCTGTGTCAGCGGAGCCTGAGCTGTGCCGCGGACTGCTGCCCATCTAATCTAATCGTACAGTAGATAAGGACTTGTCCATTCGAGTGTATGGTACAGAGGTCATGGGTTCGAGTCTGCGAAAAGGAAAAAAATTAAAAAAACGGCTAGATGCCGTGTCAACTCGTGACAATTCTGCATCCTGTGCTATCAAATTGTGCACTTAAATTATTATTATGCACTATCCTTGATTTTGGTAGACTTTCAGCAAGAATTTGTTCTCTCCTGCAGCCCAATCTCATCAGACAAGCAGTTTGAGGCAGATTTAGGGCCTCAAGTGGAATAACATACTCGAAATTTAACAGAAATGTTACCATAAATGGACAGAACACATAGCGCACTCTACCAGCATGATGGTCCCTCAATTTAACTGTGTACAGTATTGCGACATGCTCTATGAGAGGCGCGATTGCACTGTGAAACGCACTTCACATGATCCGGAAAGTGCCATAAGGGGCTTGTTCTGCAAACCGGGTTAGGTTTCATGAAGACTAGTATGTTGGTCACAAGGTCCAATAACAAGATGTTGCACTAAATCCTTGGCCATTTCCGCAAAAGGGTCTTCACCTAGCTTAGGCTGTATTCGGCACCCCCGCCCGGCCTACACTTGCACGCCAAAATCGGAGGTGTCCACTTTGATCTCACACCTCGAGCAAAACAAGGCATGGACGCTTGTGGAATGACGTTCCAGCTTCATCCTGCACTTTGTCACATGCTTGTGATGGCAGCATCATGCTATCTCACCCTGCTTCCACTGCATGCAGGAATCAATTTTCCTGCACAAAATATCAAATCATGATTGAATTGAAAGCAAATAGCACCTATTGAATCTTACTGATGTAGAAATTGAATGGAAATTGAAGAAAAATCGAAGGAAAATTGAAAGAGACGATGGAAAATGGATTACATAATCGATTTTCCTTCGATTTCACTTCCATATTAGGTGCTAGAGTACTGATTAGGTAAATTAACTTTTCTTTCGATTTCTATTCGATTTTTTGTACCAGAAAATCGAATACCGCATGTAGTGTGTCGCGACTTGAGGTCAAGCGACAGGGGAAAACCTAAAAGCTGGGGGCGTCCGACTTAGATCTCACCGAAGCAATGGTGAGCAATGCTCAAACCTAAGGCTAGGGACAAGGTAATATATTAGTGAGGTAAGAAAAGGAATACAAAGGATGCTTACTGACCTAGGGACAAGAGGTCGAAACTGAGGTCCCTAGGGCAGCAGAGGCCGGCTTATATACAGGGGAAGTTTAGGGGAGGCTGTGCGCACTGGTCCGTGCACAGCTGGTCCGTGCACAGCTGGTCCGTGCACAGCTGGTCCGTGCACAGCTGGTCCGTGCGCAGCATGCTAACGCGGCCCCGGGGGCCGGTGAGTCAGAGAGGCTGTGTCAGCGGAGCCCGAGCTGTGCCGCGCACTGCCGCCCCATCTAATCTAATCGTACAGTAGATAGCGATGCGTCCATATCAGGCATGTAGTACAGAGGTCGCGGGTTCAAGCCCGCGAAAAGGAAAAATTAAAAAACGGCTAGACGCCGTACCAACTCGTGACATAGTGTTCAACACACTCTAAGACTGCATATACCATGCTCGCTACCTATTAACATCGCGATACACCTAATGAGAGCTGTAATTACAGCCCTGCGGTGCCCCGTACAAGCAGCAGTAGCCTGTTGAAGGGTGCAATTCTTTACAAATGTTGTAGAAACCATGCGAGAGAGACTCAGATTGGCCGCATGACTTGAAAGGCTGTGATGTATATGTGACATGGTGACCGGCATCTCACGTAGCATGGTGGCAACACCCCCGCCTGGCCTTGAAGCCAAGCGTAGGCACAGGCATAGGCCGGGTGGGGGTGCCGAATACAGTCTTACTATCAGATACGGGGTTTTGCAAACTCATGCATTGTTCCCTTCACTCTGCTTGAACCACCACAAGGATCGTTGTTATTTCACTCAGGCATTGTTGTAAATACATGGAGGAGTACCCATAATGAAGCTGGTGCCCATACACAAAGGACAGCCAGTGGTAGCGAGATGCCACATTCGAGGCCTCGCATTGCAGTAGTTCTGCAAATTCTATCACACCTGGGTCACAGCGGCAAATCTAAACTCCGCTCGGCAGACGTTGCAGGACTGCAAAGTGTGCTGCCGCATCGTGCCATGATCGAGCGCGGAGTGTGTACATATCATGCTGACAGTGGCAAATGTCACGCTTGCTCTACCAGAACAACCATCGCCCACCAGCCATGTCTTTAAGGGTGAATTGGGCTGGTGTACCAGAACACACAAAGCTGTAATATAACGGATCGGATGTCTGATTGTCAAGAAATACAATGAGTGTCTCTGGATCTCGCTCATCACATGTTTGCAGAACACCTTAAGAACAGTCTGCAGGCTGTCATTTCACTTCACCTTCATTTCCTCTCAATCGCTCTTGCACATAGCGTATACTAGGTGCCTACTAGCATCTACAGCAATCAAAATTAAATTTTCATGGTGTGCAGTGGAGATCACGCAGTTCTGCAAAATTGATGGGTTTTGCAAAACCCCGTATCTGATAGTAGGGCTTAGATAAGTAGGATAGGGATACTTATATCGCAGATAATTATAACCAAATATGGGCTATTTGGAATTATACCACTACACATCCTAGGTCCCAAGCCATATCGAAGACCCTGCCACTGACCTTACTTCGACGTGTCGGCTAACATCGCTGATACTCGTGTCGCTACCACAGCGTTCTGCTGCATCATAATGGGACATCAGTGAAGGACAGGTCACACCAGACGAGACAGTGCGGTGGCTCTTCGAAAAATACTTGAGCGGCCAGTGTTTGTAAGAGGAGATCTGCGTGTTTCGCGACAGCTGGTGTATATATCATGTAATTCTCATCAATCGTCGGTATCATATCTTTGCAACCGATACTTCTCCTAAATGCTAGCGAAGTTGACGGAAGATACTACGGGTGCGCGCATTGTTCCTCCGGCAAGATCGCTCACGATACAATTGCACCATTAATCCTCCAAAATCTCATCCACCGGTCGACGTCCGTGGGCCCCAGGGGCGTTAGGACGGAGTCTCGAAGAGTAGTTGACGCAGCACAACCCAGATCTATGGCCATAGTAAACGACAGGCCATTGTTGTCTCTTCGGTGATCCGCATTCTTGGTCGACTGGACGCCTAGACGCAGCCAATCAAGGATGCGGATTGCGGGCTCCAAATACACCTCGACACCTCGATCCATGGGCTGCATGAGGCTCCCCTCAAGAAGCCCGATCCATTCTTGATAAGGTACCATCGGCACCTTGAGTGACACCGCAATACATTGCATGATGTCTGACCAATGGACGGGGTGCGGATGTCGCAGATGAAGGACTGGCTCTTCTGAGTCCAGCATCTCGACCAGTGCTGCAGCGCCCACGTGCACAGGTAGCCATGAAACTTCCTGCTCACAAACGTTCTCAGTATATCTTTTGCATAAGCCTGACAGAGGAACGCACTCCTGTACCGTCTGGGACGCAACCGAGGGCAGAACTAGCCGAGACCAACGCAGGTATCCACTCAGAGGTCTTCCAACAGCCGTTCGCTGCTCCAGACATTTGACCGATACGTATTACGGTACCCATGATGCAGTGTTGGGCGGTTGCCTCGAGAACTAGCCGCTCCGCCACCCATTTCGATTCGCTGTATCCGGAGCCCACGGCCACGGACGCGTCTTCAATGGGCCTTTCTGCGGCGACGTTCGAAGCGCTCAGGTATTACAAACAATCATAAGCATTGTATACTTTTAAAAACTGCGACATTACCACAAAATACACCCGAAGTACTCGCGAAGACGAATTTGCGGGTTCGGAAGGTGTATAAGCGGGCAGACGCAAACGCAATGAGGTTGTGCAGCCCTTTGAGCGCAGGCTCGTATGCAATCAACGGAGCGTTCCAATCGATAGGCCAGGCTAGTCTGCCATCAGCGCACGTTCATCGTATAGGTGTCTGGACTGACCAAGATGTATCACATGCGTAATGGTCCGCTCGATCTGTACTTGGCCAATGGTAGACTCAGGTTCATTGGACAGACACGGAAGCGTACCTGGGCTACAAAGGATGATGGAAGACCTAGATCAATTTCGGTTAACTCGCCCTCAAGAAGGGTTGATTTGGAAGAGTTCAAGGCCGCGCAGTCAAGGCCTTGTGAAGTGAACGCAGATTCAACCCTCCTTCTGAGCGGCAGCGTGTTATGCATCCGGGAGATTGCATACACACGTTCGACGTCGGTATCCTCCAGCAGTTCTTTGAGAACATGTGCGCCGACGCGGCCAGTTACTCCAGTGACGAGGACGACTTTCTGAGACCTGGACTTCGTCGATGTGAGCGGCATTTCTCTACGCGGAAATGTGCCGTATTTATGGACCAATTGTGTCATTTCTCGAACTTTGTGATGACACTCGCGGATTCCATGCGAATCTGTGGTGCTTGCCGTTGTGGAGGACGGATTTTGAGCTAAACGTGCCGACAGGAGAGTTAAGAGGTTTGCGAGAGTCATACCGGACAGAAGCTGGATCTGCGAGATCGGTAGTAGATCACGTAGTGCAAATGACAGTGATGCCGCCGTAAGGGAGTCAAGGCCGTATGCAGTCAGCGGGACGTCCAGTGATAGGTCTTCTGAGGCAATATCTAGCAGCCGAGAGACAATGTCGCGCAACCCTTCTGCCTTGTCAGGAGCAGGCTGGCCTTGAACGTCGAGCGCGGATGCGTCTACTATATGGTTATACATGGAGGAGGGCCCCATGCTTGCGCTGACGGCATTCCAATCGAACGCAGGGATGTACTGCCAGACGGGGCCATCGCGTAGTCTCAATATGACATCCTCAATATAGGCACAGAGATCTAAAACTGGCATCAGTCACTCTCGATAAGGACGAACATGTTACATTAAATCACCTCGGCATGACATTCCCCAATCGCTCAGGTGCCTTATACGAGACATATATGAATCTCCGGATTGCGTTAGGAAGACGCCGGCATCCGTGATGATGGGACAAATAAAGGATGTTGCGTTTTTGTACTCCTGCAGCATGCCCGACAACGCGGTGTTCGCCCTGGGTGGGAGACATGAATAAGCAAGTAAAGGATAATATCGAACACTTACGCAGCATAGTTGGTCTGACCTGCGTTTCCAAACAACCCGCTCACCGATGAAAATGCGATGAGAAAATCAAGGCTCTCAATCGGTACGATCTTCTTTAGAGTACCGAATACTTCGTCTTTTGCTTTGAATGGGGAGTCGAATTCAGCCTGCGTCAGCATAGCAAATGTATGATCGATCAAAATAGCCGTCAGAATGAAGCAGCCACCCAGAGGGTGCTTGAGACTTTGCACCAAGCCACGCATATCTTCTTCCGAGAGGGCGTCTGCCCGTCTCGTTCTCAGTGTCAAGTCCGGGAGTTTCTCGAGATACCTCAAGATCGCTTGCGACAGATAGTCCCCCTTCCTGGTTAAACCCTGACGGTCTGATCGCGATGTTAGAACGATTTCCCGTGCTCCATTCTACTAAGTATGAGTTTCATTTACGAGTGGGCACTGCGCTGTGCTTACCTGATGCATCCATGCTGCGATGTGTACGCCTAGGCTACCCACGCCTCCTATCAAGAGGTATGATTTGCTACGCTCAAATAGATCTGTCCTTAATGGCACCTCTGGCGGTATGTGATCTACCAAGAGGAGCGGCTGCGTGTATAGTTCCGTCATACCCGTATAAGGTAGGCTGGCATTGAGGGCATCGCCGATAGCACACGGATCCGTCTCGATCACGCGCGCAACGCCCGTCTGGGGATGACGCCACGCGAAGACAGAGCTGTGACTCCCCGCCATCTCCTTGTAAACGCTAAGGAGTGAATCGTCCGTAACCCCAGTCACGATAATCTTGCGTGTAGTGGATGAGTGGTCGCGTAATGATTGATATGTTGCGTCAGAGTCTTTCATTGCCGAGGCTGTAATCCCGAGCTAAGAGTAGACTTCAATGATCTGGTGGCACAAGTCTCCATCGCCCTCGTCGACCAATATCTTGGTCTGCTTCAAGCGTTGCGGATGTGAAAACGAGGCCACTCCTACAGCAAGTGCAGCTACGACGCAGGCAACGACAGATAGTGCCTTGTTCTTGGTAGCATATTCCTGAGAATCCACCGAGGCCTCGTCTGTGAGCGATGGTGCAGTTGGACAAAGGCCCTTGCATAAATCCAGCAAGCAGACCATCTACGCCTGCTACACATCCGACGAAGCCTTGGAGCGAGCCGTATGCGGTCGTGACTGCAATAACGCGCACAGTGACATAGTCGTTAGCGGGAGGCGGCAGTGTGATGTGGGAAATTTGAGAATTCTCGAGTTTCCAAGGCAGAGCGGGATTGAACTCTGTCGAGCGTGTCGTTTGAGGTAACGGTAAGATCTTGGGGCTTGTCACTACACCGTCTGCAGAAATTATCATTTCCACTTCGGATAGTCGACCTCGCGTCATTAAGGTTTCGATAGCTTTTGCTCTGTGTCGTCGTGTCCATACGCGATCGAAGAGTACTGTGTATAAGGCCCAAGCACGATATTCTTTCCGGAGAGATCTCGCGAGGCCAAGACAGGCGTATCCATCGAGATCGTCGGACGCAATGAGCCATAGCGCTGAGGGAGCCAGGGGGTCCAGGCTCTTCAAAATCTTCTGCAATGATATCTCCTCGCCTCGCCGGTAGTGGATGAGCAGATCGGTCGAGTCGGAGCTGAAGGTCACAATGCCGTCGTCTAGAGAGCCGGTATCAAGGGGTACAGCGAGCCCTTCGTGTGAAACCGGCTGAAGGGTATAGCGCTTAGTGCACTGCCTTATATCTTGATCTTCACTTTCTAGGACTCCCAGAGCAGCGCTCAAGGGCACATCGGTCGGCGCGTATACTAGTTGGAAGCGCTGCATCAAAGGCTCCCCGTGACCGTGCAGCGCACATGTCATGTCCTGCAATGTGCACAACGGCGTACCATCCTCCTTGATCAGGAGACATTCGTATGTAATGGAATCTAGATCAACGAGATAAGCACCCAGCAGCCTACGGTACAAACATGAAGTATACCTGGAAACCACTGTGTCATCACGACATGAGCAAAGACCGTTCTTGGAAAAGGCTCTGAGAGCACCATGTTATGCAGGGTGAAAGATCCGCATGTAGACGAGAGATAGTATCGATGCTTGTCATTGCACCCGTTGAAATTCGGATGCACCATGATGTGCAGCGCAGCGTCCAATATCGCTGGATGTATGCGGTAGGTTTCTGCACTACAAAGTAGCAAACGTTGAATATTGTGTTGTATGTGATTATGCAAGGGATGCTCACCCTGGCAAGTCATCGTCGATACCGCGCACCTCTACTAACGCTTCACTTCGCCCGTATATATCGACACCGCGGAGGCATGATGTCACCCTCTGGTATGTTGGACCGTAGTTCGCAAAGAAAGAAAAACCACGGTAGAAGTCTATTTCCTTCATGAGTCAGTCAATCTTCGGCGCAAGCCTCCATTCATAATTTACCTTTCATGTTGACTCGCTTTAGCCGCGCTCTGATTTTTTCCAGATCGACTTCATCATTGTTTCCGACGAATTCGTGGGCCCTAGAGAGAAAACCGACGGCATGGATGCGGTCAAACTAGTTCATAGATCTTTTAGTCACCTCGCGCCAGAACGGCATTTGGCCTCACCTCAACCGGCCATTTCTTCGTAAAATCCACAGACGACGCACTGCGGATGCTCCATCGACTGCCCTCCAGTTGAACAGCAACATGCTTCGGCCTGTCTGAGGACAGGGAGAGGAATGAGGTGAACTCGATATTCCATTATTTTGTTGCACCAAACTCGAGTGCCTGTATGGCATTTAGCTTGCTGCGTCGTGAGACCAGAAAACATAATAGTACCATCTCAATGTAGCCAGCGGCCGGCATGGTCGGTTCATTCTTGATTATGTGCTCCGCCAATGCTGGGTGGGTCCTAGAATTGATGCGAAGCTGCGGATAGTTCAAAGGCCCGTTACGTTCTTGTCGCTGTCTGATCGCTTCTGGGGTTGGCGCTAGATAGGGAACCTCTCGTCTACTGAGTGGGAAAGGAGGCACGTCCACGTCTGGATCTCCAGCGCAGCCCAACGCATCAAAATCGATGCCGGTGTAACCCGCGACTACCAACTGGCCCAGGAAATCTATCAGGTTGTAGCACTCCTCGCCCTTTTCCGTCCGTTTTGTAGGGGACAAGGCACGGTGTGTATCGCCAGACATTGATGAAATGTATGTGCACAGCACCGGGTGAGGCCCCACCTCGACGAATATCGCGTTCGGCGCCGTCTCAAGGATCGCATGTATGGCAGTGGAGAACTGAACAGGTCCGCGAGCGCTGTCCCAGAAGTAGTCTGCGTCGAACGATGTGTTCGTCTGTACGCCAGTATAGGAAGAGTATGTTGTTATCACGGGTGCTGACCTCGAATGCCTTGAGAATACCTCAGCGACAAGCCGCCGGTACTCTTCGTGACAAGCTTCCATCAGGGACGAATGTACTGGTGTCCTCGTGCGGAGTACGCGCGCGAAGATTCCAATCTCTGATGCTGCTCTCACAACACTGTGGACACGAGAGGCATGACCAGAAATAGTGACCGCACTGGGACTATTGTAGCATGCGATTTCCATGCTTCCTTGCTCAGTGTCGCTGGTGATGAGCTGGAGTACTGTTTCCACAGAGCATGCGAGAGCTGCCATCGTCCCACCTTCTTTATCTAGCCTAGCCATGGCCTTTCCCCGAGCAATCGCGATTTCTATCGCCATCGCCCTCGAGCCCATGCTCGATGCTGCCAGAACGGCAGTGTCCCCAGCCGAGTGACCAAGAACAATATGCGGGCGAATACCCAGCCTAAGGAGTGTCTCGTAGAGTGCCAGTTGGAAGATGGTCAATGCAGGCAGGGTAGTCTCGATTGACCAAGGATTGCCGAGGTCACGCTCTTGCTGGTTCTCTGTGAAAAGCCCAGTGCTCTCCATCAACGAGACGCCGACTATCGACCGATAGACTTCGTCTAGTTCCTGAACAACAGAGCGGAAAGCAACAGATGCTTGGTACAGTTCGCGTCCCACTGCGATTACTCGTCAGCATAACACGGAATAGACGTGAACGCATATACTGACTTTCGTAATGTTGCGAACCTTGCCCTGAGAACACGAACACAAGTGGAGGCTTCTCCTTAGGCGCCAGCGTTGCCGGAGAGAACGACGAGAGCTGGCCATCGTTTGAGAGTGCGTATGAGCGCCAGAACATTGAGCGCGATCGCCGGCCGTAAATGCGGGACAGCGCCCCATGATCGCGAGGGTCCGTCTGACATAGCAAGTCTTGGACGGCAATTGCAGACTTTGGAGACAACCCGCTAGCGACGAGAAGCCATGGAGGCGGTCGCTCGCTTTTCCATATGCGCGGGGAGCGGCGGCGCTCACTCGGGGGTCCTTCAACAACGCAGTGTCCGTTTGCACCTCCAATGCCAGAGCTCGCCAGCGATATAAGATGTCGCCCATTCGGGGCGAAGCAAGGCAATGGCTCAACTTCGGTTGCGACGCGTAGGTTGTACTTGCCCCATTGTATGCTCGGATTAGGCACTAGAAGGTTCGCGGTGGGCGGGATCAGCCTGGTTCGGACCATTAAGCATACTTTGCAGAGAGAAGCAAGGAAAGCCGCGATCTCAAGGTGCCTGTCAAGCTGTCAAGAAAATTACATTCTATACAACGTCATAACGTACCCTATGTTTCCCTTCACACTGCCAATTATCAGCTCTCTTTCTCTCTGGAAAGTTTCGCCCACCCAATTGGATTCTGTCGGATCCCCCTGTGCAGTGCCTGCATGATAGTTAGTTGCCGAAACGTATGAAAAGGAGGAACACTACCGGTCGCATGGAGCTCCACGTAGTCCACATCACACGGACGACGCCCTGCTTGAGCAAATGCACGCAGCATAGCATTCTTTTGCGCAGACGCTACGGCAGCATTAACGGGACCTAGAGATCGCCGGTTCCGAGAATCTATACGACCATTCAATATTGCGCGTATTTGTTGAGAACTCCTTACTGTTGAATATATCTTGTCATTGTCTTTAAGAGCGTTCTGTAGCGTCTTCAATACCACTACAATGGCACCCTCTCCTCGCCCAAACCTACAAGAGCAGCATCAGAAGACTGAGATATCGTCAATATGGCACATGACTTACCCATCCGCGTTTGCATCGAAAGGCTTGCATTCTCCATCGGATGACAATACTCCTCCTTGTGTGTATGCCAACCATTCTGCCATCCTGAAGTCGCAGATATAAGACGCTGTCAGTCGTTGTGGAGAAACATATATCTGTATAGACATTGACCTGTGATTGATTTGACAGCCGCCAACAAGAGCTGCCTCGCACTCTGCATTGCGTAGAGCCTGCACGGCGAGGTGCATTGCATACAGCGATGAGCTGCAGGCGGTGTCCAGCGCGACCGACGGACCACGGAGATCGAGATGGTATGACACACGATTCGCGACCATGGCTGGTGCGAACCCAAATGAGCCCTGCTTATCGGCATCCTCCTGTGAATTATTTCAGACACGTATAGGGATAGAAATGTAGAGAGAAGGGAGACATACGTGACCAGCCACAGAAACACTGTCATGGGCCACCCCGCTCATGTAGCACCCGATATTCTTCCCCCTGTAATCAATGCCCGAGTCGACAAGACTTAGGAAGCTGGTTTCGATCAGTTTACGTGTGCTCAGCGCCATCGAAGTTGCGTCCTTGTTTGTGATACCGAACTCCATATAATCAAACGATTCGACGGCTTTCAAAAATGCCCCCGTGTCGGTCACAACTTGACCCAGCCCCTTTCCTTTGATTCTATTGGGATCAATCAGTATCCACGTCTAGCTGCCTATCCAGATTGGAGACTGACCCATGAATATTGAAACGCTCTACAGGTATAGTCTGGTATGCTTTGCCCTTCTTTAGCAAGAGACGGCAAAATACATGATAGTCTAGATTGGAAGGACATGCAGGGCCGCTAGGTAGTTCTGCAGCAATGCCAACCTAAGCAGATCATGAACAAAGGGTTAGCACATGAAAACACAATCTTAATGAGCATTTACAATTGCAACTATGCCGCCTGTGTCCAGGGTGCAAGACATTGTGATGGTCAAGTGTATAGCCGATGGGCCTTGGTCGCCATGTTTCATTTTATCATCTCATGGCTGTTGAGCACCAAGTTCGGCACCAGCAACATTTGGAGATGGGAGCGTGAGATAATAGTACACGCCACAATGACAGTTGTGCAGGCTCCCCCGATGAACTCGAAGGAATCACGGACATGATCAGAAGCGGATGATACTGGATCGCGTTAGCATGCTTCTGCAATCGCCGACGATAATTATACTGAGCACTTTCTCGCAGCTTTGTTGGAGATTCTCGTATAGTGTGAACACTGATGGTGCCGGTGACCAGACAGTCCGAAGTCGTCGGTCGACAAGGTTTTTATACATAGCAGTGCTTAAAGCCATAACATTCCAGTCAGATAGGAATTAGTATATTCACTGGCGTGCCGTTACGTCGAAATCGTTACCTACAGATAGACATTGTTTGCCCTGTATCGTTCTTGCTGAGCACCTAGCGGGAATTCAGGTTTGCCGTCGAAGCGTGACATAAGCTTAACCTCTGTATGGTCCGAAATGGATGTTGATAGGTTGGTCCTGGGTTCAGGTGACAGAATGTTTGTCATCTGATTGGTTGGTGATTATAGCACTGACACAGAATTGAAGCCTTCGTTCCAGCTCTCACAGATCGAATGCATAGACCGAGCAAATACGGGAACAAACAAGACCACACAAAGTGAACTGGTAGATTGGGTCGACGTTGATAAGGTTACGAGATTCATCGCACCTTAAATGGGTAGGCTTGTTATTCGTAATCTTAGGGAAGCCCCTGCACGGACGACCTTACCACCTATAGTCATTCAAACCTTAATCTTGACAAATAGAATGGATACGGCTCCTGAGACGAGTTATGGTCACTGAGGCTCCTGACTATTCTCTCCTCCGATCGTCGGGGGCATTCATCCGAGATCGGAGAGCGAGCTGCAGTCCCAAGTCCATGATCGTGAGTTCGAATTTTGTATATGGTAGCGTCTGTTCCATTCCCATGAAGCAGATCAAACCTTAACCCGCAGGATGCGAACAGGCTCGGATCTAGAGGGTCCGCATGGTGTCGTATCTGTTGCCAAGCGAAGCTGTATTGCAGTGTCTGATTGTTTCCCATAATCATAGAAGTCCACACTTGAACAGCCTCGTTGAATTTGTGGCGTCAAACTGGTGCTGATTCGCGAACTCCGAGGGTCCTTGTGAGTAGTTGTATATAACTAAGCCGGAGACGCTCCAAGTCCTCAACCACTGCCTCGGTTTGACCATCCGCCAAGTATGACGCACAAGCTCGGTCAAAGTAAAGACGTATCGGAGAAGACATTCGACTTTATAGTCGTAGGTGCGGGTCTGTCGACTTATAATCACCATCTACTCCTAAACTGAGCATCATACAGGGGGTGGCGTGAGTGATCATTTGTGACCGATTATAACATATTATGTCTCTGAACCATAGACATAGACTGCCGGACTTTGCGTCGCGAACAGGTTGAGTGAGGCGTCTCATGTATCTGTACTGGTACTCGAGGCAGGAAGAGCGCACATCAACGATGATGCTATATGTGCGTTCAGTACTTGTGGCGCATACATTCACATACTCATCTCTAGTAGTAAATCCAATTGGATGGGTCAAGCAATTCCTCAATGACGAGTACGACTGGAAATTCCCCACTGTACCTCAGCCCACTCTTGACAATGCAAGCTTGATCTGGAGCAGGTAATACCGCTTTTGACGAAACCAGGCATTCTCACTAAAGTCTACATAATAGAGGGAAAGGTCTTGGAGGTAGTTCTGCAATGAACTTGCTCATCTGGACGAGGCCTCAACGACAGGATATTGATGGTATGACTCATCTTCTCATGTGCGACGGTCAGCTCAGATTTTCTCAAGCTGTCGAGAAAGTGGGAAATCCCGGCTGGAACTGGGAGAATTTTTATAAATTCTCAAAGAAATCTGAAAGGTAAAACCGATAACTTCTGTCTCAGGGATCTGACTATGACGCAAATTGCAGGTTCTCTCCGCCCGTCAACCCATCATCTCGTGGATATCAAGACTTGTATAATGCAAACTCTGTGGGGCTCGAAGGTATATCAATGTCCTTTATCATATCTGAAGCGGCTAACGACCCTCAGGTCCTATCCCAATCTCTTTCGCCCGATCTCACTCCGGGGCTGAATTTCCACTCCAGAAGGTGATGCAGATTCATTATCGTGTTCCTAGAATCGTGAAAGCTGAAACACGATTTGAAGTCGTTGGAAGCGCTCGGTGTCCCGACCATCAATGACTCTGTAAGCACCGCGTGTCCATCTCATATACAAGTTGAGTGACATGGTCGCATTTCTCTATCAAGCTCAGTGGTGATGTATGTCTCTTATTCGTCCCATGTAAATATTATAAGCCAACGCCATTTTACAGACTCTGGGGACCTACAAAGCTGTCTCCGACATCAACGCAGAGACAGGCGCTCGCAGCTACTCTGGAGCAGTATGTCTGTAACTGCGTCTCTGTCGCCATCATGTCTCATTTCGCCCTTCCACGGCAGGCTTACCTGTTGCCAGCCCTAGACCGTCCAAATTTGACAGTCGTCTCCGAGGCCAGTGTCACACGTGTGATTACAGAGCAGCAGGGCAACGAGCTTGTTGCGACCGGTGTCGAATTTTCACACGGTGAGACTATTTACAAGGTGTATGCTGCCAAGGATGTCATACTATCTGCTGGGTGCGTGCACAATGCTAGCGAAATGCGCGATTTTTGCCTTACGTTGTCACAGGACCATCAAGTCCCCCCAGATTCTTGAGCTCAGTGGGATCGGCGACAGAGCTATCTTGCAACCATTGGGTATACCTGTCCGGAAGCATCTCCCCACCGTCGGGGCTAACCTCCAAGACCACCTCATCTGCACGGGCATGAGTTTCGGTCAGGGCTCCCCTACAGTTATAATCGACGTGAATTAACATACGTGTAGACATGCGTGAAGATGCTAACATCGTGACTAGCGATCTCATCCTTGACCCTAAACACGAATCAAGGCTACGCGCCGAGTTGTATGTGCTGTTCATTAACCTACAACATTATCAGCTGACAACTGCTTGAGCCCGGATGTCAAGGGCCCTCTGTCGGTCTGCTTGACTGGCGTCACATTTCTTCCACTGCAGACGTTCTCTACCCGCTCTCAGGAGATCATTGAGAAGATGGCCACTCGCATTGCGCGAGATGCTGCCAAGTATCCTCCCGGGCTGAAAGAGCAGTATGAAGTGCAGATGCAGATTCTCAAGGATTCTCAGGTCCCTGACATTGAGATCGTCGTCTTCCCGTTCAAGTGGGGTAATGGTACATACCATGAGTGCTTCACCGGAGATCTTTTCTGACAAATCACAAGATGACTCCAACAAACCGTTCATGCTGCTCATGCCATCTATCGGACATCCCTTCTCCCGTGGGACCATTGTACGCGATATATTGGTTCCGGTCTTACCATGCTCACCTTTTATCATCTACAGCACATTAAATCTGCTGATCCAAAGGAGCCTCCTGTCATCGACCCGCACTACTTCGAAGAAGACGTAGACTTCGACATTTTGGTCGACGGATGGAAATTTACAAGGGAGGTGGCAGCCACTGGTCCATTCAAGGACATCACGGTCGCCGAGTCAATCCCCGGGCCGAGCGTGCAAACGGATGAGGAGATTAAAGGTATGTCCTTGATTTACCGGTCCGCGCGTGCGCACGGTATCTGACTAGATAATCAGCGCACATCAAGAAGAACTTATCAACGACTTGGCGTGAGTTCTTTGATCTATAAACATGATCATTCTTATAGTCTTATAATGTTAGACGCATGCGGTAGCGTGTCAATGCTCCCGCAGGACAAGGGCGGCGTCGTAGACACTCATCTGAAGGTCCGTGTTTCCTAAGCTCGTGCGATCACCAGCTGGTAACACTGCACAGGTATACGGAACGAAGAATTTGCGGGTCATAGACTTATCCATCCTCCCTCTACTTGTTGCTGTACATACACAAGGTGAGTGTATCACGTAATGTCCGCACACAACCCATGCTGAAACTGAGATTCAAGCTACCGTGTACGGCATTGCTGAGATGGGTATGTACCATCCCATGATTGTGCTTTTGTGGGAAGCTTCGCTTACGTTCTCCGTCCGATATCCAGGTGCGGACATCGTGAAGAATGACCATGGCCTCGTTTGAAAGGGCTGGGAATATAGATGGCACATCCGCGTGTCGCACATCCGACGTCCACCCTATGTCAGCGAACTACCCTTACATCCGTGTGTGATCTCGTCTTCTGTGGCATTCGTGTACTATAGAATATGGAAATATTGTTGTGTGTTGGCTTTGGGATCTTCTATCCGCCATTTATATCGAGCGTGCGAGGGTCTTTTTACAAATCATTGCCTCCAGGCTCGTCAATTGCGCGAACACTCAAGCGTTAAGGCCAACAAGGACAAATAGTGCTTGCTTCTATGTCTGTACAGCAGATATTGACATTGTGGACGAACACTCGTTAACCTGGAAAATCTATTTTGTTCACCGTCGCTCCATAGCTCGATACAGGCCCATATTATTATTGGATATCTGCACAGCTGCAGTGGGAGACTGAGAGCCCGCTCGGAAACAGAGTGGCAACGGCGTTGAAGCCACAAACAGAGTGGGCTTTAGACACTGCCAAAAGTGGCTGTAGATGACATCATCGGATTATATACAGGTAGAGCAAGATGTGAACTCCTTTATCCTTGCGCATGTTATGTCTGCACAAGGAATCTCTGCAACAGAGTTGCTGACGGCGCATTTACTCGCGTCGTCGACACCGCGCCCCTACTCGGCGGCGACGGAACACTCCTTCCTCACCGCCGCCGGCCTCGGGACACTCCCACCTGCCCTCCTCGCCCTTTACCTCGCCCAGGACCGCTTGTACGCCGCACACGCCTACCCCGCCTTCATCGGTCGCCTCCTCTCCGCCGTCCCCTTCTCCTCGCTCGACGCGGCCGACTCGGCCCGCGAGCGCACAAACCAGCGCATCGTGCACGTCCTGAGCGACGCGCTCCAGAACGTCGTGCGCGAGGTCAATTTTTTCGGCGAGACGGCGCAGAAGTGGGGGCTGCAGCTGGACGGATGGCGTGAGAGGAAAGCGACGAGGGACTACACGGCCGAGATGGCGAGGGTCGGTGCGGAGGGCCGCATCGAGGACGGGCTGGTGTTCCTATGGGCAATGGAGCAGGTAGTTGATAACAAGGTCCAGTGAGACGTCGCGCTGAATCCTTTACTGTTGAAGGTGTATCTTGATGCATGGCGGTACGTTGGCTCGCTCAAGCCCGTGCAGGGCCTCGAGGGCGGGAGCGCGCAGGCCGTCTCGGAGCTGGTACACAACTGGACAAACTCAGACTTTGTGCGCTTCGTCGACGACATCGCAGAGCTCGTGAACAGGTGAGTACCGCGTCGCCTTACATTCTCGTAACATAATTCCTCGTCTTCCATCTCACCTGCAGTCCGTTGGCATGGTTTCCCTCAATCGCGTCTCCGGTTCCTTATCGCAAATATCTGCGTCTACGTCCAAGACTAACTGATTGTCTCCCAGCCTCGGAATAACGCCTGGTTCATCCTCATGGGGACGCGCAGAGTCGATCTGGGCACGCGTCGTCGAGCTCGAGGAGGCGTTTTGGCCTGTGGGTGGAGAGGAGGTCGCCATGCTTAGCGTCTGAATGAGTACAAGTACCCCTGTGTTTATGCCCCACGGTATGAAATTCTACATATATACGACCATCTAGTCGTACTGGAGCCCGGCTGCCCTGCAGAATTGTGCAACTGCAAGCGTGCTGTCGATGGCATAGCACATATTTCGGATTTATATATGTCACTGGAAGAGAAACCCTAGTGCATTGTCGACTCGGAAACTGAGTGTGACTGAGAGTAGGGAGCGGGCCTCCTGGGTCGGACGCGATGCACGTGATCGCGACGCGTGCGATGCACGATCGCGTCTGATCGCGTTCCCAGCCTGCTGCGCTTGATGACCTGCCGCGACTCGCCGCCTTGCAGGATGCATAGTCCACTTGTGTAACACCAATACTCCCAGTTTCTACAATCAGCTTCCTCGCCCAACAACGTGTGCGCATGTGTGAATGAAATCGATGAGGCCACATGACGAGATTTTCCATCGAGCGCGGTCGAAACGGGCCGCTGGAGATCTCAGACCAGCACATCCTCCCACATCCCCGTGAGGAAGAAGTGCAAAGTATATGCACATAGGTCAGTATACTGTCATCCGATGCGCGGACTCCCACTTCTGACGGCCCGCCTCAAAGACCATCTCCGCTGGCCTGGTGGCGCCAGATCAGAATTACTCGCTCTGGGGAGAGAATTGTGGAGGACACATAAATAGCTAATTTTCCAGTCTATAAGACGACACAGCGGGTGCTCGCGGTACGACGCTTCATCTGCACTCTCAATGCATGCGAGGTTTCTTACGTGTCTTCTCCTGGCCTCGGCTGCTTGGGCCTACGAAAAGCTTTGCGCCGTGAAGTCCCTCGGCGGTGGACTTGACGACGGACCAAACATCAATGCTGCCTTCAAGGAATGCTCCGAAAATGCAGTCATTCTCCTGGACAACTATTACAGCGTGAACACCCTCCTCCTTACAGAAGGGCTGAACCATGTTGACGTTGTCCTGAGCGGAACCGGTACGCCGGGACAAGATCTGCATATGCACCCGATATATATTGACCCTGATTTACAGTGCAATATACCCCGAATATCGCGTACTGGTCTCCGAACAGCTTATATCTCACTTTCCAGAACTCGTGCGTCGCGATCACATGCATCTATGTTAGTTCTGCGACGAGCTGAACACTGATAGGACAACGTTCTGGTTCCTTTCTGGAAATGATGTCCACATCTTCGGCGGCGGTACGATTGACGGCAACGGCCAAGTATGGTACGATACGTTCAATGTGACGCAGGTGAGCGTTCGGGCAGCAATAACGAACGTTTCTACAACAGGCGGTTGACGTGTGTGACTAGAACTCTGGGACGGCAGGCAGCTCCACTTTGTCGTTCGCGCGGCCCATCGTGCTGACGATTGGTAACTCATCGAATGTGGTGGTGGAGGACATCACTGAGATTGCTGCACCTAACTGGGTATGCGGTACGACAGTAATACTTCACTTTGATACTTATTGTGCATCTTGTGTTACAGAACAATGTGAGCGAGACGTGCTAGCGAGAGTTCTACATGCGCGCCACCTAACCTGACAATGCAGTTCGTCATTCAAAGCACAAATGTCACTTACAGGAACATCAAGTAGGCAATGTCATTTACAGATGACCGCATTTTAGCATTAACACTCCAGGCGACAGCATCGACTCAGTGTCTTACTCCAGCGCGCCTGCAAAGAACACAGGTGATCAAACTAGTTGGACGCCACGGTCTGTCGCTAATGCGAATATATTTAGACGGCTGGGATATCTACCGCTCCTCATACGTCACCATCGCGGATAGTACGATTAACAACGGAGATGACTGTGTTTGTGAGCCTCTCTCAATACACTCATCGCGCAAGTCAGGGTCTCACATCTCGTCTCCTGTAGCATTCAAGCCGAACTGCACGAACATGGTTGTGAGCAATCTGTGGTGTAATGGCTCTCATGGCATCTCCGTTGGCAGCCTTGGCCAGGCATGCTGTTTCGCTATATTGTCGCGTCGGATCAGACAGCTGATCTGGGTCAGTAGTATGCGGGGGAGACGGACATTGTCGAGAACGTGTTCGTGAAGAACGTGACTATGCGCTACGCGGAGAATGGTGCACGCATTAAGGTTTTCGGTGGCAGCCCAGATCCCGGTGTGTTCGCTTGCATATAAAATGATATTCGGCCCACAGCTTGACGTCTTGACTGTTCAGACAGTACATCGGGGGGCGGCTCGGGATACGTCAAAAATATCACCTTCGAGGACTTCTACGGTAGGTCCCCGTTCATCAAATCAATTGCTGCATCTGATTGAGCATATGACTCTGCAGTGTATGAGGTCGATAGCCCGGTTGTGATCGACCAGGTATGTTTATTCCTGTGATGTAGCCCATCAGGATACTCCTGCTCAGTCTAATCCCACAGTGTTATTTCACCAGCGCAAGCGAATGTGCTGAGTATCCCAGCCAACTGTCTATCTCTGACATTCACTGTACGCTTTCCTTTTGATGTACGATGCAACTTATATATCAATACGCTGCAGATATAAATATGACGGGCACCTCTTCTGGCGCAGAGGGCAGCGTGGTTGTTGACCTAGTATGCTCGGAGGAATGTGAGGACATCACGGCAACAGGTACCTACCTCAGCGCGCCAGACGGCGATGCGACGTACGTATGTCAGAACATTGCTACCGTTGACGAGGTGAGCCAGCATCGCTTGTGCGTTCGTTACGCCCTCTGATGCGTGATGCAGCTGGATTTCGACTGCGTTGCGCCGTCGTCCTAGCGGACACTTAGCGGACACCAGGATCGCGTTGCTTGGATATGTTAGTCTTCGCGGCAGGAACGAATGTGCTGTCGGTTCAGTGCTCCGCGTGATGTGCGGGTACTGCTGGATGGCAAGCGGAAGACGCACAATTTGGACCTTGCTGATTTTGTATTCGCCATTGTGTACTGTACACAATATAATGCAGGTGAAGATGAGGGCTCATGCGCGGGATCCGATCTCTTACTCGGTCATGTTGGTACATACTGCTGAGTGAACGTCTTCCCGCGCGAGCTCCTATTTCCGAATGCGTGAAACATCTCCATATCTGCCCATCTGCCCAGAAATGGATGTCGAACAGCCCATAGTGATTCAGCCAGCTCTCAAACTCACCCTACCCATCTCCTTGCAGGGCGTACCTAAGGGAGTATGCGCTCTCGTTTCAATTGTCTAGGCAGCCTGTTCCTCCATTTATTCAATCCGAAACAGCATAATACATCCGTCAGGCAGTCTACACGACGTCGGGGCCAACGCGAGTTATGTACGAGAATGAGACAGAGGGTCGATGACCAGCACCACGACGGACGTCTAGGGATCCGGGGTCTCATCCACCCGCCCAGCGAAGGGGTGAGGTAGACAAGGCTACAACTAGATGAATGTATGCACGTATGTCCAAAATATCACATAGAAGATTGAATACTGATAAGCCATGAGAGGCAATAGTGTACGCAAGACAAATAGGGTTCCTCGGAGCCGATCGTCAAGTCCGTGAGTGTGGAGCTGGTCTCCAGACGCAGCGGAAGCTCATCGGCTGCCAGCGGTCTTGTACAGAATGAGGCCGCCGAGCGCAATCGAGTAGCCTGCGTAAAATATAAATCAACATTGGTGCAGGTCACAAACACACATGCAACATACCGAGCACCTGGAGGGGCGTGATGGGAGCGCCGAAGATGAGCACGGAGCCCGTAATAAGCAAGATGTCCTTGAAGACTCCAGCAAGTGTGAGCACGAGCCCACTGCCCGCGCCGACAAGGAAGACTGCTGCGACATTCAACAAGAATGCGATCGCCGCGTTGCTGATCAGGATGAGCGGTCTATACCAATGGAATTTAGTCGCGGGTTCGAACTTGAAAAGAGACCACTCACCCAACACGGATAATCTCGTAGAATGGCGCAAGACCTTCCGTGAACGGCAACACAGCCATGTTGATGATCGCACACACAGGCGCATAGTAATGCAGCGATACAAGCGGGTCCATCTTGAGCCCATGGAGAAGGATCTCAATCATCACCAGTCGCGAAGCCTCGAACTAATGATATCGCATTCAGCAGTGTCGAATATGTTGACACATAGACACGTACCGCAACAGCCGCAGTCTGCGTGAGGAAGCCTATGATGTTGAAGTGCAGCTCACCACGCGAAGCCAGTGCAACGCCGCACGAGATCATGACCACGATCATTGCGAGTCTCTTGTTAGGGTCTTGAATGCGGAATGTCCAGGAAATAAGCAGGATCGCGACCGGAGTGAATGCCTTGAGCATCTGGATGTACGCGACGCTGAGGTAGAGATACGTGGTGTTGCTGAGGATGAGCGAGCCGCTGAAGAGGAGGCCAATCGGCAGGATCGACCGCACGAACATGTCCTTCGAGACATGCACGTCCTTTGCGCCATCAAGGAGATGTGTGGTGCGTTGCAGCACCCGCGTGCCAATGGCCTAGCAGTGATCGTGTCAGTGAACTGCACAAACAACTCATGCTGCGACTATGCGAAGATATGAACAGATGATGGCATGATCTTTGCCAAAATGATGATATATATGACAGGAAGACTGTAGTACGATATTCATTCTGAAAAGCGACTGTAAATCAGTGACAGCATGAAAGACGATGACCACCAGTCGCAATGGGGTCATCGCTTGTCATCTGACGCACATAGTCCATAATCTGTGCGATGTGGCCATAGAGACATAAGTCAATTCGCCCCTCATCTGGGTTCTAGCACGCGTGTAAAGGGACAGCATAGACACAGAATAAGATGCTTCATGCTTATTTCCAAAGTCTATTACAGGGTCGACCAGAGGCACAGACCCCTCCATGGCCGAATGTGCCCATAGGAGATAAACCGCCGCAGGAACGAGCGCATCCTCGCACAGGCATAGATGCGAGCTGAATTACTCACAGCGAATGTTAGGTGCCATGTCACCATGAATACAGGGAACCTGAAGTTCAGCGTGTTGTACACATAGTTGTTGTATATAATGACGGACGAGCTGAGAACAATCCAGATAGGAATGATGGCGGCCGCGGAGAGCTTTGGCTTCGTGCGTGGAGGTGAGGGCGCTGTGACCGGGGAAGGCAGAGGTTGGTCGGAGGCTTTCTCGTCGCGTACTTCGAGCATTTGGGAGTCGCGCTCGCTAGAGCTAGAGGTAGAGAGCGCCTTTTCGTGGTCTTTGGTAGACATGGCTGGTTCGTAGGTGTGCACGTGTGTCTATCTTGGTGCTTGTATTGGGCGGTTTAACCTCGCTAGGGGCGACGAGGCCAGGGGCGATAAGGCGAGCGTGGGCTGAGAACGAGGCAAAAAGGAGAGACGAGGGTGGGATGGTGTGCCAGCAAAGCTAGGCAAGCAGCAGGCTTTGTACGGCCGAGATGAGCGTTCGGGACGAAAGGCGACGATGAGGCACAGCGGCCAGCAACGCGGGCAGATATGTTTTCGTATGTTTTATGCCATCACTCCCACACGTGACTCGGGCTGCCTTCCCCGCAGCGAGCCGGGCTTGGCAAACACTGAGACACTATTAGTGGCGGCCGCCGGATACATCTATCCTTCAACGATCTCTATTCGCGTTCAATGTTGCATAGAACGAGAAGTCTCAGTTGACGCCGGATCTAGAGGTTCTGTCATTGACTAGACATTCAGCAGGTAACGTGTTCTGTTCTGTGTCACATTTGAATGTGCTGACCTCTATACGAACGTATGTGTGCCCTTTCTGAGTGTGGAGCTTATTGCGACTCGATGCTAGCGAGCGCTGACGCGTTTATCTTAATCAGTCTAACCATATGTCAACGTGTGAGCCCGTATCGCGAAGCGACGTCAACCGACCCCATCGCAGGCAAACTATGGTCCCAGCACGGTACGTTTAAGCCTGCGACCGACTAACACGCGGCAGGAACAGCGCACATAATCGGAACGCCCACTGTCATCATTGCCTGGCAGCGGATCTACAGGAATGTGGCAGCCCAGGGCACTGCTCGTGCTCGTTAACTACTCCTGGCCATGTCGGCTTGGCTCGTGAATTTATCTTACTAGTGCTGGCTGAGAGCGAGTATGATTTCACCCCTTCCCTTATATTAGTATTGCGGCTTGAACCTCAAAATTGAGATGACAGCGAAGATTCTGTACTTCTTATACTTTGTTGCCCAAAGCTTACACGATCCAGCGTCCAGTTTTAAAATTGTACATACTTGCAACGTAAGTCAATTTTCTAGCTTCCAGTGGGATATCCGAGTCTGAACCCATATACCTAGGCAGATCCGTTGGGATTTCTTTGTTTATGAGGCCACAGCACAATAAACCCGTACAGCGCTCTTCATTCACAATTACTGTAGGTATACCCGGACTGCCAAGTTCTTTTTTGTGAATGATCTGTTCTCCCTCATGAAATATCGAGCATGCAGTGTAATCGTGGTATTCTGTACGTCGCTACTGTGTCTGGCAATTATGCAAGGTAAGGCTGACGTTCCGTGATGCTGCCAGACTAATAACATGAGAATAAGGCCAGTTACACATGTGCCCTCCCGTCCGATGACCCACAGACGCACATACACACTACAGCTGCACGATTCACAAAGAATCCCCGATCTGGTCGGGTCTCATCGCATTGATTGGCGGATCGGGTGAGCCCAGCACTTTGTGTTTCTGATTGACGGCTCGATGGTGTTCTTCGCATTCATGACGGACGAAGCGCTCGAGCTTGTGCTCGCGCTGTTCAAGACAATGCCATGCGCTCCTGCTCGCGCCCGTCCTCTCTGGCTCAAAGATCTCCACAATTTGCGCGCAAAGCAGTAGGTTGCACTTTTCTCTATGCCGTTCATGAGTTCACACAGCTGGTCAAAGCCATCATGTATTTTGGGTAAGTCCTTGCGCTCGAGAGCCAGAGAGCAGTGCTAATAGCTATGTTCGACACGACATGTCTCACGCATTTGAATTAGCTGGTGATGCACATGAATAGCAACGTTAATGGTTCAGATCCGTGACGTAATTGCAACACAAAAGTAATCATCTGCAGCTTGATTTGAATTACCTCTTTGCGATTGCTTCTCGGCCCCGCGAAACCGAAGCGTCGGATTCACATCGTGTCTGGTGTATGTCTGCCCACGCATTCTGTCGTTTTCCGTCAATCTGACATAGTAAGTTGCACACCTCGCTCATCCAAGCTCAGTTTTCCCCTTCCTTGCGCGGAGACTGATACCAGTATGATTTAAATACAGTTGCCCTAAGCGGATATAAAACTGGATTTTTTAATAAAAGAAAATACAGTTGGAATTCCTCCCGCCTTCAGCGTCGTCCACTTTGCGACGTGACCTTGTCGTGGGTATTCTCTTATCAGCAGAGTGGACGTCGAGTGAGCCTTTGCGAGCCACAGAATGGTCATCAAAATGGGATTACGAAATATAATAGCATTCCTCGCAGGAAGCTTGCGACTATGCACGCACGACCATTCGACCTGACCTGAAGAATAATTATGATATATCGAGAACGTCCGCGTATTCCGTCAAATGTCAAAGGTTGAGATCCGAAACCAGATTAAGGTTCCGTTTTCTGCGCGTCATCATCACTACTACAAGCCTTGCTATCGCAATGGCCTACGAGCTCGGCGCCGTGCAGTTGAAGTCGAGCTGTCGACCGCAGTCAGAAATTACCCGACTGCTAAACAAGGGAACATGAAATACAACGCCTACCTCGCTCACAGTCGCGATGTTTTCGCAGATGTACGTTGCAGTGCCATTCGGGGACCTTAGGTCCGTACCTGTTGCGGTAATGTCCTCGCACTCGGCGGAGCACTCCAGATCCACGACAACACTGCCCTCCGCGCCAGATGACGTGCCGGTTACATTGATGTCTGTGAAGATGCAGCGGTATTAAAAAACAGTGCACATCTGGGTGAAAGCGCCGGCTTACAGTGGACGTCAGAGATGGTCAGGTTACTTGGGTACTGCGCGCAGACCTCAGCGCTCGTCGAGTAGCACTGGACGCATCACTGTCAGTTCCAGCATGGCGTGCAAGCAGCGTGAGAGCTTGCCTGGTTGAGATAGATGGGGTTGTCGACATCATTGACTGGGAGCATGCGAGGTCAGTCACAGCGGTTTCGGAGGTACGGTGACGCACCATAGAAGTCCTCGAATGTGATGTTCCTCACGTAGCCACTGCCTCCTCCGGCTGTGCTGTCTGAACGGCACAAGATCAGGTCCAACAGGTTGAAGACGGTTGCAGGCCAGACGGCGGACATACTAGCATAAGGGCTACCGCCGAAGACCTTGATGCGCGCGCCGTTCTGTGCATGCTGCATCGTCACATTTTTGACAAACACATTTGCAACGATATCGGTCTCGCCAGCGTACTGTAGACGCATTTGTCAGTATTGGGCATCATGAGCTGTCACGACTGAGGTCCCAGATTTCGCTGTGAGGCATACCTGACCGAGACTGCCGACGGAAATACCGTGCGAGCCGTTACACCACATGTTACTGACGACGATATTGGTGCTGTTTGGCTTGAAGGCTATTAAAGAGCACAGATGGGTCAGGATATTCATATTACTGGATCGTTCATGAAGTTCGCTTACAGACGCAGTCGTCGTCGTTGTTCACTGTTGAGTCTGTGATCGTGACATAAGAGGAGCGATAAATATCCCAGCCGTCTGCGTGAGCAGGGCAGAGTCAGTCGATGACTTCTCGAACATCCATAATACAATGACGTGCCGGAGTTTGCTGTGGGCGCGCTGGAGTACGAGACGGAGCTGATGCTATAGAGAAAAATGCCACAAATGCATGAGCGTGCAGATGCAATGCTATGCCGCTGGGGGACGTACTTGATGTGTCTGTACGTGACGTTCGTGCTTTGATACACGAACTACAGCAAACGTCAGCACAACCGGTGTATTCTTCCATTCTGGACCGCCTCACGTTGTTCTACGGAACACATCAGCGTTACCCTGTAATAGCACAACGGCATATTATAGACGAACCCAGAATGGCGAGCCAATTTCGGTGATGTCCTCCACGAGGACGTTAGATGCGTTGCCGACTGTGAGCGGAACGGGACGCGCGAATGTCGTAGACGAGCCGCCTGCAGTGCCGGAATTCTGGTGAAGAATGAAATTAGGGACCCTACCCAGCCACGGACAGGGCGCAGAAACGACAGACCTGGCTAACGTTGTAGGTGTCCCACCATACCTGGCCATTACCGTCGATGGTACCACCGCCGTACAGATGAATGTAGTTTCCAGAGAGGAACCAGAACGTCGTTCTAAGCTCCGTTCCAGACACTGGCGCAAGGCACGATGACCAACACGATACTCACGCATTCTGGTACGTCATATACAGACTGTTCGGGGACCAGTACGCGATGTTAGGAGTGTACTGGACTGCACACACGCGTGAGCACAAAGGTTGATGCTGCACCTCTCGAACGTCGAGAGCTCACCCGTCCCGCTGAGCACGATGTCGACATGGCTGAGCCCCTCAGCTAGCAATAGCGTGTTCACGCTATAGTAGCTGTCGAGGATGATCGCCGCGTTCTCGGAGCAATCCTTGAATGCCTGGTTGATGCTGGGCCCGTCGTCGCGCCCGCCCCCGAGCGGCTGGACGGCGCAGATCTTGTCCCACGCCAGAGCGCCCGCGGCCAGGGCCACCACAAATAGCAGAGACGGCTGCATAGCGATCGCAGGCTCGGCGCACAGTTCACAGTTCAGTTCAGGACGACCGGGCAGCGCTGAGAGAAAAGCCAGCCAGCTCGCACTTCCCGCGGCGCCTCCCCTCCTGTGCTATTTAAGTGCCGTGAGCGCGTTATGAGCCCCTGCCATCACGAGGTGCGTTAAGGCCGCCATGCCGTAAAGCGTGCCCACACCCCTGAGGCGGACCGCGCTGTACGTGGGTGCCGACGAGCGAAGCGGAGCCAAACGCGCCCGAGGATGGGAGCGCCGTGGTCAGGAGCAGGAGAGGGCGGCCCGGGCCTGTGCTTTCGGACACGCGTCGCCGTCACGTGTACCGTGTCGCCGCGTCGCGCTCGCGACAGCGTGCGCGACTTTATTTATATTTGTGTTTGATTTTGAATTCCACGGGTCAGTGCCCGACTTGAAGCTGTACACGCTCCTGTCGTCTTGTCGGAATGTCCACAGAACGTACCTTGTCCGGGCCGTGCAATGTCAGACTCTCCATGCATCCACCTGGCACCCACTCGCTTTCGGCTTTACCACCAGCCATTAGGGGCGACGGTCTGATCACGCTGGAATGCGGTGAAAGTCTTCGAGGTGACGTATGGACAGGCAGTGCAAGCCACTAGCGGTACGAGTGACAGCGGTCCCTGAATGCCAGTTCTTCCAAGCTCATCGCCATGCACTTGGTAAACATCATGCGCTCTCCAAGTGACAGCCGGAGCCACGACAAGCTTGCTGCTCGGCGCGCATCCTATCCACTACAGATAGGGTTGTCGCTCCTTCGGCTATATCTCCAGCAGTCCGCTTGTAAGAATAATTTGACTACGTCATGAGCTACTGCTGTCCAATGCGTGCGTGATACTTTCGTACAACCAGGTTTACAACTGCCACAACCATACTCTGTACATGCGTAAAGTCAGCTCACCGTCTTCACCCACTCCTTCGCCGCCTTCTTCAGACAGCGCTCCATGTCCTCCGCCACGATCCTCCTATCCGTCTCGAGGTCATCCATGTCCTCCCCATGCGCACGCAGTGCCTCCAGCACCAAGCCTGCTAGGTCCGGGCCCCGCTTCACCGGGCCTCCCTCTGCGCCGTTCCACTGCGGCGGGCCCAGAGTCCCTGGGCGGACGTATCGGTAGCACAACTCGTGCACACGGAAGCGCAGCATGTCGAGTGCAGGATCGGGGATGAAGGCAATCGGCAGGGAGGAGGACGTGACGCGATTCGCGATGCCCGTCGCGCGTGCGGCGCCGGTCCAAGATGATGCGGACCACACAGCGGTGATCTCAAACGGCTGCAGGGATGTTAACGACGTCACACGCGCGAGAGAGAGGCTACGCACGCCGGGGATAAAGGTCAATGTATCAAACGCGAGTGCGAATGGCGCCATGCTGGTTGCGATGATCCCGTTCATGATCGCGCCCTTCTTTGCGGACTTCACCAGTTGCGTAAAGTCCTCGCGTACATGCTCCGCAGGCCAAGAGCGTGGATATACAAAGCGGAGCTACCATGCATACGATGAGAAACCCACATGCAGGCCGGGACATTTGGATAAACAGACCTCTTTCAGCTTCTTCTTGTTCGGGGTGCGTACCAAAAATTCTATACGACTGTTCTTGGTTGCTGACATGCCTTTGGAAATTAGCTGCGTATCATCGACATGCTACAATCAGGAATATTGGACTATTTTGGAGTCCAGCGAAGAGTTCACCTTCACTGCTTTCGCCTCATTCCAGGTATCAATTAGCCCCATATACATGTGAGAGTGGCATAATGTTCACCTTGAAACCAGTACCCTTCTCGCGCGCCTCCTTCTCCTCTTTCTGCCACTTGCGTATCGCCTTGTTGGTCAGACTGTCCTTCTCGCCCTCTTTAAGAGGCGGCAGCGGGGCGGCCATGGGCGCATATATCATGAACGGCGGCACCTTGTCGTCCTTCTTTGACGGCTGCCGCAGGGTTGGAGGAAACGGGATCAGGAGGGCGACAGTGGGGTGATCGGCTTCCGGCAGGTCGTCTGCGACGGGGTCATCGAGAGAGACGCGTGAGGTAGATCCCTCATTGTCGGATGTCAGTGCATTGTGTTCCGGGTCTACATGCTCGTCGCCAGTCAGCGGCGGTGATGTCTGCGTGCTCTCAGGCTGCTTCTCCGCTGGTGCGGTCGACATGGTGGGCGGGATGAAGTGAGGGGCGGGGGGTCCCGAGGTGCGAGGGCGCGCTGCATATGGAAGGCAATCGTCGGACCAGGGTGCCGGCTGCGTAATGCCCGCCGCTCGGAATTGAGTGCGCTGACCGGCTACCTCTGACAAAGTCTCAATGATGTCATCCTGGACTGGTCCGGTATTTGGCTTTGTTAGGATCCGAAGCCAACGGCTTTAACGCCCGCTACCTGCGCACCGACGGTGTTATGATCTCGTGGTGCATAATCAAGCAATCATCCACCAAGGGTCAAAGCAACCCGTTGGATTACCCAGCACTACGCTGACCACTCAACAATGTATCACCACCAAAAATTCATTCCACCGCTCTCTTGTACCGAATAGCATAATGCTGTCGTCAGCATAGTAATACAATTATGCTCGTCTCCACTGGCTTGCTTTCTTTCGTCTGCACCTTTCTTCGTCTGCAGTCGCTGAGTCCATTCGGTCAGAGTATATATAGGCCGCTGTCTGACGGACTTTACACATCCTCCCACAACCCTCCCGTCAACGCACATCCTGTACACACAAGAACAACATTCACGAAAAAGCCCACATGAATACTATATATGTGCGCGCCAGACAAGCGTGGGTAGATCTGGGCAACCCCTGCACTACTTTCATGCTTCCGAGGCCTCTCTGTGGGCTTGTTAAAGATCGCAGGGTGCTACAGCCAGCAAAGCAACCCTCACTCGATCACAGTGCCTCCAGCGGTGGCGATGATGACTCGAATTCGGATGATGGCGAGACCCCCGCCGGCAGCGAAAGCGCACACGCACACGAGTCCGAGGAGAACAGCTCCTCGGACACACTTGTGACGCCGCCGCTCCAGGACGACGTCGATGGCTCGGTCGAGGAGACCACCGAGCCTCAACCGTCAGGCAACACCTTGGGGGTCTACCGCTTGGTGAGTTCGTCTCATTGTGTTTATGCCAATGTTACTGACGATATGTGATCCTAGGGCAACCTGTGGGCTTGTCCCATCTGCCACAGCACGTCCAAAACCCCCAATGACGCGAAAAGGCACCTCGTCACCATCCACGGCAAAAAGAAGTTCCGATGCCCAGCATGCGATAGGTCCTTCAATCGCAGGGACGCATTCAAACACCACTTTGAAGGCGTGACAATGAGCGCTTGCAAGGACTTCATGGTCACAACACTGCTGCCGACGGAGTCTCTCAGAACCTTCGATGCCTCTCGATACCTTGTCGCGGTCGACCCTTGATACGTCGATGGATATTGCTCTGGATAAGTTATTCCTATTGTATGTGTTGTATCCGACGGTCCGCTATGTAGCTATCACGGTCGCAGATACCAGAGGTATCCGACCGTGTACTATGAACCGGACCAGAAGCGATGCGAGAATGGGCTGCAGAAACTCTGGAGATCGTCCCCTCCTCAACATCGTCCCCGCGCGTCACGCTCGTGAACGGGACCATCGCAATGCAGTTTCAACGCCGTGGACGACTCTTTTGAGGAGACCAGGCCGACACAATTTCGCTGGAGAACAGGGAGGATGGAGGCATGCAACATCAGCCTCATAAAGCCCAAGCAGAGCTGAAACGGTAAGTGTTCGGTATCTTGATGACTTCCAATCCTGACTAATCTGCCATCGTGTCCGCCTCCTTTAATCCAGTACCCTCTCCGGAGAGGCAAATGCTGAGCAGCGAAGGTTGCTCGCGCGTCCTCTTAAGCATGGCCAACTCAACCGTCAACGGTCTGTCATGTCGTGCTGTGCATGTGCGAGGATCTGATGGGCGTGACTATAGGTGTAGGCTGATGGACCTCGGGACATTGGCGACCTTGGACCTTGAAGAGCTGAAACAGAACTCAGTCGACCGCCTGCGGTAGTTGACCCTGTGACAGGACCCTCAAACCAATTCAAACATCGTTGCCGACACCGGGACACCTTATACGGCGTCCAACACCGGCTCCCAGAAACGCAAGTTAGACGTCGGGAACAAGGAAGTAGGAGTCTAGTGTCTTTATGACTTTGAACCCTGTCTAATGCTGCACGCAGAATATAGCTGAAGAATAGCCACGGAAGAAATACAAAGAGGGCTTCCCCGTCTTCTGTCGTGGGGAACAACTATCCGATAAGGGAACGTGTACTTGCCACCTCAAACCACGCACCCACCGTGACAAGACCGGAGAAGAGCATCGGACGCATTTGTGGGTCCGTGCAAGCCATCGCAGGGACACACAAGATCGCAAAGGCAGATCGGACGCATTTGTAGGTCTGTGCAGGCTGTCACATGGGATACGTCCGTCCAGACAAATTGCGACCAGAATTCGGGAACTGCACTCTGCGAGCTCCCGAATTCTAAAGGAGCCCTTGGCAGAATGCTCGGGAACCGAAGAGGCCCAAAAACCGATGCTGGCTCCTTCCTACGACATCGCGAGGGTATGCACGGCATCATCCACAAGGGCAAAAAGAAAGCGGCGGAGAGCGGCGCGGTCAAGTCTGAGAAGGGGCGCAGCACTCGCAAGCACAAGCCCTACTCCAAGCGGTCGTCTCGCAAAGCCACTGCGTCCCAACAGGACCAACACAGGCGTCGACATCACCAACACGCAGGGTGAGAACGGCCTCTCGGAGTTGACGACGTACTTCCCGCAGATGTCGCTGGCCGCCCGCCAACATGCGATCGCACCGCAGATGGTGGACCCCTTCGGCCCGGATATGCTCGTCACGCTCGAGAGGCTGCAAAACGATCTACAGGATTCTGTAGAAGTTCATCAGAGATCCTCAGAAAAAACAAACAACAACGATATACTGAGCTTTGTCAATCGCGTGAGGAACGTGCAGGAAGACTCGCGCGACTTGAAGTGGTAGTAGTACAAACAACGCCAAATACGATGGCGCCACAATCCCATATTCTGCAAACGGATTCCGTTGCAGCGATGGTCGTCATCACTTAAACCCGGTCCACTATGTACACTTACAGGGTGTGCGTAGCTTTGCCATCGAAGTATGGCCTTGGGAGTAAATTGCCTTCCGAATTAGCCACTGATACCTACCAGGATAGGTAGGTAAGCCAAATAGGGCACGCGCGCTAGAACCTATCGTTCTCGGGGAAAGGCGCTGGTCAGGAAGAATCCATTTCTGGCAATCTACTCTTTTCTTGGCTTTCTACGTAGGCTGTGAACTATTCCAACCAGCTCAGGATATCGAACTGTCGATGTACTCTATGTTCAGGTTAAGAACAAATTGCCAGCAGCGATCGGACCGAAGGACGTCAGGCTAGGCATACAGGGAGTATCCGTATGCATCTTTTCCCCTTGTCTCTCTCCCTTTTGGACGTCCAAAACGACGCCTGGCGAAAGCAGGACATAGGGTCCAGTGGGAGATTGCAGCTACTCTGCTTGCTAGAGTGATGACAGTCAGAGCTTCTTGGCAGTCAGTGTCCATTCGCTTGATGCTTTCAATTCATTTTCATTTTCATGGCTAAGTACGAACGGCTTCGGCATGTACGGACCTGTGCCATCTTCGATTCCTCTTACAAGTTTCGGTGTCTTGCGGCCTCAGCCCATTTAAGCTGAGATCTTGAAGCAGGTATGCGGTGCGATTCATAATGTATGCAAATCCGTTCTGGTCCTCTGCAGCAAATCCTGGTGCAATATTCTGAATGGGTGGTTTACCATCACAAAGTCCCATGCCTTGTACTGTTCGTATCAATCACGTGTGAGATTACGGCTGATTCTATATCATTAGACCTGTTGAACGCAATGTGTGCGTAGCGGACTTCGGGTGGGAATAGGCGAGCCCCAGAAACAACAGCCTGCTTTGGTAAATCGTGGCTGTGACGATACTTTGCTGCGTCCAGCCATGTCGGGACCACGGTCCCGAGTGTTGATTCCGAATCTCGCATCAACCCTGCTTGCGCACAAATATTCTCGGGTATGTCTATCGGTATGGAATTAGCTGTAGGGTGTGTCAGAGACATATGCTGAAACATACGATCAGTAACGAGCCCGCAAGCTGGGGCGCGATGTCCCTTACGCCCGCAGACACGCTCGCCGATCGAATCCCCGTTGCTCCAACGAGCCTAGGTCATCGGCTAGAGGTTTGAGATCACGATATGATTGGCGAATCAAGTACCCAGCCAATCAAGTTGTGATCGCATAGTTCCAACTTATGATTGAGGTCTCTACAAATGCACTCTGTTTTCACTTGCTGGCAGGTTGGGCGTCCAGGACGGCAGTTCTGTCCACGAGCTACTGGCATGCTGATTAATGAGCTTCTCCGACCATGTAGGTCTGAGACCGGGGCCTGCATGATTAATAATTTTCTGCCTTTCCGCGTTCGGATGCAACCAGATCATTCTGATGTGAAGATGAGAAGGTCTATGAACGCCGAAGGTCCCAGTGCGATCCGGCGGCGGCGCAGTTGTTGTATTTCATCGTGACAGTGTTCTAGCGCAGGAGCTAACGCCCATTTGTGTTCCGATCGGGCTGTAATGTCACATTTGTCTTCCTGGCTTCCATAGTACAAATTGGCCATCGTCTTCTATTCAGTCATAACAGTCATAACGAATATTTCGGACAAGAAACAAGACGGCGGCAGAGTTGTCTATTCGTTAACACCAGTGTGTGCCTAATGGCGTCCGCAACTACATTTCAGTAGTGAGTACAGCTATCTCTGATATGACTACTGGCGTGGACGAACTGATCCATGGCGACGATAATACACTTGGCACATCGCTCTCAATTGCTGCGACAGGTATAACATATATAATAATTAACGCCAGAGGCTCACCGCTGTTTTAGGTCTGTATTGCTATGACTACTGCCTCACACTTGATCGAGAGGTACGATATATATGGAGAACCAAGATCTCCTTAGTGAATGTAATGCTCTTTGCTATGCGCTATGGTGGTCTTGCCGTGGTTGCATTCGATATTGCTGGATCACTGTCAGCTGTGAATCGCTGGGAGTGGTCAGTCGAGGTGAGAGGATCATTCAATCTTCAATGCGATACCACATATGTTGATAACCCACGAAGAGGTAAGTTTCCATGTAGCTCGTCTGAGCACATATGTAAACTTCACCACAGCTGTATGACATACACCCGAGCTATGACGGCTGTAGATATACTCCTCGTAGTCGCCGCTTCTGGTACATTTATTCTGAGGTTGGACTGCAACCAATTGTGAACTGATGCCTCAGCATTCTCCGCTTGGCGCACGAGCGTTCTATATAGCCAGAAGAGGTGGCTACTTGTTGTTGGCTTGCTTTTGGGCTCGATTAGCCCTGGTCTCACCGCAGTAAGCATCCCATATTCCCTGATGCTCGAGCATACTAGTCAAGTTTTAACGGCTGTTTTTCGTCCGTTAGTATGCTATGATGACCCTCACGAAGTCTGCATATGAATCGCTTCCAAGGAGTACTGTTTGCACTTCATATCCGGGAGAAGCATTCTCTAGGTGTGTGGCTCTCGGCCGTGAAACAAATGCGACAATAGACTCATACCAAGTAACACTACAGTTGTAGGTCATGTCGGTGACCCATGCAGCCGACATCTCCAACTGAACTATTACTGTAGAATTGATGGGCTCAAGGGCTGCGTCAATCGTCTTTGACGGATTTGTCCTCACATACTGACGTGGTACAAGGCGAGGACCGCTGGACACTATGACCCTGAATTCCTTGCTCTCCAGCCATTGTTAACAATATTGCTCAGAGATAGTACGTACATAGCAGTGTACATCACAGGCAGATCTACTGACAGAGAACTTGACTTCAGCTGCGCAATGCTTCAGGTCTTCAACGGTCGCTCGTTTGTGTTTCGATCGCCCTGATAGAATTCCCATAGCTTCCTCCTCATATTCAATGTCATTGGACATTGCGTCGGACGTAATATGGAGGTAAATTACAATGTGGATGACCCTATGCATGCTCACAGCTTCTTTGGCATGTAGTACTCAGCAGTCATGGCGATATGGATCATGTAGTGAGTATCTCAGTTGAGATGTTGTTACGAAATCTGACTTCCCCTATCTTGAGCCTCACTGCGATCTTGTTGTCGCGGTTGCTCCTCAACCTGCGCGAAGCCTCACAAGCTGAATTGGCATTCGAGAGCACCGAAGCCAGTCACAGTATCAGGTTCATGGTAAATAATGATGTATGGAGTGACTGGAACGGCCTGGATTAGGGGATGGTAATCTGCATGTTGTCACGCAACTCTAGAACTATTACTCTGTTACTAATATAATAAAGCTAGGATGGCTCGTTAGAGGACTGCCTTGCGGTAAAGCTCCCAGAGGCACGAGCACCGGGAGAGACCGAGGGCCAAACGAAGTCAATAACATATGGTGTACGGAAACGAAGATTCGCAGAAGCGGGCATCCATTCCTGTCAGGCAGACCTCCGTTAAGGGTTAACTTCAGGCACATTGTCGGTACATGGACTTGCACTGGACGTGTAATTGGATCACGTGGGCGCGTCAGCGACTCCTGAACACTCAGTGGAGCTACGAGTCACTGTAGTGGAGTTCCCCACTTGATGACAGACTTGGCTCCAGTTTGTCCTCCAATTATAACACACCGGCACATACTTGTGGAGGGTGCGGGTTAGCGGGTCGGAAACTTATGGAGCCACCGTCATAGGCCCCATCGAATGTGAAATCGCCTATATAGAGGGTATAGGTTCTCAAGTACGGTTAAACAATCATCTGACTTCACGAAATCCCTACACCATCACAAATCGAGTAGCCCGACATGCCACTTTTCAAGAGCAAGGTGAGTTGTACGCTTTTCTGTCCGAATTATTTCTAAACGTGGTCATGCAGAAGAAGACGCAGGCCGCTGAACAGGATGCGCGCAATGCACACGAGCACCACGAGAACCGCAACACAGCAGGGTCAACCGCAGGTGCCAATCCAAATGTGAATGACTATGCCAACCAGCCAGGTCCGCCGGGTCAGGTTCACACGATCAACCGTCGGGGCGGCGGTCCAGCCCGCGCGGCGGACAATGGCAAAGTAGGTTCACCAGCTTACGGGAACGTAAGTCAAGCAAACCCGCTCCCACTTACTGGCCTAACGCTCGAGATGATTTTACGCTTCAGACCGCCTCGACAGACCCAAGCCTGACCACAGAGCGCCACCACGATCGCGGTAAGACCAGAGTCCGCGCGGAGGGTGGCACGGAAGAGGCGGCGGGTCAGCTGGTCGGCAGCCGGGCTCTTCAGGCGCACGGCGCTCAAAAGGAGCAGGAGGCGAACGCGATCAAGGTTCAAAGCACCGAGCTAGCTGAGGCAGAGCGTCTCGAACGCGAGGCGGTATTGCGCAGAGAAACGGCAGTCGCGCACGGTGAGTACAGATACGTCATTTTGTGGCGCAAGACGCTCATCGTGGACACCGTAGGCGCGCACCCGGATAACAAGCATCTCGGCGCTGGATTTTCTAACAGCACCGGTGCCTCAAACTAGTTCTCCTGAGCCACCTGAAACATTCGTTGTACTTTATTCATGTGGCGTTCATGAGGTTAACTGTAATATAGTACATGTACATTTTAGTGGAAATAATGAATGCTGAAGGGAACACACACATGCGTGGATAAAACCAAGACTCCAACGAGGTTATTTTGCGCATATTAGAAGAGGGATATCGGGGTGCATTGTGTTGCTACGTAAATTCGTTAAATGGGCACTGTATCAACACATAACATTCATTCTGGACCGTCCCGATCAGCAGACACTGTATCAGCACCATGCGCTCATCCGAATGCATTAAACGTACCTCATTTCATTAGCGAGTAGTAAGGACAGTGATGTCCTTGCACCATCAATCAACCCTAGGCGCGTGGCCAGGGACTATCGCCCAAAGCACGACCATCGCACCCATCATCGACACCAACCTGTCGAAGTTGCGCTTAATTAGGGGTTATAGAATGAAACGAGTCACATACAAAGGTTGCAAAGTTAAGATGCCCTCTTTGCTCGCGAGCAATCCCGTCAGGAACGGCAAAAACGCGGAGCCCGCCTGTCCGATGCCCGCTATCCACCCGATGCAACCCGTGAGCAGCCACTGAGGAAACACGCGCCCGGAGTGGTTCATTGCAATCGGGTAGATGGGGCCAAGCAGGACGCCAACGAGCGAGACGGCGACGGCACCACCGATCAGCGACGGAACGAGCCAGACGACAAGCTCAAGGCTGCGCGTGAGAGCAATGTAAGTGTCAGAACTCGGATGTTTTCTGTTGAGAGTCTCGTACCCAATGGCAAGAAGAGAATATATAAACAAGACGCGTCGCTCGCCGACCTGGGGGACGATCGGTGTCTGCGGCATGCGGATATGAAGACGACTCACGGTCTTATTTACCCATAAGAGGGCTACGCGTCCAAGCGTGAGACCTGACGCGACGGTCCAAAGTGTTAGCGTTAATCTCGATGGACGCCGCGGAGAGAAAGTACCTCCGAAGAAGCCTGAGGAAATATACCCGGACGACGCACCCCCGGAGCGGACTTCAATGACGTAGGTAACAATCCATCCTTGTAGCAGAGCCTGAGCAATGATGTGGGGCAGAATGCACAACCAGTTACCTCCTACAGTGACTTCTATCCCGACGTAAATGAAAATGAAGAGCGCAAGCAGATGCAGCTCCTTCAGCCGGAACATTTGCTTGTATTTGCTTTTGCTAGAGTCGTTCGCAGCACCGCCCGTCATATGGGCGCCGTCGCCCGGAGCGCCGGTCTGAGGTAGATCTTCACCAATCGCCGCGAGACACTCTATGGTAGGGGCCAGAATCTGGATAAGCAGCCGGGGGTAGCAGCGTGACGTTGACTAACCATTCTGGGTGCGGAAGCGTAGTACGACGGCAAGCAGGACGGTATTGATGAAGGCTATGCCGAGTGAGATGAGGTAGTGAAAAGACCATCTCGGTAATTGGGAAAATTGTGTAGCAACAAGAGGAGAGCATAGTGCCCCAAATCCTGGGAAGGCAAGAGTAAGTTTACCATATGCATCAGTTCAATATATGCAGCCTTGCCGTAGACAGCGTGCATGATCCCCATCTTCGTCTCGGGGTTATCTGAGAGGCAGCTCACATACCCATTCGCGCCAGCGTCCTGGAGCCGCTGTCAGACAGAAAAAAGACATGGAAGGGCGCCAAAGTTAAACCTGTAAAGACATGCCGAATCCGTTGACGGCGTAGCCGAGCACGAACGCAGGGAAAGGCGGAGCAGATGATTCGATGGCGTAGCCTATCATCTGGGCAACGGACCCTGACGCGAGTAGTCCATGAAGGCGATCTAATCTCATTCAAGCTATTCAATTGCCTACCTATCACCATGACCTATAAACACTGGTTAGTCATTGCGTTGTGTAGCTCAATCACTGACTAACCGTCCCGAAGCCAAATCTGTCAGTGAGGGCAACATTTGCCGTAGCACCAGTTACGAAGCCCTACGGTCCCGCTTAGTTGCCAACACAATTGTAAGGGGAAAAGTACATCTCGAAGTCACGTACCAAGCAGGCAAAGACGAATATGAGCGATACCACAGCGAAGCCGACCTGGTAAAATATTGCATGAGTATCCAATCACCATTCTTAAATGCGCTAACTGTACATGATAGACCTTCTGCATGCGCGGAAGGAGAGGTCCTGTGGTTCCATCGTTCCACCCTGCCATGAACAAGGAGAAACACATCACCGCAAATTGGATGCGCGCGCGATGCTTGTGGACTTTCTGCAGTCGGGAATCAGGGGTTTTAGCACGCTCTGCCAAGCTAGCCGAAGTAGATAAGTCATTCCGCTTCCCAAGCTCTGCGAGCTCCATAGAATTTGGATTGTCCGTTGGATGCTTTACTATGGGGGTCTCCGACTCAAGAGGATGGGGTGATCGCGCACGAATGAGTGTCGAACCAGGTAAATTAGTGTCTGTGGACATTGCTGACGCCATAGCTGAGGATGACGATCAAGTAGTAGAAAGAGTTGTTGGCGCCAGTGTTCACATGTCGACATTCAGTCTCATAATCCCTGAGATACATAAGATCGCCTCACTATAATTGCTGTAGAGGCTAGGAGTTGCGTGGAAGGACTCGAGCCTTGGAGCGCCCGGCAATCGCACAAAATCTGGTTCGTTGAGTGGTAAGTACTTGTGTGCCGTCGACTTCGACTTCAATCAAGAGCTATGTTGCGACTTGTGAGATATCATCAAAGGGGGCACTTGCAGAAACCTGTACCTCTAAGAGACAAATTGTTGTGAAGGTCGGAAGAGTATCCAGCAGAGTACGTGTACATCACGGTTTGCAGTAAGCCATTGGCCAGTATAGACCGTCTATGATCGATCAACGGACAACTCCGACGTTGTACTTAGTGTAGTAAAGGCTGCAGCACTTCTGAAGAAACTTTTGTAGTACTTATAACACCTGACCAAGATTACATCAGTTTATATGAATCGAACATACGGTACAAGATTCGAAGCATGTCAGGTTGATATTTACCATTCAAAAATCTTCCGGTCCTCAGCCTAGGCCCTAGGGGTGTAGGATGCGCGGTGTCGCCGTAGCACTCGTTCAACACTGGAAAGTGTCGAAAAATCATAATCAGATCTGCAGGGTCCCAACAGCGCTGCGCGGTATCTCGGGAGGTTGGTCAACAGAGATCCAATTCCCCGACGAATCACCGGTAATTCCCCAGGTGAAAATGTGGTCCAATCAACATCGTTACATAACACCAATAAATATGCCTCGCTTTGGGTCGTGGTGCTCATTTACTGCCAATTAGGTTTCAGTTAGTTCTAGTTCCTTTCACCGCGCCCTACCATCCGTCCGGTATATCAATTCATTACTTGCTTATGCAAACTATGGTATCAAAAGTACAACGGTGAACTTATAGGTGCGGTCTTAAATAGACGAGGTACTGGTGAAGAGATTTCGGCCTTCTAGTCCAATTTTAAAGCCTACATGCATCACCCTCAATCACATTGCATGCGCATACATACTACGCACTCGAATTGACTTCGCCGTTCAATATTCAGCCTTAACTGTAAATATTGGGCGTGTGATTGACTGACTGGAGGTGTTCTTCCGACCTTCTGGTGATCATGACCTCATTGAGTCGGTATTCACTGCTTATGTATGCCTGCGTAATCTCAGATAAATGACTCCATTACAACCCATTACAATCCTTTGGTGGTCTTGTTACCGTGGGAACTATATTGATCTGGAGTGGTACGCCAAACGGCTTTGCAAGTCGAACACTGCTTTACATCTCTATATCTTCGCCAGGACTTGCACATTGTCATTCAGGCGCACTACAGGTGGTTAGGCTGTTGAGGGAAGCGCCGTAGAATCCGGAAACGCGGTGCTATCCAGAGTGACGTGTCGTGCAGCCGCAGCCTGTACGTGTCCCGTGAGGCCGTGATCATTATATTCCAACCTTCCACCATCTCCGACGCGTAGTCAGTAAACCAATGGCTTCCCCATCTCAACAACTTCCTCCAGGCTGGGCTGCCGAATGGTGCGTGTAGCCTGGATTGTACTGCATTGTCTCTGACAGTGTCACAGGGATCCCAACGCCCAGCGCTATCTCTTCATTGGTGTGTCTCGCGTTCATGCACCAGTCTGTGATACTTACAGCGCACTGCAGAGAGAGAAACGGGGCGATCGCAATGGGAAGTTCCAATAGCCAACCCAGAGCTCGGTGGCATGTCTCCACCATCAGTGTCTCCACCGCCGGCGACCAACCATCACGGTAAACGTCGCCAATATGCTGCAGGCCAGACGCAGGCATATTACGGCACACCCGACGCTTTGGCTGCGCCATCGTACGGCGCAGCGGCACCCCAGCCCCAGCCTGCCCAACTCTTTACGCCCGGACTCGCCGCGGAGAACCAGTTCCAACAACAGCAGGCGCATCAGCAGCAGGGGTACTACGGAGGCGCGCCTGCGCCTGGAGAACCAGAGTATATCAATGCGCCTGGCTTTGGGCAGGGCCCTGCCATTGCGCCGCCTACGAGTGCGCTAGCAGACCAGTTCAGCCAGATGAACGTAGGTCAACAGCGCCCGACCCTTTTCACAGCAAACCTGCTCGCGTCGCCGCCCGACCCGCGTGAACTGTTCCGTCCACCACCGGGGATTTGCCTCCCCCCGAACGCAAGCATCTCACCTTCTCCATACGCGAATGCCGACCCATCATATCAACGGTGCACGTTGAACGCCATCCCTGTGTCCAGCTCGCTCCTGAACAAGTCAAAGGTTCCGCTCGCGCTCATTCTGTGCCCTTACCGCTCGCTTAAGGAGGGTGACGACCCTGTCCCGTTGGTGACGGACACTGTCATTGCGCGTTGCAGACGGTGCCGCACGTACATCAACCCGTATGTCCAGTTTATTGATGGGGGTAATCGGTGAGTGGTATGTCGGCGTCCTGATTCTGCAGAGGTGCTTACGTGCTGTAGCTGGCGTTGTTGCATGTGCAACATGTCGAACGAGGTCCCGCAGTTGTTCGACTGGGATCAGGTTCGCAACCAGCCCGGAGACCGCTGGGCCCGCGCAGAGCTCAATCACGCCGTGGTCGAGTTCGTCGCCCCTACGGAGTACATGGTCCGCCCGCCCCAACCGGCGGTGTATATATTCCTCATCGACGTCAGTCACTCGGCGGTCCAGTCTGGCATGGTCGCGACAGCGACACGCACGCTGCTCGAGAACCTCGACCGTATCCCGAACGAAGACTCGCGCACGAAGGTCGCGATCGTGGCATTTGACGTGTCGCTATACTTCTTCTCTATGCCAGTGAGTTTCACCTCCATTACGTCCCTATAATTTGTTGCTGACGACCGGGCTTCAGCCAGGCTCGACGGAATCGTCCATGCTCGTTGTCTCTGATTTGGACGATGTCTTCCTGCCCAAGCCCACGGACTTGCTCGTGAACCTAGCAGAGGCACGCGCGTCGCTGGAGTCGCTACTTGGCCGCTTGAGCGAGATGTTCCAGGAGAATCACACAATTGGGAGCGCGCTCGGCCCTGCGCTGCAGGCTGGATTCAAGCTGATGGTGTGTAGATATGCGTTTGGTGTGACAACAGCAAACCTGACATCTCTGATAGGCCCCCATTGGTGGGAAGATTATGGTACTGTCAGCGAGTTTGCCGTCGCTTGGCGCCGGAGCGCTCAAGAACAGAGAGGATCCTAAGATTCTCGGTACGTCGAAGGTAAGACCTGCTCCTGGCTAAGAGACCCAAGCATTTGCTCAAGACCATACAGGAGTCGGGGCTTTTGCAGTCTGCATCGCCTTTCTACAAGACCTTCGCCATCGAGTGTTCGCGGGCGCAGGTGTCCGTGGACATGTTCTTGTTCAGCGCGGCATATCAAGATGTTGCCACCCTCGGTGTGTCCATACCTCCGTTGCCTTCTGCATAGTGGGAAGGGCTGACGATACGTTTAGCATGCCTTCCTCATTACACCTCTGGTCAAACCTATTTCTATCCTGCATTCAATGCCTCGCGCACGGAGGATGCCGTCAAGTTCGCACACGAGTTCGGCGAGGTGCTCGCTATGCCGATCATGCTGGAAGCCGTTATGCGTGTCCGCGCATCGAAGAGTACGTCTTGTCATGATTGCTGTTGACCAGCAGTTGACCAGCATATGGCACAGATCTGCGGATGTCGTCCTTCCACGGCAACTTCTTTGTGCGCTCCACGGATCTTCTCGCGATGCCCGCCGTACCCCAGGATCAGTCCTATGCTATCGAGGTGACGATCGAGGACACCATCACGTCTCCATTTGTCGTCTTCCAGACTGCTGTCCTCCATACGACGTGCTACGGTGTGTTGACTCTGTTTGTGTACATCTTCATCGCTTACGTTTCTGCCCAGGCGAACGCCGTATTCGTGTCGTGACGACCGCATTACCCACAACGAACAACCTTTCCGAGGTGTTTGCATCGGCGGATCAGATTGCTCTAGCAACCCTGCTCGCAAACAAGGCTGTGGAACGCTCAATTACTCACAAGCTCGAGGATGCACGTGATGCTCTCTTCGGCAAGATGGTTGAGATCCTTCAGGCATACAAGGCCAGCATGACCGCAGCCGGAGCGGGTGCGAGCGCACAGTTGGCCATTGCTGAGAACTTGAAGCTGCTTCCTGTCCTTGTTCTGGGGCTGCTGAAGAACGTGAGTAGTCTACATAACCGGTAGTTGTTTTTGGCGTCCTAGCGGAGACTGACATGACGTTGCAGGTGGGAATTAGGCAGAGCGCACAGATTCCGCCAGATTTGCGCGCGTATTCGCAGGCTTTGCTCACCTCACTGCCCTCTCAACTTCTGATGCCCTACCTCTACCCCACATTCTACTCGTTGCATAACATGCCTCCAGAGGTAAGCTGATATAGATATCAACAGTACGCATCTTGGCTAAGTTCCTTTTAGTGCGGCACTGTCGGCGACCACGGCGTCATTTTGCCGCCGCCACTTCCCCTGACCTCAGAACATTTGGAACGACATGGTCTCTTCCTCATTGAGGATGGCCAGACCATTTTCCTCTGGGTCGGTCGTGATGCCGTTCCCCAGCTCATCATGGACGTATTCAACCTGCCGAGCTACGAGGTCTTGCGTGGTGGAAAAGTGAGCCATGTAGAACATGGATTGGAACAACAGCCAGCTGACTATTACCCCCAGACGACTCTGCCTGTTCTTGACAACCCGTTCTCGCAACGCGTCAATGCAGTCATCCAGAAAACAAGGGAGATGCGCCGTGGCGTCTACTATCCGCATTTATATATTGTGAAAGAGGACGGGGAGCCGCCGCTGCGTTTGTGGGCCTTGAGCTGCCTTATCCAGGATCGTGCGGATGTCCTGCCCAGCTACCAGCAATTTGTCTCACAGTTACGAGACAAGGTATGAATGTATTCAAGCGGTCGTTAATAATGGGCCGCTAACCGTTGGCTGCAGGCGAATGGTTCGAGTTACTAAAAGGATACTCCCCATAGTGGACGGCAATAAGTATTGCTATGAATATTGTTCCTTTTCCGTACTATAACATATTAGTGTCATAGCAAAACTTTGTCTTTCGGAGGGTCAGAACCAGAGCATGCGTCGATTACACAAATCTGAACACGTGGCCTCGCGTCTTATATTGGCGAGACAGGAAGGTATACATCGAAAACAATAGCAAGATTATGGAAACAATAGGAGGGGGACCATGTCATGACCTTTTTTTGCGAGTGTTCTTGGCGGGGGCGTTCACGCCCGGTTTCCGTGTGCTGCGCGTCCTTGTTGATGGCTTTTGTGGTGACATCGGCTCCTCAGATGACGATTCTGCGGAGGCGGCACTCGACAGCCTGGTTGATCGTCGCGGCCTGAGTTCGGACATAGACATATCATCCTGATTGGCCCGTGTAGTCTTGGTTTTACGGGCGCCTCGTTTGGTAGCAGGCGTTGGAGGCGGCAGAGGCGGCACGACGTCCTCTTCCTCTTCGTCATCGTCATCCATCAGGGATCCAGGTATACTCCGCCCTGAAATGCGCTCTTGAGGAACCTTGCGTGTGCGCGTGGTACGGCGTGTGAGCGCGGGCGAAGGTGAGCGCTGAGGGGGCGCTTGACGCGCTCTCTTTCTCGGTGTTTGAGGCGGCGGGGGAGTAGGCTCGCTCTCCTCGTCTGAATCCTGAGTGAAGGCACCTGGAAGCGTCTGTGTCTCGGGCTGCGTCCGCGAGCTTCGTAGGCCGGGGAGAGGCTGGAAGGCGTCAGGCGGCGGCGAGAACATGGAGAACGAGACCTCTTCTGTGACCCCGTTCTGGTGCGATGGCTCCCCGTTGTGCGATGGATCGGCGTGGCCGTTCCCGACGGGTTCCTCGTCCGCGTGCATTTCAACGTCCTCATCATTAACAATATCTTCCACCTCCGCGACGTCCATCATGCCTTCGTCTACTGCTTCAACGGGAGAGTGCACACTTGACGTGGCAGCGCGAGGAGTATCCTCCCCGAAGGAACGTTTCACGCCGGCAGACACGGGCGGCGTGTAAAATGCGTTCGGCGTCCTATTGGCGCTGCCGAGCGTCTCGAAAATCGATATGGGGCGGGAGCTGCTGGGTGTCGCGTACTGCGACTGAGGAGTGTTGCTACCGACCGTAAACACGGGTGTCGACGGTCCTGCACGAGGCGCGCTGCTGATGGGGCGCGAGGCAGATATGCTGGTAGCAAGTATGGGCGAGGCGGCCGATGTAGATGCAGCAGCTGATGATGCGTGCGAGGATCCGACAGCCGACAGTGAGAGCGGCGAGAAGACGTCCGAAACGGGGAGCGGGCCCCCAAATCGCGGCGCGCCAGAACGCTGCGAGAGTGAAGGGGGCGGCGGCTCTGGGAAAGCGGCCGATATGCGCGACGCGTTGGCGACTGCGGATGCGCTCGATCCATTCGCCGGGAGGGGGGTGCGAACGCTCTCCCAGGACATGCTGAGGTCTCCACTGTTTCCGATCCTTGACGACCACGATGCTGAGAGTGTTGGCATGCCCGTCCCCTTGCCCTGTGCAAGCTGTTCCAGCTCCAGCTCGAGCAGCTGGCGTTCGACAGCCGGCATCGCGGCCATGATATCGTCCATCATTTGCCTGCGCTCCTGCGCCGCCTTGTGTGCCGCCTTGCTCGTGGACGACGTGCTTCGCGCGGAGAGCTTGCGCTCGAGCATGACAGCTGCGGAGAATTCGCCCGCCTGCACGAGGCGCAGACAAACGAGGTCGTGCAGTACGGGGATGGATACGGAGGGAATCTCGAGTGGAGGGTCGGCGGCATACGCATGCAGGATGTTTTCCTCGTACTGTGATAGCGGCAGTGCGAGGAGGTCTTTGAGCGGTGTCGCACGAGGCTTGGCTGCATGTATGTGTGAGATATATTCAGTGACTGCGCTGATCGAGGGTGACTTACGCACGAAGCACCACTCCAGCATCTTGCAGAACAGCCGTTCCCGGGCTTCGCTCATCTCCGAGTAGGAGCGCTGGAATTGCCACGCCTCACGCAAGCTTGACCCGGCGAGCGCGACGATGAAGACATCGAGATCAACAGGGGAGGTGAGGAGCGGCTTTGCTGTGCGAATGTACCTCCGGATGAGTGGACCTGGGTCGTCCGCGAGGGCGAGCGCTTGTAGGATCTTCGATGTGTGCTCTCGGTTCAGACGGACATCCGAAAGTAATCCTACCCCGTGCTGCAATATGTTGTCACGCCCAGCAACAGTACCCGAAGACATGCACACTCACCCCAATGTCCACGCCTGAGTCCAGATGCCAGTACGCGTCCGCGAGAGCAACGAATTGTGGCGGAATGCACACCGCCTCGCTGAAGTCCACCTCCCGTCCGTCCTGGTGCCATTTGAGGAGAAAGTAGATTAAGCAGTCCTTTTTGAGCGCATCGTATGTTGAGACGAGAATCGCGAGCAGCAACGTCTTCAAGCCCTCCAAGTCTCTGGGTGGGTAAATTTTGGGTGCAATATAGGGTATGCCACCAGAGGCGAGGAGAAGGTCGAAGATAAGGACGTCGTTCATGTTGAGCCGGCGGTCCTCAATTTGGTCAGGAACAGGGAACCTCCATGGCCAGCTGTTTGGATCGGTGTCGAAATGCGGGAGGAGGTCGAGTACTTCTTGCTGTGGGTTTGGAGAGCCCTCCTGGCCATGGTTGAGTCTCGCTCAGCAGGAAGTTCGCAGTACTCACTACGTTCATAGCTGTGTCACTCTCCGCGCTAGGATGTGCGAAGCCTACATAACAGTGAGTCTCCTGCCATATGCCATCACCACATGTGGATGCGTACTTGACGCGTTGTTTGTGGCTTGCTTAACCGGCAAAGTACGTTTGTACACGTACCTCAGCTATACAGTATCCTGTTCAAGCTCAAGACCGTGTTTAGGGATAGCAGAGGTTGTCTAGTGGTCGTGCAGTGAAACAACGTTGCGGAACGGGTGGCGAACTTTCGTCTCTTGTCTACTGTGACATCACGTGAAGACGCGTCTAAACGCGTCGCCCAATGGCGCGTCACCGTCCGAGTCTCTTCTACGCTTGCCACCAGGCCGTGTCTGAACTATTCCTGCCTGCTGATCGCTGAGGGCTCACGATGTTTGAACTACGACGGAATCTTGCAACAGATCATACGAGTGCTCATATCAATATCATGACGGTCACTGCGGCCGCTCGCAACATGTCTTGCGGGGATATGCATCATGCGGCCGCTTCTTGAATATGCACTTCCTCTTTGTAATTGTGCCAACGTACATATGTTGCGCAATCCATTGCTCAATTCGATGGTATCCGGGGCCCCAGTACATATACATCGCCCGCTGTATCTTTACAACCTACTGACGGTTCTTCGTGAGCTTCTCTAACCGTGCAAGATGTCCGTGTCGCTGTCTTGGTTGCTTTTGGTTCCATTGGGCATCTTGTTCAAGATGTGGTACGACAAGAATGCGGGAGCAAGAAGATCACTTCCTCCCGGTCCGAAGGGTTGGCCTTTGCTAGGGAACGTCAACGACATTCCTGAAGTTGCCCCTTGGCTGGATTACGCGGACCTTGGCAAGATATATGGTACGTATGCTACTTATTAGCCATGCATGCATGTACTAATAATCCCTAAGGCGGTATCATCGGGTTGAAAGTCCTCAGCCAAAGTCTCGTTGTAGTCAATGATCTTAGTATCGCGCACGAACTACTTGACAAGTGCTCGAACATCACGTCAGATAGACCGGCAAATAAGTTGCTCGATTTGTGAGCATCTCCATTGCGGTAGCTTGTAAATGTGTACTCACCGTCGTGGTACAGCCTCGGATGGGAGTTCTCGCTTGTCATTCTGCGGTATGGCCAGCGGTGGAGGGATCAACGACGACTCTTCCGCCAGGCATTCCGGCCAGAAGCAGTGTATGGCTATCAACCAATTATAACACAGAAAGCTCGCCAACTCCTCTTGAACTTGTTGGACAACCCAGAGGGTTTCATAGATCATGCCAGGAAGTAAAACCTTGCCGACATGGTCGTTCACTCACCGAGACTTACGCATACACACTGGTAGCTATCCGGCCTCTATCGTCATGCGTCTGGTCTATGGCCACGAGATCGCTCCTCGTAACGACCGCCTTGTCTACCTTGCTGACAAGGCTGGAGAGATGGTTGAGTTGCTACTCCTTCCTGGCTTGGACCTCATCAAAGTGTTCCCCTTTCGTGAGTCCTATATCACTCATCAAGGCCACTTTCGGTGATGATAATTCACATGTAGTGCGTTTCCTCCCTGAATGGAACTTCTTAACCGGTTTCCCACGAAAGGCACGCATTTCTCGTGACATGGTCAAGGAAATGAGGGACGTCCCGTGGGATATGGTCCGTGATCAGATGGTATGTCCACTATATGTGACCCTTGTCAACTATAGATTCACAATTGCGACTAGACAGCGGGCACAGCGCCTTCGTCAATGTCGTCGGACCTCTTGGAAAGGAGCAGCAAGCTGGGAGGGGACATGTCGAAAGAGGAAGCCACCATCAAGGACACTGTCTCTATTGCCTTCGCAGGTGAGCTCATTTGGAGTCCATGTCAAGCACAACAATCGACTGAAGCACTATTTACAGCGGGCACGGATACGGTATGTGCTGACGTGCCACGCCATCTCACCTGCTCACCTCGAGTATATATGTAGACCGCGGCCACTCTGAAGACGTTCTTGCTCGCGATGGTCCTGTTTCCCGAGGTGCAGTACGTCACGGCACGCTTTAAGATCATGCGTCGGACCCTACAGCTCACATCGTGCGCAGGAAAAAGGCTCAGGAGCAGATCGACAATGTCGTTGGCCAACGCTTGCCGACATTCGACGACCGAGACTCGCTACCGTATGTGGATGCTATCTATCAAGAGACGCAGCGATGGCACCCTGCTGTCCTCCTCGGTATGGAAATGATCTACTGCTGTGGAGTATATCTTGTTGATATCCTCTTAGGTTTTCCGCATGTTTCTACTGAGGACTGTTCGTACAAGGAATGGTTCTTACCGAAAGGTCCGTCTACGTGCCTTAGCGATGATACCGTGTCATTGACCTGTGCTTCTATATCGTCCCTCACAGGCACAGTGATCTTGCCGAACATCTGGTGCGTCGTTCACGCATAACCCACGTGGATTTTGATCTGAAGATGACATCAGGGCCATGTCTCGCAACGCGGAGCAATACCCTGAGCCAGAGGAGTTCCGGCCAGAGCGGTATCTGACACCGAGTGGCGACCGCACAGAAGAGAGCTCAGAGTTTACTTTTGGTTTCGGACGTCGGTGCGTGCCCTTGTATTCTCCCTCATCGGTGGCACGATCCTGAACTGGTAATCAAGCATTTGCCCGGGACGACATGCCGCCGATGCGTCTTTGTGGCTCGCCATCAGCAGCATCCTCGCCATGTTCTCCATCGAGAAAGCCAAGGACGAGAACGGCAAGGAGATCCCCATCCCGGGCGACTATGGTGGCCATGGGCTCGTCAGGTACGTCCATTCAGTAGTCTCCACAGTCACAGCGACCAACTGACCATATCTCGTCGCAGCCACGGTATGTTTGGAAGCGGCAGATTCATCCGCCTAGTTGCCTCACTCACGATCTGACTTTGCAGTCGTTCCGTACAAATGTGTTTTCCGCCCTCGCTTCGAGGGTGCAGAGCAGTTAATCCGTAGCTCCAAGTGAGGCAGACAACCAGCCGTATCGATTATGGGACGGGATGGGTCGGAGCCTGCTCTGTGGTGCTGTGGTCTCTAAGAATTCATATGCTCCACATTTGTAATATTACGCTCTGCAGGTGGAATGTCCGGTAATTATTTAGAGAGATGTTGTGTCCATTATATTATGTAGCCGTGCAGCTTTCATGCAAAGTCATTAGACAAACCTTCGAAACTGTTGATTTAAGACTGAGGTCATCATAGCTACTCTCGACGAAGTCCGCAGAAATATGCACTCACAAAAATCAGTATGTCTTGAGCGGTCTTGTTTTGTTCCACTCAACATGCCGTTCGCTGTTACCCGTGCTGAGAAGCAGCACGTGTCTTTCCTCGAAGTGCCATGCCATGCGTTTGCGTATACTATGCTACACAGGAGATTACGACAGTCCTCCTATAGATACAATGCTGGACACCAAGATAAGAAAAGCCGACAACGACAAATGGCAAACCATCCAACAGCAGCCATCGAACGGAAAAATGATAGATAGCCACAGCAACTGATAAATGGCTAGTGGCCGAAACTTTACGACAACCATCCCTTGTAGGTATCGACTATTATACGCGGCACTGTCATCCTCCAGCGCGGCCGCGGACGTACGGACGTATTAAGAGAGACTATCAATACTTGCTCCTTTGGCGCAGCTGCTCTCCGCGGAAGTAGAGGTAGATCGGGAACGGGATGCCGATGACGATGGCCAATCCTGCAGATAGGGTCAGCGGTATCTCCTGTGGTATCCAAGAAAAGCACCGACCGGCGAGCAACGAGTTTCCAGGCCCGTCTCCCAAGGCAGCGTACATGGGACCTAAGAGTCAACGACGGCCGTGAGCAACTCGTATGGCGATGGGACGCTTATATGACGTACCAGCAAAGAGCGGGAACCCGAAGCCGAAAAGACTCCTGTCGATTTATCAGTCTTACCCTTCGTCATGTCCGCAGCCCAGCGAATTGACATACCTAAGGACCTGATCAGATGAATCACGTCAGTCGACGGCACGGAAATCGGCGGACAGGAAGTGCTTACCGAGGACGCCGCCAGCGCGCTTGCAGCGAACTCAAATGCGTCGACGAGGTAGAGCTGTATGGAGAGGTACGCCATCATGAGGCCGAGGCCAAAGATCCCTATGCCAACGTCAGTTCCTTGCGCCCACAACACACCACGAGGCCAGCGCGGCGTACCTGTACCAATGATCTATGGCGCATTCATTACTACGGCCCGAGAGCAGCGAGCAGATGACGTACCGGCATGATCCACTGGATCCTCGCCTGGGCCGACCAACCGTACCAGCTGTGGAACCACTCAGCGCCCCGACGCAGCACGGTTATGAAGAGGCACGCACAAGAGGCCGATGGGCACGAAGAACGAGCACAGGATCAGCGACGGAATGCGCATCTCGGGCTTCCCAACACCACCATTCTTCTTCGCGAGCTACACATGGCGCATAAGCACAAGCACCGCCACACACGCGCGCTCAGACTTCACAGCGCACAACCCAAACACTTACATATTGGTACATCTCGTTCCCGTACTTCGCGCCCACGAAGCTGCCGACGATGAACCCGACGCCGAGCCCGAGGTAGCACAGGCCCCCGATGCCGGGCCCGAACCCGTACACGGCGGAGAACAGCGCCGGGAAGGTCGCGAACATCAGGTAGTACGTGCCGTAGATGAACGCCAGGTACATGGACAGCATGAGGCAGATGGGCGAGCGCGTGAGCAGGATCGCGGGCCGCGTGAGGTTGATCCAGAGCAGCGCCAGCTTGTCGCGCCACGAGCCCTGCGCGATCGACTCCTTCGGCCCAAGCGCGTCCTCCGCGCTGCGGTTCTTGCGCGCGAGGCGGAGCTTAATCACGGGTGCGTACGACTCTCTGAGGAACGGAATCCCGATCACAGACGCGACCCCGCACTGTTCAATGCAGAGCGAGTGAGCGCAGGAATTGTGGCGGAAAAGACGTGACTGACCACTGCAGCGATGATGACGAAGACCCATTTGAAGCCTATAGTCTGGGTAACGAATCCACCTGGAATGAGTTCATGAGTAGGGGCACATCGGCGGTAATCAGAAATGTCCCGACCTGCGATTGGACCAACGGTCGGGCCAACGAGTGGACCCATGGCGAGAATGGCCATAGCGGATCCTCGGTCCGCCGGCGCGAAGATATCGGAAACCACTGAGCCACCGATTCCTCTGCAGTGGGGTGTCAGCTCTTCATATTGAAGCGTAGCAGTGCGATCAGGAACCCACACGGAGGCGGACCCGCCCCAGCCAGCCAGGAAACGGAATCCAATCAATGCTCCAGTATTCGGGGCGAACGCACAGCCGATGCTACGCATTTATCCCTGTCAGCTGGAATCCTAAATACTTTTGCGGATGACGCACTTGGCACCAAGAAGTAAAATATTGGACAGGTGCAGTACCTATGGCCTTTATGAACGACTATATGCGTGGAATTGGACGGAGAGACCCACCCAGGCTCTGCCGTACATCTCGCTCAGAGGCCCGAAGAAGAGCGGCCCTAAACAAAACATAAGCCTGAAATCTCGAATAAAACTGAGCAAGATGCGCGCACCTATTGCGAAGGAGAGGAGGAAAATGGAAAGGGTCAACGCCTGTATCGTCGAGCTCGTGATTCCGTAGTGTGTCGAGATATCTGGAAGACTACGAGCAGATTAGACGAGTATATGCAGCTTGTGAGGTTCATACCTAGGCGCCATCATCGACGAGCTCAGAGGGGACACAAACGAGTAGAAGCTGAATTTTTCTCCTAGTCAATGGGACTCTCTGGGGGCAGCATCGAGCAGCAGACCGACCTGACTATGATGACGCAGATCCATTTCCGCGTCGAAGACCAGTTGCGCGGGTTCGCGATGTCAAACTCCCATTCGTCTACCGACTCTTTCTTGACGTCGGAGAACGTCACCTCGCCGTTGCCATTATCCGGCATGCCCATCTGCTGCAGCGTCAAGTCGCTCGCTACCGCCATGGATTGTGTCCCGTTGACGCTCTGGGGCTGCAGCGTCGTCTCGCTGCCGACGTCCAAGAGGGTCCTTGTCCCTCTGCGGCCAGCAGGGTGCAGACTCATCTCGCTTGCCACCTCCCTGAGGGCTCTTGATTCGTTACCGCTGATTGGCTGCAGACTCATCGCGCTCGCCACTCCTCTGAGAGTCCTCGGTTCAGGGCCGGTCAGCTCGTGCGGCGAGACGTCACCGTCCACCGCTGGGGGGTCTGAGTCTATTGGAGAGGACATCTATGCAGTAAATAGCAAATATAGAGGGTTGAAAACGTGTAGATTGGGCAGCAGGAAAATACGCGGCTCGAGGATTAAAAACGGCAAGAAGACTGGCAAGAACGGCTGAGATAGAAGGAAGAGAGCCGGTTATGAATGAATGAAGGAGCGTGGAACGGAGGGCGGGCAGGCGCGCTGCTTTAGCCAGCAGCTGGGGGCCTGCAAATAGTTCGGGAGTCAGCGCGAGGGGTACGGACGCGAAGCGAGCTTGTGAGAGCGCCAGTAAGATTGAATGAGTAAATCCTCCAGGGACCGCGCTCAATACAGTGAAGGGAAGCCGCCGAGATGTCAACGTTGATAGTGGGGCAAGGTAGGGTCCGACTAGTATCATGAACGCATCGGATATCAATGAGACCAGGAGCTGTACACTCCAACCGCAGCTCAGCACGTATGCCATCGCCAGCGCCGCCGCAGAGGCATGCCCAAAGGACAAGCCAGTCCCTGCTGATAGCTCCGTGGTCAGTTGGGTGCGTTTGGTAGACCTGACACCTGAGAGAATGAAACGTGACGGTTTGCCGCCTCGCGTATCGTATGTCACCGTACTTCTGTGATAGAGGTGCGATTAATGCCCGGATGTGGCGTGAGACGGCTACTGACGATGCAAGTGACAGGCGGCCGTCGACGACTCTATGTGGTAACAAGAAATGGTCCCTCGCACTGCACTAGGAACTCCTGTTTCAGAAACAAAAAGTAAGGTTCAACGAGGACTGTGATTTGGATTATCTTATAATGTGTCGTTCACCCAGCCGGTTTGGCTTCTTGAGCAAGAAGGAAGGCCATTACAAGTGTAGAAGAGATGCAGCGTTTGAAGATGAAGAATGCCGCCAGGGTAGTTGAACGTATTTGGTTTCTGATCCAATCAGTCAATATTGTCAATTGTTGTGGTTTGCGGCCGTCGACAACCTAATTTGGAAGTCACCCTCTTCCGAGTTCTTGCTTGACTCTGGTGCCCAAACAGATGTGTGGTATACAGAGCATATTTGCATGCTCTGTATTGACCACTCGAGACCTCTGAGAACGTCGGCTTTGAACATGTTATGATCAGTCCGTTTGTGACCGTACGTGTCTTGGTTTCGATTGGATTCAGACATAGCGCGCCAAATGTCACCGAAAACAATACAATTGGCACCACCGTCATGTGTCTTTACTCATGAGCGGGCCTGTGCGTCGCCTTCGGCTTGCCAGTGGTAGGCCCAGCGACTGACCTTCTCTTGTCCGATAGAGGAAGGCCGTTACCTTCGCGCAATCCTTTACATAAAAAGATCCAGCGCTCCCCCTTTTTGCGGCCGTTGTACACCAGAGGCTCCTGTGTCACGGAAGCTATCCCGTACGTTCAAGAATCGGACTGAAGAATTGCAATGACTGATATCGGATTTGTTATGCTCACTCATGCGGTGCAGAAACTCAGATAAGACAAACGCATTTGCGTCGAGACCGGGCAGACGTCGACGCCGCACCTTCCTGAAGCCATCCCCCAACCCCCTCAGCTAAAAGTCTAACCATGAGTCCCGCGGTCTGGTTCAGTACGTCTTTCCAAACTATGTGCTTGCATGCAGGACACTAAACTGATCGTCTCGTGCGCCCTACAGTCACCGGTGCATCCTCTGGCATGGGCCGTGCCATGACAGAAGTGGTGAGTCCCGCGCTCCCTCGCATCGTCAACGAACGTCCTACAGCCCGGTCCAGGTGCTCGAAAACGGCGACATCGCGGTCGCCACCCTGCGCAAGCCCGAGGTGCTCAGCGAGCTCGCAGCGCGCTACCCCAAGGACCGCCTGCTCACCGTCAAGCTCGACGTGACGCAGCCGTCCGACATCGCCGCGGCCTTCGAGACCGCGCGCGCGGCGTTCGGGCGCATCGACATCGTGTTCAACAACGCGGGGTACGCGATCCTCGGCGAGATCGAGAGCGTCCCGGACGATGTCGCGCGCAAGCTGTTCGAGACGAACTTCTGGGGCGCGATGGGCGTCGCGCGGGAGGCGGTGCGCTTTTTCCGCGAGGTGAACACCACACAGGGCGGCCACTTGATCAGCATCACGAGCATGCTGTCTGTCGCGACCAGTGGCGCCCTGGGCTACTACACCGCGAGCAAGCATGGTGCGTCTCAACACTAGCTTTACTTTGCGTGTGCGCTGACATTCCACACGGGACAGCGGTCGAGGCAGGGCTTGAATGTCTCGCAAAGGCACGCAGCGTCTATCCCCCTTGTGTCGCTTCTTACTGACGTCTTGAGCAGGAGATGGATCCCAAGTGGAACATCAAGGTTGGCTGACCTGCGTCTCGCCGCTGCACGCGCGCTCACGATCTGCCTAGATCACCAATGTCCTCCCTGGCGGCTTCGCCACGCGCGGCTCGCAGCCCGAGTCCCTCGTGCAGACGGAGCTGCACCCCGCGTACAAGGAGCAGGCGACCGTGAAGCACCTCCGCGCATACATCCCGAACGCGCCCCTTCCCGGCGACACGCACAAGGGTACGTTGCTGGCTGCTGCACAGCTCTAAACTGTGTTCGTCTTCCGATTCCGCGCGTGCTCTGACGTTGCCCCGACCGACAGCGATGCGGGCGATCTACCACCAGATCGCGCAGAACCCGAACCCGCCGGTGCGCGTGCCCCTCGGCAAGGACGCGATCATCGGCTTCCGCGCGGTCGCGAAGGGGATGGTGGACGACGCGGACAAGAACGAGGCGCTCTCGGCGGACCTGCTGATCGAGGGCAAGGAGCTCATGACGCACTTGGACAAGCAGTGAGCGGGCGTGTAAGGGACATGGTCCGTTTGTGCGCTTTTGTGGCCTGCGCCCGAAAGTACATAGGGCTACTTGTATTCTGTCATCAATGAAGTATTTTGTGAAACTCGCATTCCGCGTCGGATGGGCTCTTTTGCAGGCAAGGCTCCCAACGTATCAGGCGTCGAATGGCTGAGACTCAGGGGAAGGTAGCTCGAGGGCCGTCCTTTACAGCTACAACCCTGTCTGCGCACCATGTCGCTGCCTCCTTGAGGCCTTCGTGGGCTCAGGTCTCTAATACCAACATCCTACAATAACGGTAGACCTCCCCTCGCAGATCATACCTGGGGGTAGGGTGAGGCAGAAGCTCACAGTAGGAGTCGGTAATGATGCAGAGGCGGTGTGCGGCTAATCGGAGATATGATACCAAATAAGGACTACTGAGGTAGACACTCGCTGTAACCTCCTCTCGCCGTCATGCATACTACATATGACTGCCGCGAACAGGTCGAGATCTGCGGGAGATGAATCGATGAAGATTCGTCACCCCGAGGTGCCGAGTGTTGCCATGTTCCATGCCGTCTATCTGCAGCTTTGCGAGGAAGGTCGAATGTCGCCGGCTTTGCTGCAAAGGAGTCGAATTGACGTGTGAAACCAGCATCGTGGCGCACGCCGATGTTCACAAGGACATCACGTTGTGGAGCCTTGTTCACATATCTGCTTCTCCGAGCCACTCATCAGCGCGTACCGCAAAATGGACAGGCGAAAGTGATGATCGGGGATACTAGTACTATTATACCCGTCCAGATTGCCGCCAGGTACCCGACCCGACGCAGCGCACAATCCGTAAGTGCTCCACAACGACATTAGACAGATCTCGCGCGCACGGCAACAAACTCAGGCTGCGGACAGATCAACAGCCAACTTGTCGGTCTTGCTCGCACAGTGGGGTGCATGCGGAGTCGCTCATTGCGGTACACGCCGTTTTGTTCTCATAAATCCGAGATGGCTGTGTTGCAGAGTGGCGGGGCCTCGCTTGTGGCAGTGCCGACGGCTGAATGACAACTCATCATCGTGAGTGCTGCGGTTCAGTATACGGCCGCTCACCATTTCTATATTTTCGGCGGGATGTGAACAGTCGCGACGGCGATCGGACGTAGGGAAGTGACATATGCGGAGGCTGACCATCATGTTTCATGGGATCCTGTGCGAGCCGGCGGGAGCCTGGGTGCGTGCGGACGATCGTATAAGGGCTGCAGGACGTACTCGACGTTCTGCACGCTATTATGTATTCCCTTCTTCTGCTTTCTACTTTAGCTCTTTCATCTTCGGTGCGCGCTTCCACCCAGTCACTGGCCGACCAATGCGTAAGTTCAATTCCGAATATAATCGAATATTGGAGGACTTACTGTGTATGTTTATAGTGTGTCAGTATCCAGGAGGCTTTGCCCAGCGCCGTCTTCTATTCTAATAATTCGGCTTATGTTGAAGAAGAGAGCACGTATTATTCCGCACAACAGGCCGCTTTGACCCCGGCATGCCGTGTCGCCCCGACTTCATCGGATGATGTCTCGCAGATCATGAAGGTGGCTATTAGCACGGGTTGTTTGTTCGCTGTGCGCTCTGGCGGGCACATGAACTGGAACGGATCGTCGAATATCGACGCGTCCGGGTTCACGATCGACATGGAGCAGATGAGCACGGTCTCCCTGGCCTCAGACCAGAAGACCGCCACAGCGCAGTCCGGCGCTGCATGGGTATGTGCCTCCACTCTCCGTTGAGAATCTTGTTGAAGAGCGGAAACCCCTAGTCCAAGGTATATGACCTACTGACCCCGCTCAACTTGACGGTCGTTGGGGGCCGTGCTTCAACAGTCGGCGTGGGAGGGTTCCTCGTGGCTGGTAAACATACATCCTAGATGGGTGTCGCATCGAGGATCGCTGATGTGGTCCTGATTTGCAGGTGGTATCAGCTTCTTGAGTTATCAGCACGGCCTGGCGAACAATTACATCGCACAATACGGTGTGTTGGGAAGCACATCCTGCTCACTTTGCATGCTCTAACGCCGTTTCTCAGAGATCGTCCTGGCCAATGGCACAATTGTAAACGCTTCTGCGACCGAGAACACCGATCTCTATTGGGCGATGGGTCTCGGTAAGCCCCAGCTATTCACTGAATCGGCGCATGACTGACTTTGAATGTTTGTCCAGGCTCCACGAACTACGGTATCGTCACCAGTTACATCTTGGAGACCTTCCCTCTGGATGGCATGTGGGGCGGAACCGTTGGCCTCAACATTTCCCAGGCGCCGGAAGTGATGGACTATTTGGCCAACTTCACGCTGAAGCTGAATGTGAGTCCCGTGTATTTGTGATTCTTGAGCGCCTGCCCTAATTCGCGACGTACCTCAGGACGACCCCGAGGGCTTGTCGGCGGTCACTTTGGCTTGGAACCCCGATGTGCAGGATTACGATCTATTGTAGGCTCAGCTATTCGTGATCCTGTCCTTGTGGTGCTGATATCTCGTTTGCCAGTATTTCCAACGCGTATCTTCATCCAGAGAGCTTCCCTCCTTTGTTTTCCGGCCTGGAAGAATTTGTGCCGTCAGCAACGACCAACACGCTTGCGGTTACTAACATCACCTCTTTAACTGCTGCATTTGCCGCCGGGGACCCTTCGGGCTTCCGGACTAACTGGTGGACCCTGACCTTCGATGCCGATGCTCAAATAGTTCTCGACGTGTTTGATTACGGCAAGCAGCTCTTTGCGGATCTGGTGACCACCAACGGCACGCAATGGAGCCTTGACATCCAGCCTATCGACCAGAAGTTCATCCAGGCTACCCAGGCTGGAAACAACCCTTCGGGACTGTCTGGCGATAACCTGTTCCGTATGTGATTCTCCAGGTGCAATCGCAGAACCCGTGCTTATGCTGTTCGCTGTCAGTCATCCTGGAGCATGTCATTTGGACCGACCCCTCGCTTGACGATGAGGTCCATTCCAAGGCACAGCAATTTCTGGACTACGCGCAGAATCTGGCCAGCCAACGCGGAGTGCTCAACCGTAAGTCCGCCTCCTCGGTCTCGCGTGTGGATCATGTGTCCTGACTTGCTCGATAGAATGGTTGTACCTCAACTATGCGGACGGAAGCCAGCCGATCTACGAGCAGATCGGCGACTCGAACCTGGAGCGTCTGCAGCAGGCAAAGAGTGCATACGACCCGAGTAACCTCCTGGGACAGCTGTGGAGGGGAGGGTTCAAGTTGCCGCAATAGTGGCAGCATCTCAGGCGTGTTTTATTTATTCTACATCGTCATTGGCACAATCATTAGACCGCATATTTATTAATCTATTACTTACAATGTATTATACGGCTGAATGAGAAGACCTCGTTTCAAGTGAAGCCGAGAGATGATCGGTGAGCTGTAGAATTGGAGATGGTAGACGTTTAGGGAAAGCAATGATTATTTGAAAGCGCTCGTGACACCGGGCGCTACTTCCAAATTGACTCCCGACTCCGTGATGATACTCCTCCATTTTCATTCCAACTGTAGGTATGCATCGGACCCTTACACTTACAGTTCATTCATGTCTTGGCGGGCGTACTCCAGGGTCCCCAGTGCCAGAGTTCCGTGCAGCCATGCCAGCAAGAATTTGCTCTTCCATCAGCATATGGTTGCTTGTCGCTGGTAGTCAACACGGGCTGACTAGTCTACAGATGTCGACCCAATACTCCTGCGAGTATGTCAATCAAATCCGGCCTCTGCCAAGTGCGGCACGACTATAGGCCACATGGAGTCTATGACGCGTTTTTCTTGCGGCGCCCTGCGGACGGCGACCGCTGTGATGGCTTGTCTTAAACGTCAAGCCAAGTCAGTGACCTTCTGCTTGAGTGTTAGGGTGCTGTCCCGTCTTTGATATGCATAGAAGCCCCGTTCGGACTGTCTGTGGCAATTGTGACTCACGTGTATCATATTTACGCATGATCTTTGACAGGCGTGTGGTCAATCGAACATGATGTGGCCATTGCTCTTCGGCGTTCGTTGCCTCAGCCTGTGCGAAATTACCCGGACCTCGCAGACTGCTTCGCTATCAAATCTGATCGAAGCTGTTCTCCGCTCCCCACTGAGAGCGGCGCGATGGCAGTCCGAGGTTTGAGGCGTTCAATGGGCGGAACTTTAACAACATCACGATGATAACCGGCGGTCTCGTCCGGCGGGCAGGCATTGCGAATGATGCATTCTGAAAAGCTTAAGGTGAGATCTAGGGTGTGACTCCCGTGGTGTACTCCTGTCCTGGCTACCAACATGAGTGCCAACTGCCCCAGTGGCGCGGCCCAAAGCAGTTCTTGTCCCACTGTATCTATGTGAGACTTATATTCTGAACTGGCTCTCATACTTATGACCTCATATATTATACCACCAGAACCGGGCCTTACGGACCTCTTGTGCGTCGTACAAGATATCCTAATTGCCAAGATTAGCTTATAGTATGGATCCAGTTGGTCGGCTCATTCTTCAACTGGGGTCTCCAAGGACTGCTCTTCCTTCAGCTATGTAAGTAAGCTGGCCGCAGTCTCTACTAAAGTCACCAACATAAGCCTAGATCTCTATTATGTTTTATTCCCTGACGATACGCTTCCGTTGAAGCTGTTTGGTAAGCGCTTGTGGTATGTTACTGGCATAAGCTCATTGCCTTCATGCTCAGTCTATCTCACCTTTCTTGCGGAGCTCCTCCAGACAATCTTTCAATCTGCCGGTGTATATGCTCAACTGATCATTGTCTATCTGCCGCCCGGCGACGCGACGTTGGATCTTCTGACGTACGGGATGCCGATTATGTCTGTGATCATCTCTGTCGCGGTGCAACTGTTCTACGCGTGGCGAATTCATATCATCTCGGGGAAACGGCTTGGCTACCTCGCTATCATGATTGCTCTGGTGCGCAACTAGCTCCCGATACTAAATCAAAACATGACGCTCATTGCAAGCGTTGGGCAGCTCTCGCTCGGCCAAGCGACTGCCGGTCTCATAAGCACGGTCATGAGCGGGAGCCAGTCAGGTTCAGTGCGTAGAAACTTGTCCACTCTTGCATATACGCCGGCATCCTGAGACCAGACCATGAACAAGTTCTCAGCAGACTATGATGACGTATTCATAGAACATTGGGAAGTATCAGCAACTCCTATCATAGTCCGTGACACATGCTATCCATCAGAATTACCTCTGAACAACTGAACAGGTTTGGCTTAGTGGGAGTGCGTTGGTGGACATCATTATTGCAATTTCCATGGCGCTTCTGGTGAGCATATTCTCTACTCCTCATCCCTATTCACTCTTGTTTACGATGCATTGTGCGAGCTAGCTTCATCGCCACAAGACTGGCCACGGACATACAGACGCGCTACTCAATCGTCTTATCGTGTATGTAGTGGAAAGCGGCGCTGTTACTGGTACATTTTACCGGCGTTCTTGATGAGCCAAATCTAACTGTTCACTTTCAGCTAGCGTTGCTGTCCTTGCACTTGTGTTCTTTATACGTGACAAGGTAGTGCTACAACGTTACGAGGACAAGTACAAAGGGGTACAGGGTCCTGCGTTGCCCATCCTTCTGTGCGATTTGCCGTGCGTACTGCCTCATACTCCGCGCCTGAGCAGATATCCTGACGTCGAAATATTCACATACACAGACTTGTCATGCTGTCGAAGCTGTGCGCTGCATAGTATTTCTGCGGGTTCGATCGATGCTGACTATGTCGTCCAGATACGCCAACGCCGCATTCATCAGTCTGAACAATCGCAAACGCCTGCGTACCAGCCCGACCAGTACTCGCATGACGCTGACCATGGAGTCCCACGAGATGCGCGATCAGTTGGCCTCTGGCGAGCTTCGTGTGGCGCCCCACGATCTGCAGAGCAAGGGCACTGGATCGGTCAACTACCCCCCTCAGAGCCCGCTGGTGATCAACGTACATAGGGAGGTCGCTACTGCGCGGTTCGGCGACGATGCATCTGTTGTGGATGTGAAGTTTAGGGAACGGGGCTCAGATACTGTGTGACACAGGTAGTTTAGGGGGACCAGGTAGAGCGCGTTAGACGTCAGAGTGCGTTTTGCCTTCACGTATACGCCCCCCGCCCCCCCGGAAATGTGTGTCCGACGTACTTCACGGCTTGTAATAGTAAACAGTCATTTGGTCATAACTTTCATTGAGTCGACACTGCAGGGTGTATCAAGAGATACCTCTATTTTGTTCGTCGCTCAGGATCGCATGAAGAAACGTCGTGATTCTGGGCCGACAGTAGCCTGCTACGCTCATCGTGGGCAAATAGGATGATTGATTGAGCACGAATGAGCACGGATGCTTATAGCGATCGCGTAGGAATGATACAGCAAAACCAATATTGTGTTAAAGTTCGTCCGAGACCCGAGGCGAGAACGATCGACGAAGATATATCGCGTTTGTCTGAGCTCTGTCAAACGCGTAAGGAACATACAGGATGGCTCGCGCAAAGTCTATGAGGTACTACAAACAACACCAAATACGATGGCGTGCGCTCGCCACAATTCCAAGTTCCAACATATTGATAGACCTCCCCTCGCAAAGTATACACACCGGCAAAGTGGGGCAGAAGCTCGCGGCAGGAATCGGCAGTGGTGCAGACACGTCGACGAGCGGCCGATGGGCTACGGAGGATCGTGAGGTAGACGCTTGCTGTAATCCCCTTGTCCTTTCGCCGTCATTATCAGTAATGGATTATATGTCCCTCTTCAGAAGGAATTCGGTGTATAAAACATGTCTGACTCCACGACTAATGATCAGATCAAGGAAGCTGCTGGTATCGCAGAGTCCATCGCTGTCTATCTTTGTTTGCAGAAGAAGAGCCTGAGACATACTATATATGGCCGCCGTGAACAACACTGAGATCTCTGAGGGATGAGGACACGTCACCCTCAAGGTGCCGAGCGCCGCTGTGCTCCATGCCGCCTATCTGTACTTTTTACGAGGGAGGTCTATCAATATTGGTTTTGCTGTAATAGTAAGATCATAATGATCAGATTCAAGATCGGCAGAGGACCTGTGCCAAACATCATGGAGTCAGTGCCGATCCGTCAATGGAGCCTGTTTTCGTTATATGAGGCCGTCACCCACGTCGAGGCGACAGCCTATCATGGAGACTGTGCCACGTTCTATCGAATAATCACGAAGCTGACAGACTACGAAAGGAAAAGCCCATAGTTCCCCGGGTTGCACGGCGCATGATTCGCTCGCGCTGCGCAGATATTCTGACATTGAGATGCTCCTCAGAGACTATGACCATCACCGAGCCGTCTGCTGGCAGCATGAAGTGCCATCTAGTCCTTAAAATAAATACTGCGCGATATCCGGAAGACTGGATGATACCCTCAGCAGAGATCGCAAGGTACACCGATAGAAATTGGTAAGGGAATGTCGCCTTCTGCCATGGGTGTGTCAAAGCCAAGCGACCTTTTTCTGAGAATCTGAGAACGAGTTTAACTGCCTAGAAAAATACAAGAACGGCATGTTTATGGTATGTGATCCATCCGCGAGTATCAGCGAACTATGGCACTTTGAAGAGTCCTGCTTGAGATGAACGAGAGATCTTGTTCATACCTTGTGGTGAAGGGTTCACGCCCCCACAATCAAGCTGAAGGAACCTTTTTCGAGGAATTCAGCTCAGAGACCACGACGAACGGATCTAGGAGCATACTGTATTTGGAGCGACCGATCAACCGCATTCATAGACAACGGCGCAACAGTATGGGATGGTACCGTTTAGTCGACATATCCTGCACCAAGTGATATAGGCACCATTCGGAGTACTTAGCGCTGATGCTACTGTGTAAATCCAGGCGATTCCGCAGCAATCAGGCACCACATCCAAGCCCTCGCATTTAAATCTTCAGTGATATGACGTACCTGTCTCCTTGACTGTGGGGCGTCATTCAGCACTGATAAATCGCAGTCTCGCAGGTCTGTCAGCCCATTTGTCAGCACGTCTGTAAATTATAGGGTCTGTAAGCTTGATCATGCTTGTAGGCACCATGCTTATAGATTCGAGTGTCCCCATTGAGGAGGCTAAGCACCACTGAGCAGCTTGGCTAGCCACTAGGGCCCCTTGCGATTTTCCGTTGATCGCATGGCAGCATTATCAATCGTGTCGAGACTCCTTGTGCGGTGCACTTTGAAATCTCGCAGCAGCGAAATAACCGCCAGGCACATGAAGCACACCCTACACGGGCGAGACCCCGACTGCTTCGGCAGAGCTGCGACTGCGCATCGCGGGTACATCGGCATCATTTTGTGAGGATTGCAGCAGTATCGTGTCGGGTAGATCTTTCCTCGCTAGTATCTCAGTTGACGTTTTCTGTCATGCCGAGAGAAACGTCCTGCCGTGTATACAGTCTTGGTGCAAATGCAAACTCACCCTGTGATGGCGGTTGTACGTTGTGGGTGCAGGAAGAAGGCGGGAAGCGAGGGTCAGGGCCTTACAAGTCTTCGAGAGCGTGACAAGGTGGAGCAGATGCGATAGACTTCGGCTTCGGACCTAGTTATGGCAAGATCAATCTTGCATTATAGCGAGGCGTTTCCAACCTGGGAAATATGAAGCCGGCTGTAAGGAAGTGTAGATGATTTGGGTTTTGTGAGCCAAGTCAAGTATGATCATTTTCAGAAGATCTCGAGCTGCACATCAGCACTACGAGGAAGTGTCGGCCGGGGCGCAAGGCCGCCGCACGGGGCTAGTTGGTCGCATCAAACATCCGGCCAATGCACTCGTCCGCGGCCAGTGGCTCCCTACAAACATTGCAGTGTAGGTGTGCACGGACGCGAACGATACTCGTTTCAGTGATTGTATTCGGCCCCAGCCTAGCCCCGACGAAGCAACGACCATAACGAGCGCCAATTGTGGCGTTTTGTATGGTATGCGAGCCGAAATTAGGTTACCCGGATATTGAAGTTGTAGGAAAAAGAGGTCACTGCCACAGAGAAAAATGACACGTAGCTATGACAAGTTGAAATTTGGTTCTAAGCCCCGCTGAGGTCAATGATGAGCGTCCGGGAAGAGTCACACATTCCTATGCAGGACGGATGTAGTCCCAGCAACCGCGTTTCCCCATCCTTCAACGATAGACCACGACAGAGTCTCATGGGTTGAGTAACTCTGTTTATTTCAGCAGCACAGCCGAGATATTTAAAAAAGCAAGTCTACGAGGTGTCTCAGCTAAAGCGCCGAGGGATTACGGCTACTTCACACCCAACGGCCTCACGGCGGCGGGCAGACAATCTCCGTCTCCTAAAGTGACGCCAGCCAATCATGACGGCGCGGAGCTTGAATGTCTAAACTCAGTGCAAACAATCGGCCAAGGCGTGGTGGCGCGGCCGGCCGGGTGTATCGGCCACCGACCAGCACATGGCGACTGCAGCGTAAAGTTGAGGCCTACAACATCCATCAAGTCAATAAATCCTCTGTCACAGTGAGTACAACGAATGTTTCGACACCATTAAGGCTCGAATCTTGCCAAAGCATGTACTACTAATAGTAGTGGGCGGTGGCAAACCTTTTCTATTTTTGATACCGCGAGGATGACGTTAGCGGGGCTTGTGCCCCCGCAAAGACTCTAATCACAGCAGTCGCTTCATGTCTCCGTGGAGGGTCCTGATTTAGACCTTGGTCCGAAGAGGACGGTGCGACTCTGACCCTTCTCGCGCATCTCCATTGGATCGCGGGACACTGCCCACCATCCGCGCCCAACGGAGAAGGCGCTCTTCTCCACGCCGCAGCTTTCTTTCAATCTTAATCTGCCAAGAGGGCTTGGGCGTGCATCCGATGTAAGACTCTGACTGACATGTGTCAGTCGCACATAACACCGAGGGTGCACTTTGAGGCCCTAGCCTATCTGTGATGACAATGACAAGTTCGATTCTCACCGTCCTGGCGCTCATCAACGTGCCTGTCATCGCATCGCCCGTGCCGGATCGTAGGCTGGTATCGAGCGTAGGTTTGCAGAGATCTCTATAACCAAGACGACTGCAACTGGCCGCTCCGCGCAGTGCGGCTATGAACGAGCGCATCGGAGGTGAGGCTATCAATTCGTTGCGATGATCAAATCGGCTCCGCCGCTCTCATGCGTGGACAGGGTAGCCTGCAGTTTATTATACTGTCGCTTCGAGGCGTTGGCAGACCGTGATACTCACACTACGCACCAGCTTGATTAGCATGTCTTGCCTCAGCTTCCCTGTGGAAGAGCTTAGCCGCCTGCGCGTGTGCGTCCGGGTGCTCGCCTCTGGGGCGTTTTCCTTCAGCGTTCAACCATCGTTCGACATCGCCAATGGCTCACAGAATATGGGTGGGCGCTGTTTCAACGATCAAGGAACGAAGCGAAACTGACAATACACCAGGTGATCCCAATGCCTCTTGCTCCGTCGTCTTCGAGACGTCATCGGATGGGGAGGGACACACTTTGCAGGTCTACACGAAGAGCAACCATCCCCCTCCGATCGTACCACATCAAGAGCCTGCCAGCACGTCCTTCGCCCCCTATCCTGGAGGTCAGTTCAATGTGATTGTTGCTTTGAGATGCTGTCTAAATCGAGCGTGCATCTTAGGGAGCGTGACCGATCATAGTTCCAATGTTGCTCAAGAATTCGAGTTCAACAATTTTGACATGGCGCTGTCAGGTAGGAAATTGAGACTGGTGATTTTGCCCGTATGCTTAAGCGTACATCTCTAGACTTCGACTTCAGCAGCTTGGCACAAAGTAGTATTCCCTATGATTCTGCCGCCTTCGCGACCTCTTCACATTGTGAATGGCCCTCCTATGACCAATGTAAGCAATGCTTCTATCAAGTCTGCTCCTGACAGCTGACTGTCATGCTTGCATCAGTGACGGGTGAAAGACACCTTAATGATCATCCAAACTCATCGTCCACCAACATTCAGTTTGCGCCCAGCGATGCTCCCGCCATTGATCCTGACGCACCCGTTGCTTCCGGTTCTGGATCGCCACCAGAGGCGACTCAAACCCAGGGCGGCATCTTTTCAGACTCGTCAGACACAGCCAGTCCCGAATCATCCTCGCCGGAGACACCCGCAGACAGTCCCGAACCACCCCTTTCATCTGGACGGCGGAAGCGCACGCTCGCATGTCCGAAGTGCCCGCGCCACTTCTCGAATGAGTACACGCTTAAAGTGCACTCCCGCACCCACAAACCGAAGACGCCGAAGGCGCTGCCGTGTACGATGGGATGCAATGAACACTTCTCGCGCCAGCACGACCGACTCCGGCACGAGGTCGTGAAGCACAACAGGGTCTGTGAATGGGTGTGCACACATTGCAAGAAGTTCTTCTCGTCGGAGCGGACACTCTCCAACCACCTATGTCAGGCGCCGGGCGCACCGACACGTTGGGAGATCAACTAGGCTGTCGCTGCTGCCCTCTGTGCCCTTTGTGTTGTTTCATAGCTGCATAATTGCTTGCCCCATCATCATTGGTGTTTAGATTCCTTACTTATTCGCGTGTCAGATATCTCAAGGACAAGGTTCATGGCATTTGTATTGTAGAAGTCCCACGGACGGTTATCTATTATGTACTATATGATGATATGCGACCCGTAGATATCACGTGCGGTGCATAATATATCGGCGTAAATGCCGCATTCTCAGTAGTCTCCCGTAGGCAGACCATAAATACAGTGATCTTTCTTATATGGGGGCGACAATCATTATATATAGCGTTCTCAGGGCTGTAGGTTGTAAACAGTGGCGTTTTCGGCGCCCCAGCCGGCGGCATATGCATTAGGCGAGAGCTACGGGAGGAGCATGCAATAAGTTCGGATTACGTTGGGAATACATCGACGGAAAACCGGCGTACGAGGCAATCAAATTTTGAAATTTATTCATCAGGGTTGACAATTCCATCGCGGCGGACCTATACCACTTTTGCCAACGGCATTAAGTGGCACTCCCGCGGGAAAAAATGAAATAGCTACATGTTTCGTGTAGTTTGGGCCTTCATGAGACGCTTGTCAGACGAGTTCGCCGGCTACATGCCGATGAGAACAGCCTGAGCCCGGGTGCAATCTGCCGCTTTAAATAGTCACCCACGGAGGATGGTCTTAAATGAGACGGCGCAAACATACCTCCCATGCGATCACTGAGTTAAAATGACACACGCCACTGACGGTAAGATTAATCCGATCCGTCATCACTCGATAGCTGGTGATTAGTCTTCGGAGGAACCTTGCCATCAATTGTGGTGTCATGTTGGTGTCATGAGATAGGCGTTCCGCTGCTGAGCCACCTTGGCTGTGGTCGGTGCCGACAACTTGTCGCCCAGCGAACCTCTGCGGTGCCGAGCTCCTACACGTATCCTCCCGAGGCCCGAGATGCGCAGCATACTGACCGGCGCGGACCATGGCGACATCCACTCGGATTTCCGTAGATATTATCTAGCGCATGTGACAGCAAGCCCAATACTATCAGATACGGGGTTTTGCAAAACCCATCAATTTTGCAGAACTGCGTGATCTCCACCGCACACCATGAAAATTATAATTTGAATCATCGTATATGCTAGTAGGCACTGAGTATACGCCATGTGCAAGACCGATTGAGAAGACATGAACGTGAAGTGAAATGACGGCCTGCAGACTGTTCTTGAGGTGTTCTGCAAACATGTGATGAGCGAGATCCAGAGACACTCAGTGTATTTGTCAACGATCAGACACCAGATCCGTTATATTACAGCTCTGTGTGTTCTGGTACACCAGCCCGATTCACCCAGCAAGACATGGCTGGTGGGCGATGGTTGTTCTGTTTGAGCAAGCGTGACACTCGCCACTGTCAGCGTGATACGTTCACACTCCGCGCTCGATCATGGCACGATGCGGCAGCGCACTTGGCAGTCCTGCAACATCTGCCGAGCGGAGTTCAAATCTGTCGCTGTGACCCAGGCGTGATAGAATTTGCAGAACTACTGCAATGCGAGGCTTCGAATGCGGCATCTCGCTACCACTGGGTGTCCTTCGTGTATGAGCCCCAGCTTCATTCTGGGTACTCTTCCATGTAGTGACAACAATGCCTGAGTAAAATAACAATGATCCTTGTGGTGGCACAAGCAGAGCGAAGGGAACAATGCGTGAGTTTGCAAAACCCCGTATCTGATAGTAGACCTCACTCGCAAAAAGTACATATAGGCGGCATGGCGGCGCTCGGCACCTCGGGGGTGACGTACCTTCATCTCTCGGAGATCTGATCAAGCGAAAGTAGGGTTTTGCAGCGTACTATTGCGGTGTAGACTAGTGAGATATCTACGGCGGGCCCCGCAACCTTGACATAGGAAATTTGAGCGGTATGAAGCAAAGATCCGCTAGTATCGGGTTCATAATCGTGTGTTCGATGTGACGCGTCGGTGGCGTCGCGTTCTGAGAGTTGCAGTGGATTGCAGAACACGTGGGAACGCATCGGGGCGCTTATGTGGCGCTTGTAATCCTGCTCTGCGCCACTATCTGCCCGGCTCTGAGGCAACTGATCATTGATGAAATACCTCTGTCAAACGGCATGATATCGCTTGTAATGACCCACAATCCCGAAAACAGTAGCTGCTAGCACTTCGAGATGACTGGCTTACACTCCGTTAATCCCGTGAAATGACCTATCGTGCTCCAAGCTATATGCACACGTTGCGCTCTTGCACAAGGCTGTGACTGTAGTCTCGGCTGGACGAATAATGCTGCCCACATATCAGTGCGAGACGCGTCAAGCCACCTTTGTGATACAAGTCCTGTCAGCAATACACCAAGTGGCTGCTTGGCGGGTAGCGGAGAGTGTTTCAACACCGGAGCACGCACATTAGGACCTAACGGGCGACAAATGGTATCCGCATTGTGAAATGACCAAGGCGATCTCGGCCTCGATTAGGATTCCCCGAGGAAGTATCTGACGGACGGCATCAAGGGACTAGACGAATTCATCATCTCATCGCTCAGGCTTTAGCTACGCATGCACGGAGAACATACTGATACGGTCTGTGCTTCACAATCGGGATTTACGAGAATGACGGAAGCTTTCGGCCTTATTTTAACTCATCCTTAAGCGGGCGCCTTAGAAGGTAGGTCACACGCCTTCACGAATCTGTACACCATTATTGACTTTGATCGACGCTGTCAACCGTCGGCAACTCGATTCAATAATCTGCGGAATGTCAATTACTACTTCCGCCGAAAGGTGGTCGCGCGGTGGCTGTGTGACCACGATTCGATTCGGACTCAGAGTTGCTTGTTCGAGATTTTCCGCATGGGTCCGGGTGAAATAATGTGGATGGAAGCGTAAGTGATTGCACGAGTAAAGCTTTGCTACTTACAGAACCTGTCGCATGGTCGGACGACCTGAATTGGCGTGCTCCGGTTGCAGCAGCTGATTCATTGTGCAGTCTGTTCCGAGTAAATCGACTCGGAGCAGAGCAAAATGTTGACAAGACCATCCATCCGTCGCATAGCTTCGACATATTTCATGCGTCGTTCAGCAAGTCCATGACAGATCTGACTACCCACACCTTCCGAAGTCCTGGTGGAGTGTTTTTCAGGTCACAGCGCCCAGTTGTTTTGTATATGGACTTGCTGATTATTGGCATTTCATGCTACATGGGTCCGTCAACGAGAAGGCCCAGGTCTCTCTTCTGAAACATCTCTTCGCGGCGGAAGGTATGCAATAAACATCTCTAAAGGGCTTTCGCTTTACTGAAACGCGATGTCAGTCATCCTGATTACATATTGCGTCACAACACTCGTATGGCTGGACTCCGTGAACCTCAGGTATCATCTTATGCCGTCTGGTATGGACGACGGATGATCGCGCTGGAAACGTCAACAGTGAGAAGAGTGTGACTTCCTTCGTGGAACCCTTAGAGTGTGCCTGCTACAGATGGGCAGAGGCACGCGAAGTCCGCTTTTACGTCATCCCATTCATTCTCGGTCACGTCATTCATCATTCAGCCACATTCAAGATCTGAACCGCCACGACAAGTACAGGTAGTCCAGCGTGGGAGTGATCAGCGCTATAACCGTAAATGCCATTGCGCGCGGTACGTCCCCATCGGTGAGGATTTAACCAGCCATCCTGGCATGTCTTGGCTTTCAGGTCCGCCCATGCTGTGCCTGACATAGCACGATTCCGCATGCAGCACTGCTGGGAAATAAGCATACACTGTTAAGGTATCGCGCAGTCCTCTATCCGTCTTTCTAGGCCGCTCCTGCTCCTGCTCCTTCGACAGGCGTGTTGGACGACTGTCCAACATGATGTAGAACAGCAACAGCCACACCGGACATCCCGAGCATCTCGCCACAGGGCAAGGAGCATGTGCAGCTGTCGAGCATTTGTTTCACCGAGACTCCTGTGTGAGTCATCGTAAGGCCACTGGCAACATATAAAGACCAAACCTGTAGACGAACTTCAGCAGCAGCAGCAGCAATGCGTTTCCTTCTACTCCTCTCCGCTCTGGTGCTCTCCACGGCTGCGGGGACTGTGGAATCGCTTGCTAATCAATGTGTATGTATATTTTTTCTTGGGCTCTCAACGAGAATTAGAGAACTAATGGCGATGTGCATAGTGCGCTACGCTCAGCAATATCATCCCTAATAACGTGTTCTTCCCGAACGACACAGCTTACATGCAGGAGGAGATCACGTACTACTCCGCACAACAGACATCGCAGAAGCCAGCATGCCGCGTGTCCCCAACGACGGCAAGCGAAGTGTCGCAAATTATCGACCAGGCTACGCGCCTGGGTTGTCATTTTGCAGTGCGCTCAGGCGGGCACATGAACTGGAAAGGATCGTCCAATATTGGACCGTCTGGTTTCACCATCGACCTGGAGCAGTTGAATTCGGTCTCCCTCTCCTCGGATCAGAAGACGGCGACACTACAGCCTGGCGCTCCATGGGTATACTTCTTCATGTAGTACTTGCGACGTACGCTGAATGATCTGTGTTTTCAGTCACAAGTGTACGATACACTGAGCCCGCTCAACTTAACTGTGGTCGGAGGTCGTGCGTCGACCGTCGGCGTCGGCGGATTCCTCATGGGAGGTGAGTACGAGCTCGAACTAGTCTCATTTAACACTTCACTGATGCACTTACGATGGAAGGCGGCATCAGCTTCCTAAGCTATCAGTATGGATTAGCCCCCACCTACATCGCGGAATACGGTGCATTCAGCTTTTCACCGTAAGTCGGAGTGCACTGGTTGATATCTGCTCGCAGAAATTGTTCTGTCGAATGGCACCATCGTTACTGCTTCTGCGAGTGAAAACGCCGATCTTCATTGGGCACTCGGCCTAGGTAAAGCCAGACCTTTCCATACACGCATTATGCGCTAATCAAGGGTACATAATCAGGATCTACTAATTACGGCGTCGTCACGAGCTATACACTGGAAACCTTCCCTCTCGGTGATATGTGGGGTGGAACGATTTCCCTGGACATCTCGCAAGCACCGGCGATATTGAACTATTTGGCCAATTTCACATTAAAGCTTGCTGTGCGTTTTGACATTTGAGACCAGTGGACCTCTGTTACTCACTACGACCGTTTATTAGGATGACCCAAGAGGACTCTCTGCGGTCACCCTAGCCTGGAACGAGACTTCGAGGGACTATGACCTATTGTTGCGTCTATTCACCTGCCCTGCTAGACTCCCTCCGCTGATGACGATGCTATCAGTGTCTCCACTGCGTATCTCCTACCCGTCAGCTTCCCACCTCTGTTCTCTGGTTTGGAGCCGTTCGTCCCGGACGCGACGTCTGATACCCTCACGATAACGAACATCACCGCCATCACCGCCGATTTCGCCGCGGGTGACCCGTCGGGCTTCCGCACGGCTTGGTGGACGCTCACCTTCGAGCTTGACCCCCAGACCGTCCTCGAAGTGTTCCAGTACGGCCAGGAGCTCTTCTCGGACCTCGTTGCTGTGAACGGTACGCAATGGAGCCTGAATATCCAGCCAATCAACCAGGATTTCATCAAGGCGACTGAGGCGGCCAACAATCCTGCAGGACTAGAAGGCGATAATCTATTCCGTGTGTTCATTCTGATCCTGTGTACGAGGAAAACGTAAACCCTCATACCCTGCGACAGTCATCCTCGAACATGTCATCTGGACTGATGCATCACTGGACGATGTCATTGAAGCAAGATCGCGGGAGTTCTTGGCGTGGGCTGAATTTATCGCTAGTGAGCGTGGAGTGTTGAACCGTAAGCCGGTTTCCTGCCAACGGTAATCACGCATGGGATTAATGGCGCGCTCAGGTTTCTTATATCTCAACTACGCGGATGGCAGCCAGCCTATCTACAAGCAGATTGGGAGCTCCAACCTGGCGAGTCTACAGGAAGTCAAGCGACAGTACGACCCCGACAACTTACTAGGGCGATTGTGGAAGGGAGGATTCAAATTGCCGTAATATCGTGCGGGAAGTTGAGTCATAGTTTCAGCTGATGTTCATTCACAGTTAGATCTTGCGTAAGACAAGCATAGATTCGTACTGTACCTTGGGCCTGGGATTTTTTCGTCTTCCCCTTCGATCTTGATGTGCATAGAGGAAGGAAGGACGCGTGTGAGAAAGGTCGTTCGCTGTTGGCCTGCCGTTTGATTCGAGTGAACCTTGATGTAAGATTTCTGGTAGTATTGGGGCTAGCTCGCATCAACGATTGTGGACGTATGCTGTGAGACATCTGTATCAGGCATGCGACGGTCAACCTCACAATCATGCATTTGAGAAGTGTGCTTATGGACGCGAACAATCCGACTGAGATCGTAGGTTTCATCGTTAATTCAAGGATGTCTATACTACTGCGTACCGTTCAGATCTCTGTATATCGTCCGCCGTGTGTACAAACCTTATGAGTCCACACGGACAGTACTCAGGCTGATGAGAGGTCGCCCTCGTTGAAGATAGCTCTAGCCAGCATTCACGAAGATACTCGACCTCACTCATTGGCACGGGCCCTGACGGGGCGGAACTCTGAGGCACTCAGGAAGAGGCCAGCCAATCTTGCATGTTTTGTTGAGCTTTGGACCATGGCGAATGCACAGTTGTGGTGACTTACATGGGCACGAGCGCTGATGTGGACTCTCAGGTATCCTCCTCTCAATACGTGCATCATCGCGTGGATGTCGCTCCGATGATGTTGACCCTTGAGAAGAGCTCGCACGGTAGATCTGATACGATTCAATAGTACTGCATGCAGTGATCAATCTTTTCGCACAAGTGATAGAATTACAGCGCTTTCCACAAAGCTTGGGTTGCGCCTTTTTTTTCACATCCAGACGCGGAGACATCCGGCATTGCCTAATGAGGCAGGCCGATAATGCGAAACTCATCAGATCTCTCTGATAGATTAGATAGACGTTGCAAGTAGTCTGCATTCTGTGAGCAACCTTGACCAACAGCGTTGATATACAGACCTTATATCATATGTAAAGCATTTATAACTATTGCACCATGTTTTTGAGGGCTCTGGTCAACAAAGGGATGGGCATGGCGTGCTAGTAGAGGGAGAGCCTGAGGACCGTGGGCCCAATCGGGACTCAGGCGCGATATAAGCACAAGTGTTCGCATCTCAGAAAGAAATATGGTGCAACCCAAGGTTTTCGGAAAGTGTTGTAGGATCGAAAAAAAGGTGAATCTGCCTATCTGATATTTCAGTGCTGAATATAGAAGAAAAATTGAATAAAGATAGAAATATCATGTTTCATTCGATTTTGACATTGATAAGATCAAAGTGATGCCCATGCACTTTGTAATTTGACTAGCAGGTACCTGCGCATTGCTGCGGATAACAGTGAAAAGGACAATACACTGTGAATATAAATATTCTCGTCGAGTACAGTGTTTATCGTGTATGGTGGTGAGTGCAGAATGACTCAAACCATAGGTATAATTTGCATACTTGAGCTTCTTGGTCCCATACTCAAACAAAAGAATAGTAGTATGGTTATAGACCTAAGACTACATTGCAGCGCATATCGCACTCAGTTCCACATTCCGGGTCTCCAAAAATACCCGTGTGGAGGCGATTTGGAAACCCGGCAGCAAATCCTATTCAAGTGTACATAACAGATCTGAACAAAAGCCTGAAGGATGCCTCGCTAATGTATCCCCACGATGATCATAGTCAATGATCATTGTGGCTTGTCAGTGGACAATGTACTTGAGTTCCTGCAGCTCAAGCTACCTTTGTGCGAGCAGAACTCCTTGCTGAAGCACTCAGTGATCACGATGCCAGGTGTCCCCATTCCAGGGCAAGCACGCAGCTTTAAGCCCATAACACCGAACATGTGTTCCAGTGGCAATGATTCTACCAGAGCCGTGGAAAGGTTCTGAAGCTCGTGTACTTTCAGAGTGAAGACTTCGATGCCTTCACTGAGTGGTGTTCAGTGGAAACATGCACCGAGGACCTACTTATCCTCTGGAAGAAGTGGGATGCTGCCGATGCATTGTGCTCCCTGCACCTGAGGCCTCCTCAAGCTCGGCATCCCATCAAGGGACAGCGGGCGGGGTAGCAGATGACCCCACCCAACCCTCCTCACCTCTCTTGCTTTCAGATTCCCGACGTGGTGTACTGTGTGCAAGGACTCTGACCTGCACTTCCCTCCCTCGAAGGTGTGCGCTATGTTACGGCAAAGACATTCTGTGGGGTGTGCACTGTTAGACACTTCTGTATGAGGGCGCAGAGTTCATTGGTAATAACTTGGTCGCACTCTGTATAAACCCGTTGAATTATAAAAAGATGGGAGTGGATTTCACAGTGCTCTCATGCATGCCACATGATCAGAGCAAGCAAGAGCCAAGTACATCCATTTGCCCTGCATGTGCATGCATGCGTGACACTGCTCTCACATCAGGATCAGGGTGTCATTGTTGCACCCCTGGTGCCCCTGCTCCTGTCATCATATTCAAACCTGTTCATTGAGCCTGATTATCATAGGTAGCACTGACTCACCATGTTATTTCACACAATATACCTATTGTGCTTAACGTTGATGTTCAACACCTCTACTGAAGCTCGTAAGTCTGGTGCTACATTCTACGTACCATACATACACTAACATCCTGGGAAGTGTCCGAACACCCTTAGGTACAGTGAAATAAAGTTGATGTTTCATACCTGAAGCTCTATCCGAATGCCATTAGACGTCGCTTGTCCCTCATTAAGGCAGAAGAACCATGGAAGAGAGACATAACATGCTGATAAGCCTGTTGTTCTATTCCTGAATTGTGCCATCTATCTGCACTGCGAGCCTAAGTTGGTATGCAATGCAGCCAAGAAAGCTCAAGGTATATGGTTGCCGGGGCGCAGGCCTCAGGTGCGTGTCACATGATCACGTTAAGCAAGAGCCAATGAGGTCGCATTTTTGACTCCCGTGGGAAAAAGTCGTCTTCAATTGTAGTATAGATTTGAACTTGATCTTCTGAACAAAGAGCGCTTGTTGCGGCATATAAATTTAGGATTCACTATCACCCTACGTGGGAAGAAGATCCTGCAACATCGCATCTATGATCCCGCAGCGCATTCTCGCAGCAGCTATAACGTTTTGGATCTCGTCGCCACAGCTGTCCATCCCAAGTCGTGGAGACTGGTGATTGTAGACTTCTGTATCAACGCTACATTGACTGAGGTTCATTGTCGCAGATGTTCTACTTCAAACCCTGTGCATAGGATGTGCATCATATCAGAGCGAAGCAGCCTTCTACATCACTTGAGTATTGGAATTTGAGAGCCTGCGGTTGTACGGCGCCACGGAGTCATCGGGCCTTCCACTTGGAAACGCCCAGAGCGTTACTAAGTGTCTCATTAGGCACCAAATATATGCAACGCTTCTTACCCTCCGACGATGAGTACAAGCTGCGGGAATGGGGGCGACAGCGATTCCTGCATATCTGTGTAAGACGTTTTGCTGCTTTATTGGAGATCCTCAAATAACGCTGAATACAGAACCAGTCCATACGGACCCCTGGTACGCTTATCACGACATGTCAATGGGGACTCGCCTCATGCCTGGTATTTAGTTGATCGGCTCGTTCTTCAATTGGGGTCTACAAGGGCTTCTCAGTCTTCAGTTATGTGAGTAAATGCAATCCATATAGTCGGTGTCGAGAAGTTGACGTCGCCGATGTGTTCGGAGATATCTACTACATTACTTTTCCAAATGATTCAGTTACTCTGAAAGGTTTCGGTAAGGAACATGTGCTTTTCTGATTTATTCAACTGACAATACGCAGTCTACGTGACGTTCCTAATGGAGCTGCTCCAGACGACCTTTCAGTCTGCTGGAGTGTATGCTCAACTGATCGTTGTATACCTTCCGCCGAACTATATGCCATTGAACCTCCTGACGTATGGCGTGCCTATACTATCCATCTTTATATCTGTAGTTGTGCAATGGTTCTATGCATGGCGCATATCCGTCATATCAGGGAGGCGATTACGTTGGCTTGCGTTCCTAGTGGTGCTGGTAAGTCTGCGTATCCTGTCACCGGATGTGCTGATCCTGACCTTCTGTGTTAGCTTTCTCTCGGACAATCAGCTGCCGGCATTGTCAGCACAGTGATGAGTGGCAGGCAATCTGGTACTGTAAGTAATATCTGGTTCGATTGCATCAACTAACAACGAGCGCATCCTTAGTTTTCCTCAGATTACGACGATGTATTCATACAGCATTGGGAAGTTTCAGCCACCCCGATCATGGTACGCCGATTTTATCTATACCAATTCTATTCGCTGACAGACTAAACAGGTTTGGCTTGGTGGTAGCGCGCTAGTCGACATCATGATTGCGACATCAATGTCACTCCTGGTAAGATCTTTTCTTCCTTGCTTGCCTGAAATGGATTATTGACATATGCGATAGCTACACCGCCACAAGACCGGAGACGGACAAATGGACGCTCTTATTAATCGTCTCATTGTGTATGTCTTAGAGACCGGTGCTTCCACTGGTGCGTGGCCATGTTGTGAGCTCAGAATACGTCGTGAATGACACAACCATAGCGGGGGTTGCTGTCCTTACCCTTGCACTCTTCATACGCGACAAAATCGCGTTGCAGCGATACGAAGACATGTATAAAGATGTCCAAGGACCTGCATTACCTACGCTTCTCTGCGACTTGCCGTGAGTAATCTTTCGAGGTTCTGACAGACACTTATTTGCGATTTGCGCAGAATGATAATGCTATCAAAGATGTATGCTGCGCTGTCCGAGACCGAACTATAGGCATGCTGATCGTGTGCACAGGTACGCGAATACAGCCATGATTAGCCTGAACAACCGCGCCCGTCTTGGCCGCTCACCACAAACGACGCACACGACGACGGATACATTCGAGCTGACTGAACCTCAATTCTCTAGTGGCCAATTCTGTTTGCCGAACCCAGACTGGCAAGATAAGACCCTCGAACCGGCCCATTCCATCCAGCAGAATCCTGTTCTCATCAACATGCGTCGAGACATTGTCACTTCTCACACCGCTACCGACACTATATGTTGAACGAAATGGAGAATGAGAAGTAGGAGTTCTGCAATGGCCGCTTATTACGCAACGTCAGTCAATACCTGCCAGACGAACGTGAAAATCCATTATCGGCGACACTGCATCTTGCTCGCTTGCCGGAGGGTAGATGACAAACGAGTGCCGGCGGCACATGAAATCGGGAAGGAATATTGGTAAAGAAACCAGGATTTACACTGTATTCCTTTTGCAGGCAGATTCGTTTACAATTAGCGCTCATGCCGAGCTCGGTGACAGCGATGAGATCGGGCCTTTTACCGTTCCCTTTGAGTTTTACAGTGCATTTCACACGTGCTTTGCGCATGACGCATGGTTCCTTGTCCCAATGACAAGCTCAAACCTCGCGAGCGCAAGATTCATAAGCCCAGGAGAAGTGATCACATTCTGGATCCGTTGTTCGAGGCGTGGACCCCAATATCAGCAAGATGGTACTGCATTACTCTACTGTTTCATCCAATGGTGAGTGGGCACGAATAGAATGTTGACTCTGTTTTAGATCACTATCCATTTGACAGAAGTGGGAAAGGTCCTGCGTTGCCCATATTATTGTCTACTCTGATTGCAAGTTCCACGCAGATTGCGTTTGAAGCTCGTGCTCTAGAGCAATACACGCATGCAATGATACTGCGCAAGTACGCAAACACCGTATAATCAGCCACAACAATCGCGTGAATCTTCGATACTTACTCTACCTCATACGCGCGTCGATAGATGCATACATGGCGAGAGAACTCGAGTTAATGTCTGTCCAGGTCCGCTCGACAGGTCTCGGTCTCAAGTCTCTATCCCCATGCGCAAACTTCCCTAGATGTGGCTGACATAATGGGGGGAACCGTCACCTCGTGGTCTGAAGATAAGGAGTCCTCAGGGCATAACTTCAGATTCGAAGATCTGTACCCTACGGATGCCCGTTGTCGAAGGTTTCATCGACGTGAACTCTCAGGAAGGCTTGGCATGTCTGGAATTGGCTCGCGCAGACGTCGCTTGAACACTACCATCTCTTAATGTCAGCATGATCCGATGATAAAATCCTGCAATCATTGTTACACGGTATTCTCTAGTGATACAATAATTGCCTCTGCGGCTTTCGAGCGAGGAGTGAATCTACACTTAAACGGCAGAGGACGGTTGAACAGCGTCGGGCCTCCATACCACTCCCCGTCCGGCACCACCTCTCGTCCGGCTGCATCCACCTCTTTACGAATGACATAGCATGCTAGAATCGACGCGACGGAGATCCATATTGACGAGAGGGCTATATGCCGACCAGGCTGCACGAACAAACAGAGACGCTGTCAGTCCATATGTTGGGTCCATAGTGGGCAAAACGGGATACATACGCAGAGCCTCCGGCCGAAGCCAAAGGACGCCGTCGCAGGGTCTTTCACTGTCTCATCGAGCTTTCCATCCGGGCGCAAGAAGCGGTCCGGGTTGAACGGCATGGGATCGGGGTATGTGTTCTCGTCATGGAGGATCGCCCTGCAGAACACGCCGCTTTTAGTGTGCATCGCCGTACAAGACCACATGGTCGTACCAGGCGTTAGCCATTACAATAGAACCCTTTGGCAGCCAGTATCCGTCCCAGGTGTCGTCCTCAGAGAGTAAGTGTGGGATAGCTGGAGGCGCCAAGTGAGTTGGGATCGAGCGTGCGCCTCTGAAGCATACCTAATGGGGTCACAGGGTTGTGTCGTAGGACCTCCTTGACGAGCGCTGTGATATAGGGAAGGGATTGAACATCCTGGAACGAGGGCAATTCTCCATGACCCAATACTTCGTCTAGCTGGCGCTGTGCCTTGGCTTGGATCTCAGGGTGCTGGAGTATGGCCAAGACGAACGCAGACACTGCTGCGACTACCTAGGAACAGACACATATATTCGCAGAAAGCGCCTCAAGAGTCGTGTGACTTACTGTATCAGAACCCCCTAAAAGCCGCACCGTCACTTGCGTCGCATTTGCAGCTGAGAACAAACTCACCTCCATAGGAAGTCACCGCAGCACCCTTGATGAGCTCCTCCTGCTCCGCCAAGTCCTGATTCTTGTCCACCGCTTCTAACGCATTCGATACCAGAGAGGGCGTGTATGACCCGCTCGTCTATAGACCCGTCAAGCCCCACGTCCCTTCCCCATCGAGTAAACAACCTACGATCTGCTGCTTCGCCGCTATAAACGGCCTGTTCGCCATCTTCTGCCTCAGGACGTTCCACTCGCGCGCTTGTCGCTTGAAACCCGCTCCGGGGGTCCACTCGGGCATATGCCTCACTGCACACACGCATCAGCTGTCTTGGCCTGGGCGAATTACGACACAGTGCGCTCACGCAGGGGGACGGCATCGACAAGGAACGCGCCGGGCGCACCCGCAATAGCCATGGAGTCGAGTGCTTCTACGGCTGTTTCAATGTACGGGTCGGCGGCGTCGCCACGGATGCCGTACGTGATGTCCATGATCAGGATAGCCGCCCAGCTGTAGCGGGACACAAGCGACGAACGTTGATCAGCGTGTACCGCCGGCAGAGATACAAAGACCGAAACGCACTGATGCAGCTCGTGGAAGAGGTTCGCGGGGCCCTTGTGGAGGCGCCAGAGCAGCTCGTGCGTCGCCCGGAGCTGCTTGCCATGGAAAAGCGCGGCGTTGTTCGGATTCAGCGCCTGCATGAAGATCTTGCGCTGGGCGCGCCACGTTGGGTTTGTCGGCGCAAATGAGAAGGCATCCTTCCATCTGGGCACTGATTGAGCCAACTCTCCCAGCCGTCGTGGATGCAAGGTAGACGGTAAGGATTGTGGAGAACGTACCCCATGAGCTCGTGCAGCATCGTCAGTTGCGCCCTGCTCGAGTATATCGCAGAACGTTTCTCCATGAGCTCGTTCACGAGCTCCGCGCTGTTGAGCACCAGTATGGACGTGCCCGCCGCGCTTAGATGGATGATATCCGAACCTGATACACGCCCATATAGTTTCAGCGCCCGACACGATTCAAATACTCGGCCCCTCAAGCAGCGCACGCACCGTATTCGCGCGACCACTCTGCATACTTCAGCCACGCCCTCCCGCCGGGCATGTCGAGCAGATTGCCGATAAGCGGCCATTTGCGCGGCCCTGGGGGCAGCGGGAGACGTGCCTTCGACCTCTGCAACACGATGTAGACACAGACGGCAAACGTGCCGATCACGATTAACAAGTTGTTGTTGAGCATCCTGAGGGTAGTAGGCATTTGGGGAGCACTAGACCGCCTACAAGAGTACTTGAAGACTCATTCCTGTGCGTGCGGCCGCAGCGTACCCTGTCCACGACATAGCGGGTAGTACGACTAGGGCGCTTGACAACTGGAATTGATGCATGATGCGGTGATGAGCGTAATTCGAATATTGGACGGCCGCTCCGCATCCAGAAAGGTTTACAGCTACGCTGTGTGTAGGGAACTGTTACTGTCAGTGACTGACCACCGCAAAAGAAACACTCTCCCTTTGCTCGTGTATGAAAGAAAGCGGGACAGGTTCTTTATACATGAACCAAATATGGCATACAACCTGTCATAGGACGTAGGCTTTGCATTTGGGATTGTCAATCTTCCACGTTCGACCCAGTCTATGCAGTAAATGTGGATTACGGCAAGGCGAACCAGCGTCGTACGTCCCCGAGATCGATGAGTGCTTGAAAACGGCAATTCCTTCCTACGCGCAGCCAATGACATGGGTCAGAAAGATGTTCCTTCCTCACGTTGAGCACAGCATGTACTTACCCATTGCCGGGCGTCGCAAAAGCGCTCTGCGATATGACTGCCTTTCTTATGGGGATGCAACCAAAGGGTCTGCGCGGGTGCCTCAGCGCCTCGCGTCGCAGTCGCCGAGCCAGCGTATGGGTCATCGTTCTGATTACAGCGGACGGCCTTTCCCATGATATGGTGTACGTAGGGATGCGTAACATCACACAACAGACAACAAAGCAACGTTCGCTGTCATAAATCATCACGTACTTGGCTTCAGGGTGGTCAGCGATTTCGAAGCGGCGGCGATTCGTACGCGAGAGTATCAAGCATCCGCATTCGTAAGGCTTGGGAGACGAGCGTCCGGACCGCTTGAGGCCTGGGTTGCGCCAAGCCCTGAAGCGGATTCGCGAGGAAGAGGCACTGTTCTCACCCGCCGGGGCTTCAAGCAACGCTTGCAATGGAAAGATGATTGTCTCGTCCGTGACTGGGCTGTTCGGGAAGAATGTAAATGAAAGAATGAAATGTTAGAAAGTTCAATATTCATGAGTGAAGAATGGTGAACAGACTCAGATTGGCACAACAAGGAGTGCGGGAAATTTGGCCGAAAATGGTTGCTCGATTACTTGATTGGCGCTTGGCTGGAACACACTGATTCTCTGATCAGATTCCTAGCAGAAGCGCAAATGTTGCTGTGTCAAGGAACCGACGACCTACAAGCACTTGAAGCTCCAGGCAACATATTGAACAGTCAGATACCTGATTGATCGTCGAGTTGTCTGTTCGCCCCAAATCCTCCGAATCAACTTGCGACATGCATGAGGGTGCGAGCTACTTAACGTGAGTTATGTAAAATAGCGCTAATAAGCGTTAAATTTCATGTGGCCTGAGAAATGAGGGTTCAATCGGGTTAAATATACCTGGAGCTGTCGGACACAGCAACAGTTTGCATCTCAACACCACGGAGCGCACGCTCACCCGCCGAGATTACTGTGAACATGCTCGGCAAAACCTTGCGGTCGGTACAAGGCATCTGATTGTTCGAGAAGCGATGTCCCCGGGCACAGTTCTTGGGTTGGCACTAGAAGTCGTTCCCACTACAATTTCCTCGATATGTGGCGTTCACCCTCCGGCTCGGCGTCGGATCGGGGCTCACGTCGAATATCTTCACCCGCCCTGTAGGCTGTGGCGTACGTTCCTGTTGGTGCGCTCCTCACTGATTGGACTTTGTGGAGACGTTGTCCACGGATCTCTGCTAAGCTCAGACTGATTGCCGACGCACAGTATGGCGACTGCGCTCAGCAGAAAGGCATGTGCGATTTCGTGGAAATTATTCAAAGTTGTCACCTGAATCAACAGGAGTGTTTGGCACCCTCGTGCTCTCCGTTGCGAGGGCACTATTTTCATCCACTGCCACCAATGTACGCTCCCACAACGCGCGCGCACTGCGGAACTTGCCGTCGGTGACCTTGCTGTGCCCGGTGGTGTAAACGCAAGCCGCAGATTCATCGTTTCGTCTGTATATGGGGTCATCCATACACCACAGGTTTGACAGCTGCATCCCGAAGGGACGCGCATCATGGCGGCGTTGGCAACCTTCGGGAGATCCAGCATCTCACATCTGTCAGCCACAGATCAAATTGCCCATACCGTACCCAGCGCGTCCGTAGGCGTCTGCATGGAGCTTCTGGTCTGCACGATCAAACCCATGGGGGAAGCCCGACGTACGTGGATGCTGGAAGTTGCACGTTGCGTTGGCCTGCATGAAAGCACAGAAGGCAAGGGGCACGCGTGTGACGCAGTGACATTTATTGGTCTGGTCAAGCCAATCCCATCCCAGGCGGGCGTTTCGAACTGAGGAATGGGAATTACACCTCCGATCCACGGCATATACCCGCTTCAACTCCACATTTTTGCTATGTGTCTCTAAAGCCAAAAACATCCGCTCCGCTTGCACTCCAGCCGTTCGCGAGCGATGTCTTCTCTCAGCTTCCCAGTGGATGAACTCAGTCGCTTGCTAGTCTGCATCCGCGTGCTTCCCTCCGGTCGCTTCTCATTCGATGTGCAACCGTCGGCTCTCGCTGAAGCATCGAACTCCGGCATCGGTGAGTACTTCGAATCATTCTTCGATCGTTCGACTGGAAGCCTCATCACCAAGATCTCAGGTGGCTTCTCTAGCTTGTACTCGGTCGTCTTCGAAACACTAGATGATGGAGAAGCGCACATTCTGCGAGTGTACACCACACTGAACAGCGGCCACGCGCAAGCGGCCAACCACTACCAAGGTGCTTCTGAGGGCTCGAATGCCTCAGGTATGTGCAATTCCTACTCAACAAACCGACACATGTTCTGATTGACTTTTGCTACAGCCATTCAATTCACCAACAGCACTCAAAATAATATACTTCCATGCAACCCTGGAGGCATTGACATGTCGTTCACAGGTGAGATAACCTGATCACTCTTGAGTATTGTTATCCTCAAAGATGCCGGATAGGAACCGATTACAACACATTGTCGGCCAACGGTGTATTCTACGAGCCTATGATGCTCACACATCCATTTGAATGGCCCCCATACAACGACGGTCAGTGGTACTCTCGTTTACTTGCCCAGCGGCCCCAGGAGTCGCGGCTCACCGGCACTACTTCTCAGATATGCCGGCGATAGTCAGCCCGAACGATGACGAAATGCATGCGGCCTCGAATCTCGAGATCGCGAGCAGGGCAGAGGCGCCCACAGCCAACTCCGACATGCTGATCTCTCCAAGCCCTAGACTGGCAATATTTCACCCAGGATCTCCGCAGCTGGCCTCCAGCGTTTGCACGAACGCCACCGCCGCGCCACCCACCCCCGTATCCTCGGCGCCGAGCCCCCCCTCGCCGCTCCCCTCCAATTCCTGTCCGTCGCCGTCCACCTCCAACCCTTCTCCGTCCACCTCCAACCCTTCTCCGTCCACCTCCAATCCCTCTCCGTCCAATTCCAATCCCTCCCCATCGCCGCCCCCCTCATCCTCCCCTACTCCCGCACCCGGGAAGCGCAAGCGCACGCTGCCCTGCCCGCAGTGCGCACGCCGCTTCGCGAACGAGTACACTCTCAGCGTGCACGCGCGCACGCACCGGCCGAAGGCGCCGCGCGCGCTCCCGTGCACGCTTGGCTGCGCGGAGCACTTCTCGCGCCAGCACGACCGCCTCCGGCACGAGGTCGTGAAGCACGGGCGTGTGTGCGAGTGGGCGTGTCCGCACTGCAGAAAGTTCTTCTCGTCGGCGCGCACGCTCGCAAATCATTTGTGCCAGGCGCCGGGTGCCCCGACACGCTGGGAGGTCAATTAACGTCCGCAGAGGGTTTGTCGAGATGTAGAATCTAGATGCTCGAGTGTCGTTGTCCCGCTTCATACGCAGTATAGTCGCGCAAGTAGTACTTGTAAATATTTGTAGATTAGGCCTTGCGTGTCGCACGCATACACTGTATCAAGAACTAGCGGAGTTCCACTCTGCCCCTTCCGCCTCCATGATAGTCTTAGGGCTGCTCTAGTCAGTGGTAGTGGCATAGAGACCAGGCTTTGTTTTCAGCTAGCAGTTCGTCCAGTTTCAATGAGATTTCTATTTGTCGTATACTCTACAGTCGAACGTCTTCAATGTACTCGCCCAGATACAGTCTATAACATTTTCACAGTTGGTCGGCACGAATGAGATCTGCAGCCTGCGGACACGTCAGCGATCAGCCGCTATGGCACTGCAATGGAAGCATACCTTTTCCGCGATCGCGTACACAGTCGCCTGCAGGTGTGTCGTAGACACCAGCGGCATGATCGACGCGTCGATGACCCGCAAGCCTTGTACACCGTACACCTGCAGCCGTGGCGACACGACGCCGCCGTGCGCGCGCTGCTGCATCGCGCACGAGCCGCTGATGTGCCCAAATGTCGGCTGCCCGAGCGTGCTGCGGATCGCGTCCTCGATCTCCGCGTCGCTCTGGACCGCGGCGCCGGGAACGTGCTCGACGACACCGAGAGCGCGCATGGCGGGTGTGTACATGAAGCCCCGCGCGGTACGCACGACGGCGACGGCAACGCGCATGTCCACGGGGTTCGTGTACACGCGGTAGTCGATCTCGGGCACGGCGAGCGGGTCAGCGGTCTTGATGAGGATCGTGCCGCGCGAGAGGGGCCGCTGCAGCGCGGCGTCGAATTCAGCGCGACCCTCGTACGTGATCTCCATTGCGGTGGCCTCGAAGGAGCGGTAGTGGTCCATCAGGATGTCGCGTTGCTAGGATCATTGTCTGTAAGCAGAGGACATAGACTGGGAAGTGGCGCCAGAGTGCTCACCGCCTTGAAACCCTCGAGCACGGTTTCGTCTACATCGGGAAGGAGATATGCCGCAGGGTCCTGCGCCAGCGCTTCCACGACAATAGATTCATACTCGTCAGTCATATTCCGCAGCGGTATCATGGCCAAAGCAAGCCCGCGATTGTCCGTGAACGGGCCAGTGCGATTCTCGTAGTAGACATTGAGTTGTTCAGCGACGTAGTTCGGGTCGTCCAACTGCATCGGGCTCGGTACAAGATCCTTCTTGACTGGATATCATTGTCAGGCTGACTCCAACTTGAAATCTACAGCAATAGAGCACTCACATTCGAAAACGAAGTGCAGGGCAGGATGGTCCTGGACGTTCTGTCCCACTCCCGGGAGATCGACTACGACGGGAATTCCAAGAGACTCAAGGTGCTTGCGCGCGCCAACTCCACTGCGTTGCAGGATTGGTGGGGTATTGGCAGTTCCCGCTGCCAAGACGACTTCGCGGTTGGCATGAACAACTCGCTCGGTACGCCTGTCGCGAGTGACAGCCTGAGAGTCGGAGTCAAGATGCTTTCTTTCATAATCTCGAGTTGAAATTCTTACAACTACACCGGTAGCGTCGAGGTCGTCGTTAAATACTACCTTGTCCACGACGTGACCCGTAATAATGTGCAAATTTGGCCGGCTCTCGACAGGATCGTAGTATTGCTGTATGAAAGCGTTAGACTACAAGGCTATTGAAGCAACAAATAGACTTCTCACTTGGCGAGCATATGAGCGAGTCTGATTGGTGGCACTGAGTGAGCTGGGCATCCAGTACGCTCCGAACGCGTTCCCGTCGTTTCCGTCTGCTGTATACGAGATGCCTAGTTCTCGCCATGCGCGGAAAAAGTTTTCTATACACAGATATTAGCGACGTAATGGCATGCGTCAAATAAACTGACTCATTGAGGGCCATAAGTTGTTCGGGTAGGCCGATGAAATCGGGCCTGAGCTGCCGTGAGCACTAGCATTGAATGTGATCGAGAACTCTTCGGCTAAAGCTGGTGGTGGTGGTGTGAATGTCTCGCTCTGGATGATCGCCATCAGCTTCCATTTGCGCTGCTCCCGATCCACACTAACCTTCTGGAAGAATGGGAGGATGCCATTCCATCCCCAACCGGGATTGCCTAGCGCCTCCCATGCATCGTAATCGACTGCGCCTCCACGAGGAAAGACCATTCCGTTGACCGTCGAGCCACCACCAACCGCGCTAGCCGCCCATATGCCAGATGTCCTGTTGTTCAGCGCCGGCTGTGGTACTGATGTATAGTTGAATAGATATTTCGCGTTGTCAATGCCTAGGCCCATCCGAGCAAGACCGGGGACAAGGGTGTATGGCTCGCGCTCGTCGAAGTATCCATGCTCGATGAGAAGTACAGTGACTGTCAGAACACGAGATCAGATCAAGTAATTGAAAGTGGCAACGGGAACATGACTTACTGTCAGGATCCTCGGTCAATCTATTCGCAACTACCAGACCGCTGACGCCGGCTCCAGCAATAACGTAATCATATGAAGACAACAAAGACGAAGTGTCTTCGAAGACGACTTGTGCCGAATCGTGTGCCTGACAAAGGCTGCTGAGAACAAGCGCTGCTGCTGAGAAGACGAATACCCGAGACATGGATAGCAACAGACTCGTGAATATACACAGTAGGAACGGCTTAAGAATATACACAGAGTTTATAAGATGTAGTGGGCGACCCATACCGTTCAAGTGGCCTGCGGCCGTGCGCAAACCTGCTAATCTTGAATTACTACGATCAACGGATTGATATCACCGCAGCAGAATGCTGGTACAGCCCCCATAGCCGATGCGCCCTGGTGTCATCATGAGCAACCAAGCTTCGAACTCGAACTACGAAACCCTCGTTTGATCGCGAAGCGGTACATACCAGCTGGCAAGCGCTGTCTTCGATGTGCTTACCAACCACTCTGATGCCTTGTCTGCGAGAAACATACAGCACGCCTGGAAGCACCCCGCTGCACTGCAGTGTACTGAATGTGTATCAGAAGCTGCTATCATTTCAACGTGGCAACGCGAGAATGTTAACGTCAGAGAATCTCGGAGATCGCAATATGTCGAATGTCAACATATCTGCGCCTCCTAATTCTGATGTAATATACCATGATATATCGCAATCGTAGAATGAAGGGTTGAAATGAAGAGTTGGAAGAAAGGAACACAGACGCCTGAGCTATCCTGCCCAAAGTGTCCACCTCCTCCTACTGGGCGCCTAAACAACCGCCACGTCAACGGCAAGTACTTTCCCCGTCGTCGAACTCGCCTTAAATCCATACTTTCCACTACTCACATGCGTAAACATATCATCGAATAATAACTTGAGATCTGGACTAGAACAACATCACTCTTGACTTAGTGGCGTATAGGTTACCGGGGGTCATCAAGAGCATCACGAAGAAGGTAAGGAAAGGCACACAGATATCAACGAGGAACATTCGCGGCTTTGTGCGCGTATAACTTAGAGAGCTCCTTGCTGTGAAGCGCGATGGCGAAACGGACCCATGCTGCTCCGCAAGAACCTGATACGGCCGCTAGATTCAATACTATAACGGGTCGGAGTCTATACCCTCGCGCCCCAACTGCAATTATGTGAATTTCATTCCCCACGCATACCTGATGCCCAATGTGCGCCAGGAACCAGCGGGCTTGATAGGCTGTCATTGATGCCCCAAAATGGTGGTCTGCGGCCGAGGAAAAGTGCACTTTTGCGCTCGGGTCTAGATTCTATAAAGTCTCGAGTAACACCTGTGTCCTCAAATCACTATTTGCTGACTCAAGCCCCTTGACTTGACCATGTCTGCAGAACCCCTCACCGCCATCGTCCTTGATCTTGGGGACGTCATGTTCTCATGGTCCCCCGAGACGAAGACAAAGATATCTGGCAAGACATTGCACCAGATCCTCTCCGACCTCACATGGCTCGACTACGAGTGCGGCCGTATCAGTGCCGATGAGTGCCACACACGCATCGGCCAAGCTTTCTCCCTCGACCCCGCCGACATTGCGGAGGCGTTTAGGCAGGCCCGTGACTCGCTGACACCCAACCATGAGCTGCTCTCTCTAGTCAGCGACCTCAAGGCGCAATCCGGTGGCACACTCCGCGTGTTCGCGATGTCGAACATCTCCGCACCCGACTACGAGTTCCTTCGCGTCACGAAGCACATCAACTGGGACATCTTCGACAAGGTGTTCACCTCGGCAGCTGCAGGGGAGCGGAAGCCCAACCTCGCCTTCTACACCCATGTCATCTCGGAGTCGGGATTGGACCCTTCTCGCGCCGTCTTCATCGACGACAAGGTCGAAAACGTGCTCTCGGCACGATCGCTTGGCTTCCACGGCATTGTCTTCGAGGACTCAATAGCCGTCATGCGGCAATTGCGGAATCTCTGCGGATCGCCCTCGAAGCGAGCTTGGGAGTTTCTCAGAGCTAACGCTGGACGTCTCCATTCGGTAACGAACAGCGGAGTAGAGCTCAAGGAGCATTTCGCTCAATTGCTCATCCTTGAGGCGACTCATGACGCGTACGTATTCCCTGTTCCATTCAAAAAGATGACTATTAGCTGACTCCTTAATCCATAGCTCTCTCATTTCCATCCCAGAGCCGCCATCACACACCTGGAACTTCTTCCGTGGTATGAGTCAGCCTTGTTCATGTCTTCGTTTTTCTGACGCTTTGCTGCTAGGCCGCAAGGGTGTCCTCACGAAGACCGACTTCCCGGATGACCTGGATACGACCTCGCTTGGGCTGACCATAATGGGGGCATCAGAAGACGTCAAACACTCCATTCTTGACCAAATGCTGCAGTATAGGAATCCTGATGGCATCGTACAGGTAAGCACCTCGCAGCGGCCGCATGGGATACTGAAAGGCGCTTAACGGAGATACATCACATCAGACATACTTCGACCACACGCGCCCACGACTCGACGCATGCGTGTGCGTCAACGTACTCAACCTCTTCTACACCAACGGCCGCGGGGCGGAGTTGCAGCGCACGCTTGATTGGGTGTACCACGTCCTCGTGCATCGCGCGTACCTCGACGGCACGCGTTACTACACGACGGCCGAGTGTTTCCTCTTCTTCATCGGGCGCCTGCTCTCTGCCAGCACCGATGCCGACCTTCATGCAAAGCTCGAGCCAGTCTTCCGGGAGCGCGTGCGCGAGCGCATCGGCGCGGACGGCGACGCGCTGGCGCTGGCGATGCGCATCATCGCAGGCGCAACGGTGGGCATCGAGAACGCCGTGGACACTCGGAAGCTGCTCTCGATGCAACTTGCTGACGGTGGCTGGGAGGAGGGCTGGGTGTACAAGCTCGTCGCGGCGAAGACGCTCATCGGCTGCCGAGGGCTGACGACGGCACTCGCTCTGCAAGCCATCACTTTGCCTGCACCTTCCTCGCAAGCACCGGTTCCATTAGAGGCCGTTGAGATCTCCAAAGCCCCCGCCCACCCACACACGGTTTCGATATCGAAGTCGGCTTCGATCTCTCTGCCGCTGAGAGTTTCGACAGTCACACCTGCCGTCATCATGACCATTCCGACCGTCATCGGTATGTACGTGATGGCCCGTCTTGCAGCGAATTACGTCTTGGTGCGGTAAAATCACCATTTCTTGGTGAGCTCTATCTCTATTGTTTCTGCGAGATGACTTATTAAACACCCCTCTGTTAGCTTGATTCATGGACGGTGCTGACGAAGAGTAGATAATGGATTTCCTGACGCCTATCTGATTTAAATGACTAGAATATTATGAGCCAATCGTGTCGCCCTGATTGTAGATATAGCTTGATCGCTCACCTCTAGAATGACGCCTCATCTGTGGTAGTAGAACGTTACCAGCTGTTTTCCGTTTGATCTATAGCATATGATATTGAACCCAAAGGTTATCGCGCAGGAGTTGGAAGTAGTGAGGCAAGAAGAACGGTCTTAGGAAGGTTAAGCCTCTGTACGGCAGTCCTAGTCCGAGGCTCTTTGTTAGCCACACATCCCTCCAACATGAAGAGAAGCATTGTTTGCGACTAGTCTCTAGAACTGTGCCCTGATATCGAGGGTTTTGATTCAAAGCAAATCCAGACGACTGCCACCAACAAATCAAGCGGCATCTACGCTTCCTCAAACCCGAGGTGTCGCCACTGCCTTGCGCACGAATGTCGCAAAGACGATCCTCGACGTTCGCTGTTTGATGCCATATATTATATGCATGCACGTCAATATATGAGGGTTTACGTTACGACGCAGTAGAACCTTGGGTAGACCATCACAACCTTGTCGGGACAAGCTTCCTGCCCCTTTCCCGCTCGAGGTCGTCCTTCGCCCGCAGCCCAGAGCCCTTGTCCAGTCTGCGCCCCTGCCCTCCGACACCATCGCCCATCCCCAACGGCGAATGCCCCGGCATCAGCATGCGCATCAACGTCCTAACCACCTGCAGCGGATTGCGACTACCCCACACTTTCGCGCTTATGTCCTTGATCCCTGCCGCCTTGAGCACCTGGTAGACGTTCGGGTTGCAGTGCAGGCCAAACCCGACGGGGCGCGGGCGCATGATGACACGCGTCGACGCGAACTTGCCCTCCATCTCTGTCCAGATCGTGCGGTCCTCGAACCGCTCGATGTAGTCCATGTTCCGAACGGCCTCCTTCAGCGCCGCCTGCGTCGCGCGCTGTGCCTCATGCGCCTTCCCCTCGCCGATGCCCACGAGCCCGTTCTGATTCCCCACGACCATCACAACGTGCTGCCGCGGAATCTTCCCCTTGCCTGTCTGCTGTACCACGCGGCGCCGCAGGATAGGGAACCTGTATAGGCGGTTGATCTCGGCGGACGTTAGGTGAAGGAAAGTAAGCGGGTTGTCTGCATCCTCGCGGTCGCGCTTCCGTCGGTCGGCCTCTGACGAGCCTAGGTTTTTGTTTTGCTCTCGCATTGCAAGAAACATAGAAGGGTCGTTTCTGACTGTAACCTTGTTTTGAAAAGGTGTGCGACGGCTCGCAGCGAATGTCTGCGACTCATGGAGGTCCATAAGAATGTCCGGATCCATGAGATTGGGGTAGCCTAAATTGAAGTCTTTGAGCGACTCGAGGTCAAGGCCGGTCGACTTGCTGGGTGTCAGAGCATCGGAGGAGGATGAGGCATTGGAGTCGGTAGTGTTGTACCGTACGAAAACGGCTGAAGAGCCTAGTCTGCCTGCTGAGCGATGTATTCGAGCAGCTCGAGATGAACCAGACACAGCATGTCTGGTGAGAGAGCTCATCGTCTTCGACAGCGTGCGGGCTCGCTGCTGGTCGTTGCCAGTGAAGGCGTGACACATGTCCTCCTTGTGACAATGTATCACGTGGGGTCATATTGTGACAGGTAACACCTCGGCCTTGACTCGGACAGCGATGCTCTCTGGATTCCACCGACGTCGAGCTCCTAGTTTGAAGTACTGGAGTTAACGTTTGTGCTGTGCTTGAATCTTAGCAAAGTGTGCTTCTACTACACGGCGAAAGCTGAACACTATCCGGAATTTCTCGAGAATATACTACAGTGCATCTTCCAGGCATATGTCTTCCTCGGACAACTCTATTGCGTCTCAGATTGAAGGGACGGACTTGAACAATCTCTATGGATGCATTGACAAAATGAAGTAAGCCTGTGTCATCATTCTGGCCGGCAGCACCTGTGACGGACGAAGTGTGCACGGCTTGAATCTGACTGTCCCAGAGGACGCGCAAGCAGTCATCAAGCCCTGGGACGAGCGCAACGACACCACGAAATCGGCAGAGTCAGGTGTAGATGATCAGGTACGAGATGCTTTTCGCATAGAAATCCACAGTCCATACATGGATATCTTCTAGATCATCATTCACGTCCCGTTCACTCAGAACGTCCGCGTCAGGTCCATACTACTCAAACTCGGTAGGCAATTCAATTTGTTCTCGTATGATCTACGTCATATACAGTACATGTGCAGGAAGAGGTGAAGTGGCGCCACGGCATCTGCGTATATATGCGAATCACACGACTATCGTGGATTTCGCAGAAGCCGAAGAGGTCACCCCAAATCTGAATATCAGCCTACTGGAAGGCGAGATAGGTGTCACAGAATATCCACTGCGCAGCGCTGCATTTGCAAATGTGCACTCGTTGTCTCTGTTCTTTGTGCGTCGCCTGGATACTGTGGGCACAACGTCCGTGAGGCTTACCGTGTGACATGAGTGCAGAGTGAAGCCGCAGGCGGCGAATCGCTCACGGTATACTTCATCGGCTTCCGAGGAGACAACCGCTCTCAGCGGAGGGAGGCCACGCAGAAACTAGAAATACCAGCTGCCAACGCGCCAGATGCAACCCTAACTGACAGGCTGTCGGAGAAGACAGGTGGACAGCAGACAACCGCTCGATGACGGTATGCTGCCAGGTTGTGCGAGAATAATGAGGAAGCCTCGGGCGGTTTCACGATACCAGCATTCAGACAGCGTGTGGGGGGCGTGGTGCGTTGCATAGAGGTGCATGTATGTGCATGTGTGACGGCATAATACAACAGGGTTGTCCTTGAATTTGTAGTACACGGCTCGACCGAGATAAAGATAGGAACAAATATAGTGATGCCTTCGACCGATGTGTGCAATGTGTGCGTGAGTGGATGCGATGTGGATGTTCGAGATGTATGATGATGAATGCGATAAAGAATGCTACGTGATATAAATGAACAAAGTGTTTGCAATAAGAATAGGTCATGGTCATGAGGGGTTCGTAGCGAGTCACGGGAGCACGGCGGAGAAGAGTTTGCTGGGCGAGAACCACGCACGCGCCTCGCGCAACTTTTTGCGGCGCTGCGACGCACGCTGCGCGCTGGTGAGCTTTGCGACCGCCTTGTCGCCCGCCGCGGGCGGCAGGCACAGGTACGGCTGCGGCGACGGCGACGACGACGTTGACTGGGAGAATGCCCAGCTCGTGCCGAACGAGGGCGCAGGCGCAGGAGGCGTGTGCGTCGCTGCGCGCTCGCGCTTGCGCTGCACGGGCGATAGCGTAGACGCGCGGGCGAGCGGCGAGGACGAGCGTCCAGGGAACGCGAGGCGAATCGGGTTCAGGAAGCTCGCCGTGCGAACCTTGCCCTGCGACGCGGGCGAGCGCGGCGGGCGAATCGGGAGCGGAGCTGGCGAAGTAGGTGACGCACGAAAGGAGAACGTGAACAGGGACGCGGCCGGCGCGGCCTTCTGTGGCTGCGGCGTGAACGCGAATGTGTGCCACGCGCGCTCGGACTGCGGCGATGGCGCGGGGGTAGAGGAGAACGTGAGGAAGGAGAGCGCGGAGATGGGCGGATCCTGCGTGGGGGAAGACGGCGCGGTGTACTGCTCCCAGTTGTACGTGAAGCGTTCGACAGCGGTCGTACTACCCGAGGGCGAGCCGAGTCCGAGCCCCAGCGTGGGCGACTCAGGACGTGCGGCGGACGGCGGCGGGTCGTCGATCGTGGGGTACGTGTACGCCGAGGCGGAGTCCATGACGTCCTCGTCGTCCGCGTTTGCGCCGTTGAGCTCGTCCTGCGACGTAAAGAGCAGAGACGTCTTCCCGGGGATGGTCGCGGAGAGGTATGGCGAGCAGAGCGCATAGCCATCGATCTGGGACTCGAGCGCCGTGTGCATCGACGAGGACTGGGCGGAGAGCATGACGACACTGTTGTCGTAGTACACGGGTCGGCACGCGTCCGTGTTGACGTTGATGTGCAAGCGGGGGCGCTGCACTACCTGCTGCTGGCTGAATCGCTCGTCAAGCCCCGGCGTGGCGGGGCACGAAGGAGAAGATGAAACTACAGAATATGTCGACGGGTTGCTGGGCGTGTCGAGCGCATCGAAGAGCTTTGTTGTCGTGAACAGCGGGGACGACGGCGACGGCGACATAGACCGCCCATACGAGTCGTAGCGCGGCGCGTCGTATGAGAGCGAGTCTGCCCACGATGATTGCGCGGTTCTGCGATTCGCGAAGACCATCTCGGATTCTGACTCGCTCCACGTAGAAGTGAAGCCCTCGTCCTCGTGGGGCTGTTGCTGGGGCTCGGGCTCCTCGGCAGAAGCGGACGACGACGACGACGACTCGCTCTCCGAATCGACGTTGACACCGGCTTCCCAGGGGCAACGCGCCATGCTGTCCTCGAAGAGAACATCGGGGGAGTAGAAGCTGTCGATCTCCTTGACCGCAGCACGCATCTCGCGCAGGGTAATCCGATGCCGCCAGTCGACCTCGAGCGTACGCACCAGAAGCTGGTTCACCTCCTCAGAGATGGGCAGGACTGTAGGGAGGAAGTGGAGGGGGTCGCGGAGGTACGCTTGGAAGGTGCAGTCGTCGGGCGCAGCCGACTTCCACGGATTCCGGCCCGTGATGAGGTTGAGCAGAATGATGCCGAGCGACCAGATGTCGTTGAATAGCGGCGAGTACGTTCGCGTCGGGGTGAAGTACGCGCCCTGACATTCTGCACCGCGATTAGCAATGCCGAGTGACAAAGAGAATGGCACTAACCTGGACTCATGTGGTAGACACTGCCGGTGCGGAACTCGGTGCTCATCTCGTCAGTTGTGGCGAGGCCGAAATCCGTGATGGCGAGTCGCAGACCGCCATCGAAGCAAAGAACATTTTCGGGCTTCAAGTCACGATGATAGATATGTAGGGAATGGCAGTACTCCACTGCATCGAGCAGCTGCAAAAACACGTCTTTGATGAGTGCATTGTTGCCCAGGTACCTGCGATGGTGCAAAATCTGCGCGAACAGATCACCATCGGGGCAGTAGTCCATAACGATATAAGTATATTGGTAGTCCTCAATGACACGGTGGAGGGTGACAACATTGGGGTGCGCGGATGCGAGCTTGTGGAGAGTGATTTCGCGCATGTGCAGCTGGCGCTGGCGCGCCGTATTGCGTTTCTGTGAGTGCGGCAAGCATTTGACGGCGTAGGATGTCGGCTTCAGGGAATACGTGTCGACAGCGCGGTACACGACACCGTAGCCTCCATACCCGAGGACTTCGACGAGCTCAAGAGCGCCATTGTCGATGAATGTGCCGAGTGGCGGGGGCGACGGTGAGCTTGCGGCGTCAGATGAGCTGCCCATAGCGACCGGAGAGGAAGAGGAGAGGTGGTGATCAGGTGGAGATGGAACGCAGAGCAGAGAGGAGACCCAGGGAGAGAGAACGGAGGACGGCCTGGTATTTCAGTACGCGAGAACGTGACAGCCGGGCACCCTCAGCGTGTCTACCATGAGGCAACAATGCTTCGGATGCAGGAGCGCTTTCACGAAGGGTCGGTCGTGGATCCGGGTGGCAGTGAAGATATAGATGTTCGCACACGCAAACACGAGTTGAGATTGTGAAAGTGGACGGCTCTTGCAACGAGACAACGTCGTGTATATCAAGGCCCCCTGGGCGCAATACAGGTTTTGTTCCCTTGCCAGATCACATCGGCTCATTCCCGCGTGTCCTCTGGCTTAACCTACCGAGAAGAGGTCTGGCCGTGGCCATTCTCCGTTGATAAGACTCGCGATGGCGAATCGGGAGACGAGAGTTGTCTGATTGTTGCAAGGGGCAGACGCTGGTAGAGAAAGGGAGTGTGGCCGGGAAGCGCCGATCCACAATAACTCGAATCTGCATCTAGATCCGAATCTGATGGGCCTCAGCCATCCATTCCCTCCCGCGATGGGCTAGTCTAAGCCTGGCCTACAACGCACGCACTAGCACAGCCCCAATTCTAGCGCGCGTGCGACATCCAACCACACAGACTGAATGTTTGAATACCGGTTAAACAAAGTCAGCAGAATGATATGTCCGGTTACATATACTAATAGTAGTGATATGTATATATCAAAATGCAACAAGTCGAGCAAGGTTTGTAGTAGGAGGCAGTGAATAGCGCGATGATAGGAGACACCTCCCAGCATTCTACCGGTCGAGACCAGCGACAGGGGCAAGCCGCGCTACGAGATTACACCGGCCAATAACCTACGCCCTGAACATCTGGAAGGACAACAGCAGCCGTTGCTGGTAGTACTTGCATAGATTGAAGGAACGTCTTCTCTGATCCGCGGCAGCCATACCCTCTTTCAACTCATTGTGGTAGCTGTCTCCAGGCTGGATATTTTAGACGGCGGTGGCTACGTAATGAATACTTCTCTTATGTAAGGAGAGGAGGTCGTCGTGAATGATGCCCAGCAGCTCACCTTGGCTCCCGCCCGTCGATACGTGTCTGTGTTTGCATGGAACGGGTATGAGGTAGCACTCGGTCTAAGGCTCACACGTCACTGTGTGCTTACCGCGAACTCCTGCTTCTCGTACATTCTGTGGAACGTGAAAGAACTATCTGTCTTAGGGTTCAGCATATCGACATTGATTTAGGCAGGTAGACTGCATCATTGCACATATTCGACGTCAAGGTCGCGGCAACCTCATGGCAAGTCGCCTCCTTACGTGTACAAACCGAAATTAGCTGTTTAGTCTGCCGGTGCCCGCGAACGCAATCGACCAACGCTGATGGGCGTGGAGATAATGATTGGAACATGGACGCACCGAACAGTACGTTATAGCAGCTTCTCTAATGCGTCATAGGCGTGGATGAACTGCACCCCTCGAATGTCTATACTCGTACGCAGTGACGGCAACATGCTCAGCAGCGCCAGGCACCAGGTGCATGACTTCACAAGGCGCCCTGTTTCGCCCGACATACCCCTTGTTGAGCAAATCCTTGTGACGACGAAGCGCCAACATAGTCTACCGAGATTAAGGCATTTAGCAACGGTGCATCTTCAGTGAGGCTTGCTAGTCAGAAACAACAACCTCACTTTTGGCAATGTTTAGCGGGTAATCAACGGTAAGTTTGCGTAGATGAGCGAGCGAGCGATATCGCGTCCTGATCCTGAAGGCAGGCGATGGCACGCCCACCGTGTGTGTCCGTACAGCGTCTGCCTCCGTCCACATTCCCTCCTAGACGCTTCGATAGTGTACTGGCATCGGCTACACGGATTATCAGATGGCGCGCGCTGAAGTGGTGGATCAGCTCAGCTCGAACCGCAGTATCTCCGCGCACAAGCTTGTCGGCGTTCGACTCGCAGTCGGCAACTTACCTCCCCTGGGAATGCCCTGGGCGGGCGCGCGGCGCACACGCGGCCGTGACGGGACGCCTCGATATGTTCGCCGTTCGCGCACGTGCGCCCGCGTGGCCGGTGTTGAATGCAGTCACGGAGAACCAGCGACGCGAGGGGGCGGCCACCTGAAGGTTCAGGGGTAGGGGGCCCTCCGGCCCTTCTGATAGAACGCACAAAGAGTTCGCCTGTTGGGGTAGTATTCCCTGGAGCGAACTCTCACTGCGGGTCGTCACAGAAGAACTAATGATTAACGTTGAAGGAGTGTCTATGAACGACGTACAGATTAGTGATGCGTCTTGAAAGAATAGAGTGCATTGATCAACAGGTCATCCACCGGAGATGAATCTCAGCAGTACTGTTTCGAGGAGGTTAGCTGGCTCCAGGACTTGACGTCAGCAGAAAGGGCGCTGATGCAGCAACCGAAGCAGAATTCTTCAGCATGGTACAGACACCCTGCCATAGTTGACGTACCCGATAATATTGAGGCCCATAGACTGAATCAGGGCCAAGCCGCTAATACCCATCGACTCAGAACTCCTTCTCATGGGACGGTCAATGGGAGAACCTGAATAGTGGAGGGAACGGATGTCCCAGGAGCTTGTTCCCTTCAGGCGTAATCTATCTAGAGACTTCTGCAGCAACCGCATGGAAACCGAGAATTCACAGCATGGAACGTGGTGATGGTCGATTCACCGTTGCGTACGTCTACTATGAGACTGCGAGAATTTGGTCCCTACAAAGATCAGAGGGAAGAGGCACCAATAAATTGGACCTATCTAAGGACACGGCTCAATATCCATCCTCATTCACGTCACTAGGTCGTTTATGTTGTCGGATGCAGCGAGTCCCTCGCACGGTCGCGCCCACGTGACGGACGCGTCGCTATGAGATACGCGATGGTAGGCGCGACTCGGATCGGATGGCGAGATAAGGATGTTGCACGCGTAATCTCAAACTATACATATCAAATCAAATAACTCCTGTACATTCTCAGATTAACATCTCATTCGAGCAGCTCTGGTAGAAGTCTCACACAGTACTCAGCGCTCGCACCGATAGCCAACATTGCTCTACGCTTTCTCGTCCACATCACCCGCTTGAGACGATCCATCTAGCGACTTGCTATCGGCCTCGGCCAAGAACGCCTGCAGTCCGTCCAGGTTCTTCGGAGCGCCCGTGCGCTCCATGGCCTCCACGAACTCGCGTTGCTCGGTGACAGGAAACATAGCGTGCAAGGCCCAGTAGAATACGAACGCAATCACGAAGCTGAGCACGTAGTTGAGGTTGTAGAGCCGTGTGGCCGTCTGGCTTACGGGGTGGGGCGACACTGCACCAACAAAACCAGTAATACACGGCGCGACGCCGCTGAAAAACGCAGCGAACGCACGCCAGTTCATACCGTAGGTGTACCAGTAAATCGAGCGCTTGTCGCCAATATAGACGTCAGATATTTTGAAGTAGCGCTTCTGGACCACATAATACTGGCTGACCATCTAGAGAAGCCGAGTTAATATCCTGTTTATATACACATAACGTGTAGGGGGCCTTCTCACCAAGCCAGTCATGGGACCGAGGAACACAGAGTAGGCACCCAGAACGTTGAGGAACACGTTTGACGTACTAAGGAGCTGCCATGGGTTGACACATACGGAAACAAGCAGAATGAGGTATGACCCTCGTCGGAGGTTGATATATCTTGGGCAAAGAGCAGCGACATCAACCCCGCTAGCAATCTGTGATCACGTTAGAGATGATATGACTATGCTGATCCGCAGCAACCTACCAGATTTCCAGGGACGTTGATGCCAAGCTGGGTAATAATCCATGCAAGTCCACAGAAAAATGTGGACGCTCGAGATCCAGAGCCGCCACTCTTCTGAGCGGTTAAGAGGAGGATCGGCGGGTTCCATATGGCCTCGCCGTACCGCTCCGTCGTGGCAGCGGTAATGAGAATCCCGCACAAAGCGGTCAAGAAACCGACAGATGGGAAAATGACTAGTATATGGTATCAGACACCGTTACAGGGGAGGTGTCCGCAATGACTTACGAGCTTGCGCAACAATTGCCCGTCGTTCTGGCGCTTTTGCAAAACGCGTGAAGTCGTTGTTGTTGAGGATAGCAGCAGAAATATACCCGATCTGGGCCATGATACCACCGCAAATCGTCCATGCAAGGTCGGTCTTGCTCAGGGCAACGTGTGCAGTGAGCACGCTACTTGCCAGCCCGCCCTTCATCGTCGCCAGGGCCCAGATGAGCATTGCAATCTGGTTGACGAACACGAATACGGCACAACTCTTGAAGAATGTGTTGAGCTTGTGCGGATGAATGTACGCGAGAGGAGCGCAGATAAGCATGAACAATATATAACACATGAACTGTGCGCCGTCCATGCCTGCGCTGGCAGGGAATGGGTTCGGAATGGCATCAATGTGTCCAGGGAAAATTGCGCGTAGGCACACAAGAACACATAGACCGCCGTTCCACGCCTGCACTGCAACTAGGAGAGGGCCTTCAGTGTTCTATCTAGCGTGGAGAGTCGGATAGAGATACTTACACCAGACGACAGCGAGAAGTATCCGGTTCATGAGCGCAAAGTAGCTGCCATTCATGCCCCAAGCGATTCGGACAATGGCTGGGTACCCAATGTGATAGTATGCCCCGGAAGTCGAATTGAGTGTGCAAAAAGTGGCAGAAAATCTGTTTGAAGCTATCAATCTCATGTGACAAGCAATGAGAGGAGCCGTACATGTTCCCGACGATTATGCAGATGACCGCCTGCCACCATTTGAGCCCACTCGCAACGAGCGATGAGCCTGTCTGATAACCAGAGATGTTCATATTGATGAGTATCCACAGCTCAACAAATTGACGTGCGCCCCAAGTCCTGCGGGGCAAATCAACAGGCATAAGGTCATGGTTATGCCACCGGTCGGCTTTTCGTCCTTCTTGGTGAGGGACCTCCAAGCTCTTCAAGATGCGATGTCTGAGACCCATACTCGACGTCTCTGTCGTACGCAAGGGTTGAGTTGAGTCTGCTAGTGTTACACAGCCCACCCACGGCAGCCCGTTCGCCATTTGAAGGACCTGTGAGCATATAGAAGAACCCAACAACAATACCTATTGTCTGTTGTGACCAGTGATATGAGGCGATAAGGGCGAAGATGGAGTTGCATAGAAGAACTGCCAAGCTGTTCGTCTTCCATCAGTTCAGGCTCCGCCCTTATCATATACATGGGACATACCTCGAATATTTTGCATCGCATGTTCTGGCGAATGGGTCTGTGTGCGAGGGATGGGTAACAAACTTTGACAACGAGCACATACAAGCACATTCACGAAGCAGCGAATGTGGCGCCTTCGTGACAGCTTTCCAATAGGCCTGAAAGAACGGGGAGCGCATGTTTCGATGAGAGGTCGGCGGGCAGTCGTCATTAGATAGAGTGATATCTCGTCCTGATACTGGACGCAGGGGATTACACGCACATCGCGCCTACCGATCATGTATATGCATCCATATCCGCGTGTTCCTTCACGGGTGCCCGGACACCCTATAGGCTTTTGGCATCACAGTATTATCAAACAACGACAAGCCACGCGCTGGGGCGTGAAACAGCTCGTGCAATAAAACATTCACGCTCGAACGTGTCAGTTGTCTGCGACAAAAATCAGAAAAAAACACAAGCCCTTGAGAACGACCCGAGCAGATGCGCGATACATATTGTCATCGGCACGTCTCAGTATTCCTTCCCGCGACCGGTGAATGCAGTCCCGGAGAGCCGAAACCCCGAGGAGGCAGCTGCGTGAAGGTTCAGGGGCGAAGAGCCTGTGGGCCTTTTTGGCGAAAGGACGGGAAATTGTGAGTTTGCCCGTTGGTTCCATCAGAGATTCAGTGACATCTCACATGATTGACTATGAGGATGGTGTACTCACGGAAGTATGAGTAGTCTTCAACTGACACGTTAGCTCGGGTGTCCTTGTTCGTCCATGATATCAATAACCTGCCATCGTCCACTTCTTCATAAGGCGATGAACACTCACTTAGAGAGGTATTAATTGACATGCCCTTCTCCTCGAAATGCGGCAATGCGTAGGGCTGATGAGTGACATAGCTGCGCATACCACGTTTTCGTGGCTTAGAGCCAGGTCTGTCGAAGTCAATGGCTGGTCACAGTGAAAGGGTTTACACGACGATATCAAAGCACCACTTCTGATCACCAGATGCAATAAAACACTCGCCGTCGCGTGCAGGTGGAAAACGCGCTGTCGATTCAGATATCCCGAATAACCGCGGCTCACCGCCGAGATATACATAGGCGTTGCGCATGGAGTGATTGCTAGGTAACTACGAAAACATGAAACAATCTAGTTTTATTCTGTACCTGCAATGCGTTTCAGGTCAGTGTCATTTTGTGGCAGCACTGCCAATATGCAAGGCGCCTCAAACAGTGCTAGCAACTCACACATAATCAAAGTCATCCTACGCCTTCTCGTCCACATTTTCTGGTTGCGACATCTCGCCTATCGACTTGCTGTCGGTCTCGGCCAAGAACGCCTGTAAGCCATCGAGGTTCTTCGGAGCGCCCGCGCGCTCCATCGCCTCTATGAATTCGCGCTGCTCAAGAACGGGGAACACGACGTGCAAGGCCCAGTTGATAAGGAATGCGATCGTGAACCCGAGCACGTAGTTGATGTCGTAAAGCCGCGAGGCTGCCTTGCTTACAGTGTGGGGTGACACTGCACCAACAAAGCCGGTGATGCATGGTGCGACGCCACTAAAGAACGCGACGAAGGCACGCCAGTTCACACCGTAGGTGTACCAGTAAATTGAGCGCTTGTCGCCGATGTAAACGTCGGAAATCTTGAAGTAGCGCTTCTGGATCATGTAGTATTGGCTGACCATCTGAACGGTAGGTCAGTATCACTGGTACAGGGCATGTAACATCAAAAGAATGTGTCACCAAACCAGTCATTGGGCTGAGGAAGACGGAGTAGGCCCCAAGGACATTGAGGAAGACACTCGATGTGCTGAGCAGCTGCCATGGGTTGACACAGATCGAAATGAGAAGAATAAGATACGCTCCCCGTCGCAGATTAATATATCTCGGCAACAAGGCAGCCACATCTACACCGCCGGCAATCTGTGGTCGTCTCAGTAGGAAGAATGACTACGTCAACAGTATATAACGTACCAGATTACCAGGCACGTTGATGCCAATCTGTGAGACGATCCACGCAAACCCGCAGAAAAACGTGGAAGCGCGCGATCCAGAACCTCCAGCCTGCTGAGCGGCCAAGAGAAGCAACGGTGGATTCCAGATCGCCTCGCCATATCGCTCGGTTGTGGCAGCAGTGATAAGTATCCCGAACAGACCCGTTATGAACGAAGTGCACGGGAATGTGACTAGGATACGCAATCAGTTGTCTTGTCGTCCATTTGTAACTGTGCCTTACCAGCTTGCGAAATAATCGCCCGCCGTTCAGGTGTTGTTGCAAAACGCGTGAAATCATTGTCATTAAGGATACCAGCAGCGATAGACCCAATCTGCGCCATTATGCCACTGCAAATAGTCCACGCGAGATCCGTCTTGCTCAGGGCGACGTCCGTCGTGAGTGCGCTTCCTGCCAACCCGCCCTTCATCGTCGCCAGTGCCCAGATAAGCATTGCAATCTGGTTGATGAGCACGATGACCGAGCAGATCTTGAAGAACGTATTGAGCTTGTGCGGGTGGATATACGTGAGCGGCACACAAATCAACATGAACAATATATAGCACATGAACTGCGCGCCGTCCATGCCAGTGCTGGCGGGGAACGGGTTCGGAATCGCGTCGATGTGTCCGGGGAAGATTGCGCGCAGGCAGACGAGCACACACAGTCCACCGTTCCATGCCTGCACAGCGACTGCATAGAATGTGTTGGCTGCGCGTATGGTTTCAGAAGGCTACATTGTACTCACACCAGACGACGGAGAGCAAGATCCGATTCACGAGCGCGAAGTAACTCCCATTCATGCCCCATGCAATTCTCACGATAGCCGGGTACCCAATATGATAGTACGCCCCAGAAGTCGAGTTCAGTGTGCAAAACGTGACAGCCAGTCTAGGCGCAATCAGCTTGCCGTACGGTATGCGAACGAGAGACTCGTACAAGTTCCCAAAGATGATGCAAATGACCGCCTGCCACCATTTCAAACCACTCGCGACGAGAGAGGAACCGGTCTGATATCCTGCGATATTCATGTTCACAAGAATCCAGAGTTCGACGAACTGACGCGCGCCCCATGTCCTGCGCGGCGGGTCGACAGGCATTAGGTCATGGTTGTGCCACCGGTCGGCCTCCCGTTCTTCCTGGTTAGGCACCTCCAGGCTCTTCAGGATGCGATGTCTGAGAGCCATTATTGACGTTGGGAGTCGTGCACCTCAGACAAGATCGAGGGTCTGCGAGGGTCGTACGAGTCGTACGAGTTGTCCATGCCGATCTTCCCAGCATTTTATGGCTTCCTGAGCGTATCAACAGCGGCCCGTACGCATGAGGCGCAGTGGTATCGGATGATAAGTATCAGGCGCGATACATGGCGGGCTACACAGAAGAACCGCTAGACTGCTGTACTTCCATCAGTTGGAATCCACCGTAGGCCCTTATCGTACGCAGCACATACCATATATTCCTACCCCATCCTCAACCTGCTCCTTTTCAGCAGGCTCAACGAACCAGTGTGCCAAGCGTGCCTAACACGCCCATAGTTTTATTGACCGCACAGACGGCGTAGTGTCTCGCCGACGCCGACGTTTGCAAGAACATTCACCATACAGATAGTGTTGCCAACGTCATGGTCGTAGTAGGAGGAAGAAGAGATCGATGCTAGAGATCACCATCACTGCCGCCGGAAAGCTCTCGGCCGTCACTCTTCCTCATGCACCGTCGTCTCTTGGCCACTTGCCCTCTTCAGAGAAACCTCCAAGCTCGAGGTTCGAACAAACCAGGCTTGTCTACCTCGCGAGCGATATCTTTCACGTCTCCGTGTCTCTGGGCAGAGCCACCTCAATCATCGTCACCCGCTCCGGCCTCTGTCGACAAGGGGAAGCAAAAAGCGGACGCAGATTCAGCGTCCAACTCCCAAAATGTCACAGCTAACACAGAGGATGCGCCTTTACCTCTTCTGCAACGACCTCCCGGTGTCCGGGAGCGACCGACGACTGAACGCAAGACATGGGCCCAGACGCGAGACGAGCTGATGGACCAGGAGAAGAGGATGGAAAAGAGGCGACATCTGTGCGCATACTCTGGATTATCACGCGTCTCAAAGCTCACAAATACTCCAGAGTCAAGGAGGCGACGAAGGGTTACTTTACGGACCTGAATGCCACGCGACGCCATGGTGGCAAGACGTGGATCGCACCAAAAGTCATGATTCGAGAGGATGTCCGTGTCCTCACGCATTCCCGCATCTTGTGGCGCTGACCATAACCTTGGCAGAAAGCCTTGTACTTTCCGGATATCTCTGGCACCACACTGAGCTCGAAAGCAGAGGTGCACACGACCAGTCTCTGTACTGGCAAGGTGTCTGTCATTGCGATGCTGTCTACCAGAGTTTCCGAGGTACGTGGCTTGTCTCATGAACGCAAGCGACACGCCTAACGCACTATCCGTTCTACCGTTCTGTCTCGTATTGTACCATAAACAGTTTCAAACGGCTAATTTCACGAAGCCGACGCACGGAGAGTTCGCTTCGCACCCATCGTACCAATATATCCAGATAAACCTACAGGAGAACTTACTAAAGTCACTCCTCGTATCTCTCTTCACGGCCGGTATACGCCGCAGTATACCGAACGAGCTCTGGGACACCTATCTCGTCAGTAGCCAAAATATGGAGTATGTCATGCCGCTCTTCGTCCGCTCTCTTACGCTGAACTGATCTGTGTCTAGCTATCTTCGCGACGATTTAGGCATGACAAACCGTCATGTTGGTTACGTCTATCTCGTCGACGAGCAGTGTAGAGTGCGATGGGCAGGCTGTGCGGACCCGATGCCTGAGGAAGTGGAGGCCCTTCGGGTGTGCACGAGTGTTCTACTTAATAGACATTCAAAGAGTGTGAAGCAGCCGCAGCCTTAGTGTCCTCACGTCCAAATGTGCTAAACAAAGCTGCTTCGGTAATTCTTTGTTCAGGTTGTTGAAAGCGGATACTCTTGCGGTATGTGTCGAATGAATGACTCTTCCGGCAGCCGGTATCAACGTATCGCTCTGGTATGTAGCGATTGCTTCGCCTCGTGAAGCTGAGCGAATTCGCCTGTCCACGCTGAGACCTGGATCTCGGCCTCGCACTTCTAAAATGACCCGAACCCCGGATTCCTGAGCAATGATTGCTTTTCGTTGCTCAGAAATCATCCGAAGGTTCGCTGTTTGGCTCAATGCTTTATTTGACTCGACTTGGTGTGGATGGTCAATATCACCCAGTTCAGATTCTACATTACCTATGCGTGAGGCCCACCCCACCCTTTGGTAGAGTGTGCTACGTAATGTACATGGCACGTTGTTCATTGTACTCACACGAGCGCAGAGGCGCTCATGCGGGTGTAGAAGCTTGTGCTTCGGCTGCGCAATAGGTTGATACTACAGTGCAGTCGTCTGCAGTGGACGTAGATTCAAAGCCATCTCTCTTTTCATCGGTGAGTTGGTCTCCTATGATAGAGTTTTGTGTTCCTCACTAGTACCGAAAGATATCCGACACTGATATCGAGATGTCGTCGGATGATCAAGACACAGACTCTATCCGGACGCACAGTCCACCACCAGCATCGGGTCCAGTAACAACAACTTCCCCCTTCAACAGCATCGATGCCGACCTGATTCTGCGCTCGTCGGACCAAGTCGAATTCCAAATCCATCGCTACGCTATGACAATGGCATCCCCTGTCTTTCAGGATGTCCTCTCCCTTCCTCAGCCAGCTGACACTCTGAACGGACCTCCTGTGGTAGACTTACCGGAAGACAGCCGCACACTCTACACCATTCTCCGCATCTGCTATCCCGTACTTGATCCCAAGATCGATACGATCGAACTCGCGCGTTCTGTCTTGGATGCCGCATTGAAGTACGACATGGTCGTCGTGGTCGATTACTGCAAGCGAGCTCTTCGCAGTCTTGCGAAGTCTCAACCACTGCGGGTGTATGCCATTGCCTGTACGATCGGAGCAGAAACGACGGCCAGGCTGGCTGTTCGTGAAATTGTTGCGCACGCCCCAGACAACATATTGGGGCAGGAGGCCGGTGCCTATGCCAAGTGGTTGGAGGGTCTCTCAAATCAAAGGGTCGCTGAGTTCGAGGATATGTCAGCTGGATGTTATTTCCGACTGATGTTATATTGTCGGTCCTCTCGTCCGGAGCTTTTCAGCTTCTGTCATGGGGAGCGTATATCAACCACCAGCCCCGAAGCCTGCGGTAATGCTTCATCCGAAGAAGTCTTGCGCACAGCACCCTTCCCATTCGATAATCCTGCCGCCGGCGTTATCATCCTGACCAAGGACAAGATGCAATTTCATGTCTCCGAGTCTATTCTTATCCTAGCCTCTCCCGTCTTCAAAGAGATGTTGCACACCAACTCCAACTCAGAGCAGCGCACGCTCGAGGTCGACGACGATAGCGACACCATACGATGCATCCTGTTATTTTGTTACCCGTTTGGCATACCCGAGACGGTAGCCATCGAAGCCGTCCCAGCCGTGTTGCGCGCCGCCGATAAATATCAAGTCGAGAGGGCAAAATGGTTCCTACGCAAACAATGGGAAATGTTCGCGTCTGAGCCGTTGCGCGCGTACCTACTAGCTGCTGCTACTGGCTGGAAGGAAGAAGCTGGCATCGCAGCTCGGGCTCTTCTGGAGGTTACCACCCGCGATTTGCAGGACAGATACGTTAAAGAATTGGAACGAGCCTCTGCAAGCTCTTACATTCGCCTCCTCGAATATCGTGAGAAGTGCATAGAGGTGACCTGTAGCCGCACGGCTTCGTGTCGAAAATGGCTTACGACACGTGATCCTCGCTTGAAGCATATCCTCGGATGCTTCGTTTGCTATTGCGATGACGACGCAAGCTCCATTCATGGACGAGGAGTATGTTCATGGATTGCGTACTACACGAACATGGTCTCGAACAGCTTCAAAGATCCATCCCAACCTATGCCCGCGATGTTTTCCCCGCGTTTCTTCAGCAGTACAACATGTTTTCGTGCGTGTCAGTCGCATGCTAGTGAAGCTTCACTCCTCCACGCTGCTTTCGCGGACGAATTGAATGTCACTATCGATGAAGTGAGTCTCAGAGACCTGAAGCGGAATGACTCTGCAGTCCTCACCCACCTTCTCTAGGTCAGTAATACGTTTTTCCCAGAGCCGCTTTGATAAGCTTCGCCCACCAACTGCGCGGTGGCGCCATGGACTATTGACTCTACGTGAGCACTATGCTAGTGCTTGCGTGTCTCGTCAATAGGTCTCTGTATGGCTTTAAGCCGTGTAGCTATATCAAGAAGCTGTAATGACTCGAATCTTCCATGCTGGTTTGGAGTAATCACTGTTGCTCATCGCCTTCAATGCGCCTCATGTACACGAGACAGTTCACTGCTTAGACTCAGTGTTCAGAGTAACGTGGTCACGTGTGTCGTGTACATAGAGAGGAATCGTGCAGCCATTCGCGTCCTGCTTTTTGGACCTCAAGAGACATGACTCAGTACAGTCGGCCTAATCAACATTGGAAACCCAGTGAAGCCCAGATGATATTGATCCAGGCTCTATATCGGATGTATAGCTATATACGTTGGTTTAAACTTTATAATTTGGCGTACATGTGGAAACCATTTCATCGGACTGATTTACGCTCCCTCGACCTCTCGCCTGAGCGCTTCCGCCATTTCGCCTAGACTCCTAAACTTGAACGTTGCCCTTGACCCCTCTACTTCGTTCTTTCCAATGACAGAGCCCTCTCGATTGACCCACGCCGTCGCCAGCCCGATCTTATGCGAAGGCGCAATGTCCGCCTCCACGCTGTTCGCGACGACGATCACCTCGTGGCTCTTGAAGCCCAGGTCCTCCTCGATGCGGCGCAGCGCGTACGCACGCGCCTTGGGGTCGGGCTTGTACGCGCCCGCGTCTTCGGCGGTATACACCGCCGTAAACGCAAAGTTGCGCGCCTCCGGCGGCCCCCCGAGCACGCGCTGCGTCGCGGAGAATGAGGCGCGGTCGACGTTGGAGAGGACGGTCAGCTTGAAGTGCTGGCTCAGGTACGCGAGAGCGGGAATCGTATCGGGGAAGACGGGCCATTGCGCGATGCTCTGCCCAAACGCAGTGTGGGGGTCGACTTCGCCGGCCCCCTCTGCGGATGCAGACGAGCCGACGCTCGTGCTTCCTGCCTCCTTCAAGTCTGTCTCAACCGTGGCCTCAGTGCCCCCTGCCGTGGGTTCTGGTGGTCTGGGCTTGCCGTGCAGGCGCGCATCCAGCTCTGCGTGGGTACGCGCCAGTAGCTCGCTGTACCGCATCTCTGGATAACGCGCTTGCAGCTCGGTCTCGACGCTCTCGAAGGCGTCCAAGATCTCGGCTTTGGACTTCAGTGATGTACCCGCAACGATCGGCTCGAGCGCCTTCAATATCCCGGTCTCCCAGTCCTGTGCAGGGTCAAACAGTGATCTGATAGGCAGATGCGTACGACATACCATCAGCGTGCCATAGACATCGAAAGTAAGGACCTTGTGCTGCAAAAGCTTGGCGTTCTGGCCAGCACCGTTTCCTCCCCACATGGTTTGTTCGTGCTGTATGTCTGTGCCAGCTGAAAGCCGGGAAATTTGTGAGCAGTGCGACTGCTCCCGGTCTCATTTATACAAAGTCACAGTCGCCCAATCATGCCGCGGAGTATACAATCGATCACAGCGGCGTCTTCATTTGAGTCATGAGAAGCGATATTGCAGAGCCGTGATGGCGTTCAAGGATAAGGAGATGCGCGTGCTTTGAATGATGTCAGCGATTCACTGTGGGGGTACTGTACCGACGGGACAGCCGCTGATGAATACACGGAGACTGAAGTATCTCCCTATGACGGAGATCGAAGTGTCTCCGGCATGGGGAGATATCTCCGGCGTCTAAGAGATATTTCTCTGAGGGGGCGCTTAGCTCCCTGAACGGAAATTCTATCACGTGCAGTGCGAGAGAAATACCCAAGTCACGTGCACTTGCCGCTTTGGGTGGTGACCAAGATTTTGTCTCGTATAGTATCGGGGAGTTTCATTATGGCCAGTTTTCGGCCTCTAATGGAAATATATTTATCATGGCCAGCGCCGGAAAAGGCAGGAGGGTGCGGGAAAGTATGTAAAAAGCGAGTTTCTAACCCTAATCTGAGTTAGCTTGATTTGGCAGCAACTCAGATTAGATAATGAGAAAGGACCGGACTTCACCGAAAGCCGATGAAGAGATCGGGCGATGGTGATCCAGTCACGTGATCGCCCAAAGGGGACACAAATAATTTGAAGCAAGCGCCCCGCGGTGGAAAATTGATGGAGGTGTCTCCACATGCCGGAGATATCTCCCCATGCTGGAGACACTTTGATCTCCGTCATAGGGAGATACTTCAGTCTCCGTGTATTCATCAGCGGCTGTCCCATACCGACTCGACCTAGTGTTCAGTCATGGGTCACAGGCACCTCTGAACAAGGCTGGGAGTTCATTTGTCACGGTCACGGCGAGTTTTGAACTCGGTGCAATGTATTTTGTCACGGTGGCGAAAAACTCGGGTTTTTCGCCCGTTCAACCTGCAAAGCGGCCTTATAGACCATTCGTAATGTATATAGAGTATGTACAATGACTTGTATTCTAAAATTAGGCCATTTTGCACCTCTTTTGGAGTTGATCTCCAACTATTTCGAGATCCCGAGGGGCTGTGAACTGCAAACCATCATGATTGAGCTGCTCGATCGCAGCGCAAGCTGAAAGGCTGCCGTCCATGTTTAGTATGTACCCAAACAGCGCCATCTTGCTCCCAGCGTGAATGTGGTCGACAACTTTGCTGAAAGGAATGGATGCATCATCAATTAGCTCGTCCATCTCATCCATGAAAAGAGGTTCGTCAGCGTTGGCCCCGGCAGCATGCTGAGCTTCACTTCCATATCCACACACCAGCTGCCATACATCAGGTTCATTCTGCTCGATATTTCGAAGCAACTGGAGCGCTGCATGGCTGGTCAGGCTCTGGTGCGAAAGATTATATGGCTTGTCTTCAATCTGGCAGAGTTCGAAAGCCTGTAATTCAATGGGCAATTCTCAGCACAAACTATGCACATAGAGGTCAAGCATACCTTCTTAACAATCTCCGGCTTGTTAACTGCACGATATGCATCTACAAGCCATCCGACACTTCGATCACGAAGTGTTCCCAGTGTCATGTCGACTTTCATCTGTGGGTCACTACCTCCCGGCTTGTTCTTTATTTGGTCCAGTGCCTCCGCAACCAGATCTGCATGTTGCGCCTGTCGGATTACGTGCTTCAGAGGCTGTTGGATCCCCGTGTCGCATGGCTGAAACAACCCGGTACATCCTCCGGGAACATATTCACGATGGATCCATGGGTGAGTCAAGTCAAGCCAGGTTGTGAATTCCTTTCCATGATGAACTGACCACACATCAAGTTGCAGAATGCATACCTGGTCATCCGGGAGGTGTAGACTTTCCTTTTGCCGCATGAAATACAGCACAAGGATATTGTCAACATAGCTACACATCAGGGGAAAGGTTGACCAGTATGTCCTCATCATAGAAGGCTCGAAATGAAAGCCCAGTTCATCTGCATCCTTGCGTTGTCGAGCGTCCTTGCTCGGAAGGACTTGTGATGTCTTCCCTTCCCATATGACCTGAAAGGGAAGCATCTCACCACTTGCCGAGATGCCAACGAGCACAGTGAACACTCACTTCTCGTCATTCCCCACGGATGCAACCTGATTGCTCCTGATCTTCTTGAATGTCTTTCTCATAGACATTAAGAGCTGAACATTTGTCTGGTCAATATTGACATGGCATGCTGAAGGGATACCATAGTCACGAATCTTTCGTGCCTGCCGTGCGAATGAAACCAGACACTGTTGCATAGCATCTGCTGGTATCTTTTGTGCTGATCGAGTTGGTTTCCTAGGGCCCCAGTCCATCTCCTTCTTGAGAAATGTCCGCATGAAATGGTCGCTACACTTGAAGGTGACCCCTTTGCGAACCGGAGCCGTGAGGAGCTCTGGTGCAGCATTCTTGATATGAGCAACCATGATAGCATGGGCGGTAAGTAAGCTAACAGGGATGCCTTTCTTTTGTAATGCAGATAGCTCGCTGACAATGGACTTGACCACATCAGGGCAGGCTAACTAGAAACACCATAGCAAAGTGAGTAAATGGCTTTCTGCATTCAGTCATGAGCTTATGAGGACACCGAGGCGTGTTGATGATGCCTTCTTGTTCATGCTCTCAGCATGCACCCATTCAAGGATACTCTCTTTCCACTGAGGACCTGCGTACAAAGGATGCTTGATAATGCGACCAATCACCTGCGAAGTGATTGTGCTGAAGTCAGTGGGATTCCGTGTTCATAAAATGTGTGCTATCACAGTCAGTTGCATCTGATAGCCCGCAGCCAAGGCAGCTGATACAATTTGTGACCAGAGTAGGGGATGCTGCCAGTTTGTTGTTCGTGCACACATTTCCTCGTGCTTTCGTTTGGGGCCATGTGTATGTTTAGTGTCCTTCTCCTTGTGCAGCTCGTTCAAGATGTTGCATCGTGGCCTTGAAATCTGTGCAAGGCTGACTGCATGATTCAGCATACACATGTTGTCTGCTTCGGATGTGAGTTCTTGATATTTTGATTGCTTTCATCACTCATCAGCTGCCCATTAATCATGTATTGACAAATAACAGGCATACCTTCTTCAGCTTGCCATCAGCATCCCTGACTCCCTCTGCAATCTCCTTCAGCTTCTGCTTTACCCTACTCTTTTGCTTCCGGGCTCGAGCAAGCTCCCTCTGTCGCTCAACTTTCTTGATCGCCTGTGCCATTCTCCGGTGTGCTAACTCCTCCCTGTGCTTGTGCTTATGGTCTGCCTCTTCACGTAAGTGTTGTTGATGCTGCTCCCGACTGCAACGGCTGAAGAATAAGGTTAGAGCAGTCTGTTTGACGTCCAGAGGTGCAGACAACTGCATGCTTGTGTTGTCGACAGGTATGGGGAGTATTTTCTGTTCCATGAAATAATCCGCAGGCTGAATTGCAGGCGAAACTGCGCTCCGAATATGCAACATGAGCTCTGCCGATGCAGGCTGTCTGACCTGATGTAGTGAGTTCTCATAAGCAGTGGATCACTCCAAAACATGCTATTAACCACTCTTACCTTAGCAAGATGGATGTTTACAATTGCGAGGTATTCTTGAATACGCAAGGTATGTTTTCTCCATGGTGTCCAGAGAGGATTGCCGAATATGCAGTGCTAAATGATATTGGCAGTAATAATACTGCAGGAAAAGGAATCATCTTGCTCCCCATGTGGTAACTGAAACATTTATCTTTCTGTTCTATCTCTTGTACTACTAGCGCCCATACTGGTGCCTGTCTTAGCGCTCACCCGCAGGTTGAACATTATGTAGCTTACATAATGGGGTCTGTGTGCACTTCGTGCCTGGTATCGTACCACTACGTTTCTTTCTTTACTAACACGACCACACAGATACAGTGGTCCGTGTGTAGCCGGTACTTGTATAACTAGTTGTACCATTAGTCGGTCGAACCCTAAGTTCGACCTAGTTATTCATTCAAGTCTCTGCTCCTCTTCACTTGGGGTAGTGGTCATTCTCGACTTCCTCGCTTGATCTTCAGGACAACGCACTGTCCATAAGTCCTCACTCATCATCTACGAGTCAGGCATCAATATAGGAGTATAGACCGTTGTATCAAAAGGTCGAACTTTCTAAGCTATGTTCCTAGTTTTACCTAGTCGAACATCTCATCCACCATTACATCGAACAACGCAGTC